TGTATATCGTTTTTTTGATGATCGGAGGATGAGGAATCACGTCGTATGTTGGTCCTTTGTGAGAACAAGTTGGATTGGTCCGTCAGGCCAAAGAAAGTGTCAGAAGTAATGACGTGATGTGAACATGAGAGATACGATGAAAGGATTCAAAGTGTTTTCAAAAGTCCAGAACTTCCAAAACGTCCAAATATCCAAAGATGTAGGAGAAATGTAGTAAGTGTTATCAGAAACAGAAGACGATATTTTTGATGACGTGATTATTTGTCTTTTTCACTGATCACTGGGCGCTGCGTGGTGCGCAGTAGGATGGTAATGTACGTCGTAGGAGTGGAGTGTATGTAAACTTGATGGAAGATAGAGTAGATGATAGTCGGTGGAGGAAAACGAGGTTTGGGTCAAATGAACGAAGCGAGCAAGAAAAGTGCAAAGTGGATAAACGTGGCATGCTGGCAGAGCCCGGATCGGTCTTATGTACTAACTTACGACGTTTACGGGGTGACCGGCTAGGGGGGAAATCCCAAAGGTACAAGCTAGCCGCTTGATGCTAGCTGCTAGCTGCTTTAGGTCGAGAAATTATCGCCGTTGTCGATCTTTACCTTGACAACTCCAACAAGAGTGAGGTTTTTCACTTTGTCTCAACTCATGCTCATCACTCACTCCAAGATCAAAAGAGGGCGGTCATCGAGGATGCAGGTCAATGCTCGATCTGCAACTATCTCCCCCACGGATTCATGGACCCATCGGTCATCGACCTATGACGCTTAACCTGTATGAATCACGGGCAAGATCGGGGAAATGGGGATAACTCTCGCTTAACTCGAATCAAAATATATTCAAAGACATCCTGACATCTGACGGCGACGGTCACGCACCTCCCTTTCACCACTTCGCTAACCTCTTTTGATCATACCGGGGTTCGCTTAATGAAAAGAAAAAGAGAGGTACGTGCTCACTGCAAACTTGATAGGCGAGTCGGCAAGTCGGAGCCGTTGTCCGGAAAGTGATCACCAATACCGTACCGATGTACGTTGCTCAGCTTGATTCTAGACCCGAGATAACCCTATAACCCTATTGATTCCGTGTCCTCAATTATCCGACTTGCACTTTCGGAAGAACTCATGATATGATGGATATGGAGTCATTTATGGTAGAAGCGACATTCAAAATCGAGTTCCTTCAAGCACTCTATTAATGAATCAATTTACTAGTTAATACTTACTCTATCGGTCCGATCAAATCTCCTCCTTCAACTGCCCATCTAGGTCTCCATATCCTCGTCTCGGAATCTTCAGTAGTTCCTGCCAACTGATCATCAGTCTCGACCACCTCCATACTTCTGATTTCTAGATGACGACGAAACGAATGTTTGAAGGAAGGAACGATTCAGGCAAGAACCGAAAGAAGTTTGCTAATGACCGAGGGAAAAAGAACTCACTAATTCATGACCCCAATCCACCGCACAAACTTCTTTCTTCTTCCCATCTCCAAACCTTGTAGCCCTTTCACATCCTTTAGGATTCACTTGCCAAGTCATTAAACCACCTTGACAACTCCCACTCGCTAAATACTTTCCATCAGAACTTACTGCCATCTTGACGTAAAATGACGAGACGAGTAATGATGGATCCGAGTATTTCTGAGGTAAGATGGCGATTGAATCTCCTTCTTGACAATAAGCTGATGGACGTAATGTGTGGATTTGAGAATCTCCGCATAAAGCGTATAAATCGCCAGTGGTAGGTGATTCCACTAAACTATTTATGGATCGGGATCTTCGACCGGGAATCAAAGTTGGGTCTGGTAATATTCCCAAGGGTGTACAAGAAGAAGAGGAATTGGAATCGTTCTTGATATCCGGAGTGAAACGTAAATCCCAGAGTTTGACAATCCTATCTATCAGCCGAGAGTATCGAAAACAGTAGAGCTAGGGCTGACATACCCATCGAAAGAACCTCCAGAAGCTAATACACCAGGCATGGCTTGTAGAGCTACCAAGCTTGTCACACTCCGTGTTGCCGTACGCTACATCGTCAGCATCGTACTGATGACAACACGCGAAGTCAGATCAGGTCCACACATTGGAGGAGATATGTATATGGAGGACACATCACATTAAAAACCACTGACTCCTGAGATACCCCGTTTCCCCGCCTCACCATGAGCAGCTTGAACAATCATGATAGGATCCAAATTCATTCCATCCTGTACCGAAAATCCAGGCACCCCCAAAGAATACCTCGCTTTGGTTCTTCGTCGATGTTGTTCATCACCGATCCGACCTCGACATCTCAAATCGTAAATCAAGATATTACCGTCTCTTCCACCTGAAGCAATGATGTTGGTATCTTTTACATGTGATCGTGATGGGTCGAAGAAAACGGCTGTTTTGATGGAAGAAGTATGACCTCGTAGAGTTGCCAATAATCTCGGTTCGGGTCCTTCGACAGAATGTAATCTGGTTGTTTGATCGCCGGATGTTGTCATCTGTTCATCAGCAGATATCAATGGGAAAATAAATCTCGATAAATAAATCAACGTCAATTGATCAAAGGGGCTAATTAGTCCTCACGAAACGGTGGAGACGTATGATCAGAATTCCTGTGATGACACAAAGACGGTTGTGAAGATGACGGATAAACTCACTATAGAAGTGTCATCAGGAGACCAACTGATATCGAAAATAGCATTCGCATGAGCTCTCCACCATAATCCTCTAGATTCTCTATGTGGTCCTAAGCCCTGATCAACATCTACGACCCTTACACCACCTTCTTCCCCCGCAACAGCTAATAATCGTCGTCTCCCATGTGCCCGAGCCATGGAGGAATCATAAGATTTGGCGATGGAGTTGAAAGCTACTCCTAATGCTGGGGAAAAATCTCGGGCGTGTCCAGTGGGAGAATGGTGGGAAGGGAGAAGGATGAGAGAGGGTGAGATGTCGGGGTTGTATGGTGCGAGGGAAGTGGCCAGAGTAGCGAGGTAAGAAGGATGACGAGTTGTAGCTATTCGTCAATTTCTATGAACCACTTCCTTCCCTCACTTCATTCCTTCCATCTGATATTGCCTGCTGCCAACTACCGCCGCTCCCGACGATACCGACACTCCTATCATTTGATTGCTGAGACTGGCGTGGAAATGAAAGAGAAAGAAATGAGAGATGTGCCGAAGATGATGAATAAACTCACGTAGTTCAGTCGATAATGAAATCAAAGTGTCCTCCATCCTACACACAAGCTGTCGTTTCCTTCTTCTCACCCAAACTTTCGACCTCCCTGATTCGAACACTTCCCTAGTGTCTTTCTCCAAATTCAAGAGAGATTTACTACTCTTTGCACTCCTTCTTATAAGTGAAGGAAACCAATCCCCCATGCCCATTCCCATCTCCCCGAGTTTATCATCATCATTCCGACTGATCTCTCCGCTGGGATCGTGACCGTAAAGAAAGGATTCAGTTTTCGAATGATTGATATCATTCTCTTTTGTAGAGGAAGAAGAAGGAGTTTTATCTTTTATAGGTGATCTAGGAGAAGAAGGTGTCCCACGATTGTGGATTTTCCCAAGAGAGGTGTATCTTTGGCGAGTAGGAGTGGATTTTGACGCGTCTCGTTGATGAGTCGGTGAGAGGGTGTTGGGTGATATTAGACCAAGAGGTTGGCGTTGAGTTGAAGGACGGGGCATTGTAGGATAGTTTAGTAGTTTAGAGGCAAGCAACAAGATGATATCCTAAGGTCGGAGAAGGTGGGAAGAAAGTAGACACAGACAAGGGTGCGGTGAATGTTGAAATGGAGGGAACGCGACGCGACTGATTTTCTATGAAAATCACTTTGAATTTTCGACATTTTCTTCTTGATTGACGCCTGGATTCCATCTTTGTGAAACGCGTCGACTTGTGATCTTTGAGTCCAAGCTCACCACGGGCCACGGGCAAGCCAGACGTTTGTGTCAGAGTATGCTGTTGTCGACTGATAAACTGTCAGTGTGGATGAAAGATGGCTCATAGAAGCACAAGTATGTCCCTTCACCTTCGGACGACGCATCCTATAGATTCATGCAAGATTTCTATACAACCTCCATTACCTCCCCCTCCCCCTCCACCTGCACCACCTCCAACCCATCATCCCCTTCCACCGCCACATTCCCCTTATACGCTTGATCCTCAGAATTCACAGTCAAACCAATCTGATGCCAAGTACTAGTCTCCTCCCTCGTTATCTCCCTCAAAGCCATCGTAGCGTACACACTAGCCGGTAATGTGAGCTCAATCTTCAAAGCTCGGAACCGACCGTTAGGATCGTCCGTAGCGGGAATATTGAGACCGAGCAAGGCGTCTTCGTCCGATTGTACCAGAGCCAAATCAGGATCGGTATACTGTATATGTGTCCATGAACATTGAGAAGGACGAGTGAGTAATTTGCGGTATGAACCAGGAAGGGAATAGTCTCTAAAACATTATTGATTTTATGTTAAGTTTCATTATCATGTAAAGACTCACCGTTGTTCTCTTCTCATACGATGTAAATCTAAACCATCTGCTTTCATTATATCCTCATATAATTGTCCAATCTTTCCAGAGGGATATTCCACATTCCATCCTGGTAAAGGCATAACGACGTCGAATATCGTATAACTTCCCAATTCCTCCGCTGTGAGAAGTTTGACTTCTGAAGAAGATGAAGATTCCCATTTCTGTTTCTTCCCTTCTCCATTAATTCGAGTTTCTTCTTCCATTTCATCTGTTTCTGAGCATATCATTCCACATCTCACCACCACTTTCATCTCCAGATGAGATTCAACGTTCTGCGTGTGATGAAACCTTTGCTCACCTTCCATCTCATTGGCATGAACCAAATCCCCCACCATGGGTTGATCAGACAACTTCATCCGTTCAGAAACTACTAAATTCCAAATGTAACTTTGATAAGCATGAACGTACATTGTCCTTAGATTTCTCGGGATCTGACATAAGCTTTCTTATTTTGAAGATTGTATGTGACAACTCACTGTACCCAAAGCTCCTAGCTTATCCTCGGTTTGTTTATGTCTCACCCAGTGTTCCCAGATAGCTCGCTCGGCTACGCTACGACGAGGCATGAGCTCCAAAGCTTTTACAGGATCTTGATCTTCCAACCAGGCGAGTCGACCAGCTACACAAGTGGGATGTTCACCTTCTCTAAGTGATAGGATAGAATCGACCGCAGCACCCCAATTACCGCGGAGGATATGAAGTCCGGTGATGTGTGTCGGAACGGTGGATGTACCGAATCGTTGCATTCCTGGTAAGTCAGAACCTTGCAACATATCTTTCCAGTATTATCAGAGATTAATGATCCTATGTCATGAGAGGTTCGTGACAGACAGGAGGAGGCGTAAAGGGAATGGACTGATAAAGGTAGAGGAACGTACCGTAGAAATTGATGAAACCTCTATCCCGCAGGGAAGTCATGACCTCATCAATTGACTTTGTATCCTCCGCTTGGACGTTTCTGCAAATCAGCGAATGTCAAGAAACAGCTAAGATCAACCTACCGAAGAGTGATCACAAATTGGTTTCCTTTCAACATTCCCAATTCCAGAAACTGATCTGAATACTCCAAATCTCCGATCCTACAGCCCCTTTCGGCCCTTCGTGTGATTGCAGCCTGTTCAGTATTTCTCCGCCCCGTAATTCCATTGATAAGCTTCCAAACCCCTACTAGTGTTTTACCTGCATGAGAATTGTTGCCACGTCTCAAACATACTCGTTGAACTGTGACAGCTCTCTTGTCTTTCGTGCCGCATACAGTCAGGTCTTTCGGATGACAATTGAGTAAACGGGAGAGATGAGAGAGACAATCTTGTGTTTCACGGTTAGTTTTGTGTAGAGTGAAATGTATGTAAGGGGGGAGTTTGATCTTGTCCTCTTCACCAGTGTCAGCTGGTAGATTCTTTTCCCATGATACAAGAAACTCACTCTTATCATCTTGTTTGGGTTTTTGTTGTCGTGTTTGAGAGGATGATCCATGTGCCCATTTTATGATGATTCGAGAACCTTCTTCACCCTCTAGTTGGCGGGTACTGGTCTCGAACGCTGATTTGAACAGTTCTCTTATAGTCTTGTGCGCTTCTGTCCTGGCCTCTTTTGTGGTTATAACCTGTCTCATCAGACTTGAATAGGGCGCACACTGCTCGGACTCACTTGGGAGACGACCTCCCGATCATCTTGGACAGTACCAACACCCCCTGACCCGCCTCCCCTACCGCCTCTACCACCTCGTGATCCTCCTCTACCGCGGCCACCCCGATCACCACCTCTGGGGCTTCGTCCCAAATATCCATCTCGGGGCATGCCGTTCATTCCTGCTTCTTCGCTCGCTACTTCCGCTTCGACGACAGCTTGACGAGATCCCCAACCACTGTCGCTTCTCCGTGGTGCTACCTTTCCCTCAATGAAGAGGGTACGAAGAGCAATGATAGACTGGTCTGAGAAGACTTTCCGAAGATATTGAGTGGTAGAAATAGGCCATTGGGATGAAGGAGGGAAATGTAATTCGGTCGGAAGCTCCGCGTGAAACTCTGGAATCTCCTCTATCTCCACAGCTGTCTCCCGTGATACTTCAGGCGCAGGGGGTTCGGCTACTGGGATAGCCTTTTCTACGTTTTCATCCGTTGCCATAGACTCATCAGTCGTCGGAACGGCTGAGCCGTTGTCGCTCTTCTCGGCATCGGCTCTTTTCTCCTGTCGAGGTTCCGAAGGTTTGGTGATGTCCTTCAGGTGCAAAACCTCTCCATTTGGCGTGACCTCATATACCATAAAGTCTGTAAAACTCATGGTCAGTTTTTCTGTCTCGATGTGAAAGGCACAGAGACTCACCGCTGCTTGATCACCCCTCTAACACCTTTGATTCCCGCAGGTCCTGCAAACCCAATAATCCCCACATCCTGTTCACCCACAAAACCCTTGCGTTCTCTCATATCCGACTTTACACCAGTCACAAGCTCGAGAGATGGAGGTAGCTGAGGAGGTATAGGCTTGAGACCGAGTCTCGAGACGGGTTGAGGAAGCGTTTCGTTGGCCGGTCTGATCCGTTCGAAACTTTCAACCTCAGCATCGTTTTGTGGTTCATCGGTCGTGGCGACTACATCAATCGGAGGTTCCCCGGACTCTGACTCTACCCTAGGTCGTTTGACATCACCTTCACCTTCACTTTCGACGCTGGGTGATCTGGACCGCTTGGTCGTCTCCAGCTCGACGTTGTCCGTCATTTTGATGTTGAAAGTCAGTGGAAGAACTTTTTGGGTGGAAATGGTTTTGCCCCATGGGGAAACATCCATCGCCACGTGGCACGAAAATTTCCCTCCCATTGATTTCGAGATCACTTGTACCACTATGTCCTTTCAATTTGCTCGGCAAGCATGACCCTCTCATACAGCTCAATCGCCAGTCAGGCAAGCAAAGATCCAATACAAACTATCGCTCAATTATCAGATCAAGTGAGCGTGGAAGTGTCCCTCCCTTCCCAGGCTGGTCCTTCGAAGCAATCACTTAACGTCAAGCACCTCGTCCTCGATGCCGGGCCTTTTCTCTCTTTCACTCCACTCCGACATCTCGCCCAGCGTTTATATACCACCCCTCAAGTAGTCGCTGAACTCCGTGATCCAAGATCAAGGGAACATTTTCAGAATTTAGGCTTACAAGGTGTCGACGTCAAGGTGGAATCACCGAGGTCGGATGCACTCGCTCGAGGTGAGCTCCCTGCAGACGGGAAACTGATAGCTGACCTTTGCAGTCATAGAATTCTCAAAGAAGACGGGAGACTATGCCGTGCTATCTCAGACTGATCTGGGGGTGGTGGCTTTAACTCTGCAGTATGAGTTGATGGAGAATGGTGAAGCCAACGTACGGACCGAACTTGGTCAGCGGAAAGGAAGTGCCACAGAGCTGGTGGGTGAACTTACGAATACGGAGCGTTCATTGGAGAATAATGCCGAGATTGAAGAAGGCTCAGAAGAGTCCTCTGATGATGGGGAAGAGCCGGGGAAGGAAGGAAAGAGGATTGAATCTGGAGGTGAGACTGAAGAGATCAAACGTGTCGACGTGGAAGAACTTAGTAGTCCTCTCAGCGAGGTCGATGCGGAACATCAGGTGTCAGAAGCATCTATCACACTTCAACGGATATCCTTGAAACCCGAAGTAACCGACCTGTCGTCTGGAGATGCGGGTCAGATAGACACGCTGGCCTCGTCCCAGGTCGTGGAGGACGACGAAGAATCTGGAGGCGAATGGATCACCCCATCCACCCTCAACAAACATCGCTCACACGATCTCGGTCTCACTACAGGAGGAGATGATTCGGATCGACCACTTGCGGCAGCGTGTATGACGGGAGATTATGCTGTTCAGAATGTATTGCTAGGAATGGGTCTGGGCCTTGTCGGGGATGAAGGAAAGAGGATTTCGAAAGTTCGTAGTTGGGTCTTGAGGTGTCATGCTTGTTTCAAGTACGTTTCTCTTTTCCACCTTTTTATATGCTATCCGCTTCGTAATCAACCACGCACGTCATAAAGTATTCTCTCTTGCTCATGACCTTTCTAGACAAACAGAAAGCGATGACTGACATGACAGGATTTGCCGGGACCCTAGTAAACGATTCTGCCCTTCATGTGGTAACGCAACACTACTCCGAACTACGATCACCACTTCTGCCTCCGGCAAGCAGCGCATCCACCTGAAGAGAAATTTCCAGTATCATCTACGAGGCACAAAATACTCTATTCCTGATTCCAAGCCGGGCAGAGCCAAAGGACAACAGAAAGGAGGGTCAGGATTGATTTTGAGAGAAGATCAAGGAGAGTGGCTAGATGCTTTGAAGACACAGCAATGGCAGAAAGCTAAGGAAGAGAAGAAGATAGCCAAGGGAGTGTTGGAAGGTTGGAACGATCCTGATGTAAGTCGATGGCCTCCAGTACTTCCTCATGAGTCATGAGAGCCTGTCCGAGAGGGGAACGCTGATGATTTAGTGGTTACCTGACATCCTCACTGTGGGTAATTCCGGAAAGGGGCGAAATGGACCTGGTGGGATGCCCACCATAGGTCATGGGAGAAAGAATCCTAATCAAGCCAGGCGAAAGAGATAGTAAGCCTGTGAAGAACTAAGTACGGAATGGCAATGTGTAATCTATGTTGATACAGAAAAAGCTAATCAACTTCTGACCGGTGCTAGAAAACGTAACAGAGCACATTGTGCATTATTCCAAGATACCAAACATGCTTTATACTTCTACAAGAACTTCACAAGTACTTTCGAAATTTCTCATTCCAACTACCTCCCTTTCGCAGACTACCTGTGAACCTTTGGGACTTGGAAAGCTGAGAGGACGAGAGTTCTACAATCGGGAAGATCGATGGTGAAAAGGGATCATGATACTTGTCCTAATTGATCAGAACTGACCTAAGCCAGATGACTACTGACAATCACTCACGGTAACCATCAAAGAAAGTTCGGACGTAGAACTCCCTCCCAACGAAAATTTTGACTTGAGTTGTCGTCGACTTTTGAAACCGTCCTCAAAGCCGAACATAGTACTGAGAGGAGGCAACAGAGGCTTCTTCCTCATAGCCGACGACCGCCACAAACCAATGCCGCTCTCCGTGAGTGGAGAAGAGCTCAGATTGACATTCTCCACAGCTCCAGTGGTGGATCTGGAAGTGTTGGAAGGGTCCGAGGCTGAGACGGATCGTCGAGACCGAGATGTCCGACCGACTTTGAATGAAGGTCGCCGCTGATACAAGCTCCGCAGGGAGAAGTCGGGATGAGACAGTGCGGGTAGAGGATTAGTATGGATCATAACGTACGGAGAGCCAACGGTGGAAGAGAATAGTGGTGAAGTTTTGAGGTGTGATTGCGAGCGAGGATTGGCTACATGATCAGCGTCTGCATCCCGGCGAAGAGATGTCAGACACACCTATGAGCGAAGCTAGGGGGTCGAAGATGCTCAGACACTCGGCTCCCTCGAGGCATATACTCGCTTCACCAGTCAAATACAACGCCATTTCTTTCCATTGGGCTTCCACCTCCCTTCGATCACTTTCAGATAATTTACTATAAGGGGAAGCACGACGTATGACGTTGGGAGGATGATTGATGATGGAGGAGAAACAGTAAAGAGGGTAAACAGTGGGAGGTGAAATGAATTGGGAACCCGAGTGATCTTCACATCGTACCGGATTGGAAGGTGTCATACTGAGAATGAGGTATTAAAGAGATAGTATTGTACTGAAATGGAGATGTCCTCGACCAAATTTACGTTATGCCAATGTGGACACGGCGAGTGGAGGTAGTTTACGTAATCTTCTTTGCCACTAACCTCTCGATTTTGAAGATCTGTCTCTTCTCGACATTCTTCTCCCTCTTCTTCTCTTTCGCCCCCTTTCACTATCAACTACCACACCTTTTGCCCTTCTTCTTCTTCTTTCAAAGTGTCAGTTCAGCAACCTCTTCTATCAGCCTGAGAAAAAATGACTGCTACGCGTCTCGTCAATGGTCTCGCGTCACCACCCGCGACTGAAAAGGAATCCTCGGCTGCGTCCCCTCCGCGAGTCGTACTCGCCGGTAAGACGGGTCGAATCTTATGTGTCGCCGACATCCGGGGAGATCGTGAGTCTCAATATCTCTCAACTGATTCTATACTTCATCAGAGCTGAGCTTGGGGAGAGACGTCGAGCTGACACTTCTTTCTCTGTGTACGCACAGACCACGAGCTCAACCGTTTGATCAGAGAACACGAAGCTACTGCCGTCATCCACACTGGTGACTTTGGTTTCATCAACTCTGAATCTCTCGATCGTATGAATGACAAGTGAGTTTCTCGTCCTGTCCATATTTAGTCTGTTTTTTCTTATATGCTGACACCATTAGTGTGCTCCGTCACCTCATACAATACTCTCCTTTGCTTCCTCCTGCTACTCGTCAGCAATTGTTAGCCATCCCGCCTTCCGCTCCTCGAGCGGACCTTATCAAGGCGTTGAATGATTCATCCACTCATTTTCCCCTCTCTCAATTTCCTCATCTTCTCTCAGGTGCTATCACCTTTCCCGTCCCTGTCTTCACTGTCTACGGACTGATTGAGGATGTGCGCGTCATGGAGAAATTTAGGACGGGTGAATATGAGGTCCACAACTTGACCATACTTGATGAGTGCTCTACAAGAGTCATAGATGTCAGTGGTATCAAACTACGTCTCTTTGGTTTGGGAGGAGCTGTCGCTTTTCACAAGCTATGTGAGTTCATCAATCTGCATTCGGGCCAAGCTGACAGTCGTAGTTGATAGTGGTGGGTACTGTGATATACTAAGATGATCGCGGCTGACGTGAGAAGGAGATGGTCGTGCTACCATCGCTGGTGGAGAAGGTACAATGTGGGCCACAGCTTTACAGATCGGAGAGCTCATCGATACTGCCCAACGAGTAAGTCAGGGGTTATTACCCAATGGACCTACTGACCCGGAAATAGAATTTCGATTCCACCGAAACTCGACTACTCATCTGTTCTGCTCCCGTCAGTCGGCATGGTATCTTGGCTCAATTGGCATCTGTCATTAAAGCCGATTTGACTATTTCTGGTGGTCTACATTGTCAGTATCGCTCACCTTTCAGTCATGTGATACGCTGATACCTCCCAGTCCGCTACCCGGCGTCTTTCAATGACTATTCTATTCATGGCGACTTTGATCTTTACCAAAACAAATTCATCTCTGCCCGAGACACATTCAGCTCTGTGTACAGTACAGTGAAGGATCGCATAGAGAGCAGCTTGACGTCAGTGGACCTTCTCCTTATGCCGATTCGCCTCTGACATGAACAGTCCTGAGCAGATAATATTGTTGAAGAAGACTTTGGCGGCAACTGAATACGTACCCAAGGCTCCTCAACATGAGGCGGATGATCAGCATTGGACAAACCAATGGCATTGGGTGCTTTCGTGAGTGCTTGGTGTTTCAGTCTATCTGAGCCCATTTGACTTGATAGAGATGCGTCAACTGGCCACCTTCTATTGTCGATCACAGATGCTCGGATATCGATGGAGAGTAAAAGTCAAGGTAAGTAAAAGAACGACGAATCTTGTGGACATCACATTGACTGAAAGGAATCAACTTCGCACATCGGTCAGCAAATGCTCCTGCCCCACCATCGGCGCCTCTGCCTACCCAGCCCCAGATACCAGTTCAACAGCCTCAGCGTTCCACTGCAGAGCCTCATTCATTCCCCAAACCAGGAGCTATGCCTCCGGTGCGCTCAGAACCTGTGCATGGTTTCGAGAAACCCCCTATCAACCGCACTCAACCGTCTATGAACACTTTCAGACAACCCATTCCTCCTAGACCTTTGCAGATGCCCAACAGACCACCAACGAATCCCAATGGACCCGTCGCACCACCGGCCGCGACGTCAGGAGTCCCAGCGCAGATCAACACCAATGGTCCCCATCCGGTCCCCAGCCGACCTGCAGGACAGGTACCCCGTAATCCTCGTGGACCTCCAGGGAATTTGGCAGGCCACGCTCTCGCAGCGGCGGGTATGTCGAAACCGGAAAACAAACCATCTATCAAAGAAACCGAATCTCGGCAGGGTCCCATCGCAGGTAGACCCGCTCTGTCGCCTGCCAATGGTAAAATCACCCCTGCGCCTGCTCCTGCCCAGACAGAAAACCGAAAGCCGGACGCTGCAATCAACGGCCGAGAGGTGGCGCGAGAGTCAGAGGCAAAGGAAGGTGTCAATGGTGAAGAGGCTCGGGGCACGCCTGCCGACGGCGAGGAAAGGACGCATTCGAGGAAGAATTCCCTTTTCATCAAAAATCTGCCACAGCCTGTCAAGGATGAGGATATACGCAAGTCGTTTGGCGCCCTTGCCGACAAGGTACGTCTGGAACTCCCTGGTGAGGTTTCAACTGACTTGTAGATCACCCATGTCAAGGTTCCCTATGACCATATCAGGAAGAACACCAGAGTGAGTGTCTCTGCTGTCATCGCTACCGTTGTCTGATGGCTTAGGACTTTGGCTACGTCGACTTTGCCACTGAAGAAGATGCTAAGGCTGCTCTTGAATCTCACACGGGGGTGAGTCCAGACTTTGCTATGCGCTAGATGGCTGCTTACAGATTGCAGAAAATCGGTGACAAGGAAGTCCAAGTCAGCATTTCGAATCCTCCCGCCCGACCGCCATTCGATCCGCGCAACTCTCGTGGTCGGGGTCGTGGGTCTTTCCGCGGAGTGAGCGGTATGAGGGGAAGAGGCATGGCTCATGGGACTGCTGGGTCGAGGGATATGACTCCGAAGGAGGGTTCTGGAGAGAAGGCGAGCACGACGGGAGGTAATGTTGCTTCTGGTGTAAAGAAGGAGGTGTCTAATGGAGCGGTACGGAAAGAAACTCCTGCACCGACTGTCAAGGCAGAGTGAGGGAAGTGGTGTGAAGTGGTCAGATTGGGTTTCCACGAGTCGATAGCATTTTTTCCAACATTCCCCTCAACATACAACGACAAGCGTCTGTCCATAGTGACTCTTCATGTGGCCGTGGCAGAGACTGACGATGCATTGTGTACACGTCTGTCTAGTCTGGTTGTTTGTAATTCGATTTCATACTTTGAGTGACGTTTCACTTGCTTAATTTTCTTGCCCTTTCCCTTTTCCCTTTTACAGATCACATTTCTTTTCATTCCATTTCTTTTCATTCCATTTCTTTTTCGAGAGATATATTCAGATGGACTGGTCAGAGTCGCGGCGTTGAGGCCAGACTAGATATTTCATGCGGTTTGTTTACGTCGCATGACCACCGTGTCGGTGTTGTAGCGATAGATGAAAGTACCTTTCTGGTGAGATCAGTGAACCGTGTTCGACGCTTACTCGCCATATCATGACTGATTTATATTTGCAAGGGAGAGAGTTACGATCAGGAAAAGTATAGATGGGAAAACTTACTTCTTTATCTACCCATTGCTTATCCCCTTCCCTGATCAAACGTCTCAATTCTTTTTCGAAATCAATCCTACGTTGACCGTTCAAGTGTTTTTCAGTGAGATAAGATTTACTAAATAATCTCTGTACCAACTACTTTATCAATACTGTATAATACTCTCACTCCTCTCCTTCATACACATATCCCACTGTTCCGAGCATATCCCCACAGTTCCAGCATTTCCCCACTATGGGCTTTAACCTTGGTCATCTACATTACTCAAAGAACTTTGGACGATAATCGATGATACACAGATGAAGTGATGTCATGTCATGTGAGATTGAGGTAAAGTATTTCACTCACCATATCTTCATCCATCACCATTTCCCATTCACTAGTTCCCATTTCAGGAGGTTGAAAACCATTCTTATACGTTTTCGCCTCAAAAGTTTGTCTCCATAAACCACGATAATATTGAGGAGAACCTAAATCGAGTGGTTCGTATAATTCTCTTAGAGAACGGAACCAACCTAATTCGTTGGATTCTATATTCCATACGAATACGAGTACTCCATCTGGTTTTAGGTAATCTAAGATTTCCGTCTGTCACATCAGCGTCTCGTCTCATCTCATCTCATCTCATCTCATCCAGTCAAATCAATCTTTCCTGAATTCTTCTTTTTCTCACTAAGCTCAAGAATAATTGTGATATATGATATATGATATATGATACATGATATATGAGATTTGAAGTTTGAAATTTGAAATATGACTCAACTCACCAAAGCTTTTTCATGATCTGGACACCAATGCCAAGCTTGAGCAATAACGATCCCATCCACTTCTCCTTTTTCCACACCGGTTTTTGAAAAATCATCAAAACTACCTTGTACACATTTAACTTCTTTACCTTCTAACAAAGTTTTAGGAATACGTTCTAATCCTCTAAACCAAGCGTTTCTCATACCTTCAGAAGGTTCAACACCGATCAATCTTTTGATAGGTATTTTAGGATAATCAGATGTAGGTGGTGAGATAAGTATACGTGAGAAAATACCAGTTCCTGATCCTGGTTCGAGGATTGTGAGGTTTGAACGAGGAGGGAAAGCTGATGATACTGTCCAAAGGGCTGAAGAAGGGTATGAAGGACGTGATTTGTCGTACTATCGTCAACAAACCTTCCGCCCATGTCATTCTAAGAATCCGCTTGAGCACTTATCACTTTGCATGAAGAAAGACTTATCAAATAAGTTTATACGAGATGTTCCCCCGCGGGCAGAATGGGGGGGGGGGGGGGAAGTAAACTGTAAACATACTCACCAAATCATTGGTCCCCTCACTGAACCCACTGGCGGCTACATCATGCACTTTGGTCCCTTTAGACATACCGTTACTGCTCACACTTCTATATACCTTCGACGATGTAGGTGATATGACAGGTCGAAGTGAACGAAATACACAAGGAAGAAATGACATTCCACTCACACCACCCTTAAACTCATACACATAGGAATGTGGAGTCGGAAATAGATTTTTGGTACTTTGTTGGGGATGAGTCCATTCATTCCATTCAGAGTGAGTGGACGAGGTGGAGGTCAAACCCGCACAAATCCGAAGAGTTTCAATCGGTCATTTTCGGTCCGACGACCGATACGGCCTGAACGCCGATGACGTCTTTTCGGATGGGCAGACAACGATCAACGAACGAGTCATCATGCCTTGTTTTGTTGAGGTGCAATAGGAAATTGTCCTAAGGGGCGCGCCTAACTTTTGCACAGTGGTTTCCAACATGTCTGCTCAAAAACGCTCAATCTCTACAGTGCTATTGATCTTATTGAGTATCGTCAGTACACACCGAAGCTCATGCAAGACTCAAATCTGATGGTAAGGTGGACAACGAGGTCAACGAACAAGCAAAGACATGATACGAATTGGACGATTAGAAGAGCACCATAGATGCATATGCAAGCGATTATTCCTCCTCGGTGGTATGCAAAAGAGGTTCCTCTGTCGCCTGCGACTGTCTATTCTTCCTCTCTCTTTCCTCTCCTCTGCACCATGACTAATTCGTAGGACATGACATACACATGTAAGAATGGACATTGATAAATGAATGTACGGACGCTATCTGAGCAAAGCAAAGAGTAAAGGGATAATTGTGAGAGTGACAGAAGGTAATGTTAAAGACCGTCCAGCGGCGTTTGATGCTGATAATCCTCCTGTTGAAGTAGAACCATCTGATGAGTTGTTGGAGGTAGAGGAAGTATCGGGGATGACCACTTGAGATTGGGGAAGTTCGGCGACAGGAAGTATGGGTTGTGTTTCGATTTGACCAGACCCAACCATGATGATCTAAGACCATTAGTCTAATGTTTCATCACAGCGAATGATGATCTTCGGTATTCAAAGGAAAGATGCGAATAATGGCATGAGGTTTGAGAGAGAGTGAAACTCACAGAGCCAACAGAGGGAATCCCATCAACGACAAGGAAAATCAACACTGGACCAGGTTGGAAAAGATTCGCATTGGGTGGCATCTGACTGACGTGCATCATGACTTCACCGGTACTTCCATCCTTGGTATAGGTCGAATTGAGTTCGAGATATTTCTGACCCCAGTTGACACCATGTGTCGCAAACCCGGTCCGGATGACAACCACTTTGCTCTGATTTGGATCAGAAGAAGAGTTGGTAGGCGTGTAAGTCAGATTCCAAGCCTCACCGCCGTACGTGAGAGAGCTTGGGAAACCGGATGGTTCGGGACGAGGCAAGTTGTACCAGTGGGGATACCAACGTTCGACGGAGTATGATGTTGGCCATGGGTCATAGCTGACGTCGGCTCGGGGGTTGCTGCCTGCGAGAATGATTGATCCATCGGGGAGGAGGAGAGCTGTGGAATGATACATCCTCTCATGCTGGGAAGGACTCAGACCATCACGATTGAAGCGTGAGCCGAGAGGAGCGTCGGGATCGTACAAGACCGGCGTGTAGACTGGATCCTGTCCATACGATTGACCGATCGAATAACCTTCGTTACCATATCCCGCAGTCCCCATACCGACACCGTTACCGAGCCACAACTTTCCATCAGGTAGGAAGACAAGTGACCCCATACTACGTGGTTCCGGTAGATTGTCGTCGTCGACGTATTGAGGATCTTCATCCATGGGACGGATACGGACACATGTGTCGTCTGCTGCATATGCCGTGACGTTGAAGTTGGCACCTCCGTCTGAAGACTTGTTGAAAGGTGCAGATGATCCACCACAGAAGAGAATGGTGGGCTCGTAATTATTGGCGGGGGTAAGGGGTAGCATGACTGCGGCGGCCGAAGCAGGGTAGACTCTGACAGCATAAGGCATTTGGGGAAGGGGAATCTCAGTCTTGCTGTCAAAGTCATACATGATGGTTTCGTAGGCCGCCTGCATGAACATTTGACCTGTGTGGTCAGTAAAGGTATTCTACGGCTCAGGCTGAAGGGATTTACCATTGGGCATGAGCCAAGATAGTGGGAAGAGGTTGATTGGGACTGTACGGTTGAGAAAGTCCATGGGGATGGCACCTGAAGGTTGTTTAGGGAAGAATTCGTAAGACGCTTCGTTCTGGGCAAACGTGGAGACGTAACCGCCGTTATGATCTCCCCCCATCACACAAAGGGAGCCATCTCCCATGGGTTCGACGGTGGGGTACCAACGGTGAGCCTAAACAGGTCAGCGAGATCACTTTCGACAAATGTGATGATAAACTCACAGCCATGGTCAGATCTGCGCCACCTTGTTCCCAATCGCAGTTCTCCCCATCACATGGGTTTAATATACGGACGGCTGCTCCACCATCCAGATCCATATAGGGATTAGTACCAGACGGGTTGTTGAACTTATCGTTGACGGCAGTTCCATTGTATGTGACGGGTTGGTTTCCACCGAATACGGCCATACGACCATCGGCCATGTAACTACCACATGCACAAAAGGTATTGGCAGTAACTTCCATGGCTATGGGAGTGTTCGTTCTGAGGTCGTATCTGGCGCCCCAAGCGGGATGCTTGGTGCCATTGGTCGTTATGGAGAACTCATTGTTCTCGGCTTCTATATTCATGTCAGCATGGATGAAGATAGAATGACATGAGAGGCTGAGCGGTCACACATCCTTTATCCTGGTTTTGGGTGGGTTGTATGAAAGACTCACTGTCGAGAATGAAGATGGTGTTTTCTGTCCCTAGGAATATCATCTGCGCCGATACTCCTGATTGTCCCACATCTTGAAATCCACCAGCAGGTGCGTTTGCGCGAGCTAGTTGTCGATGTCGTTCTTGTCTTAAAGGACTATGGGCGGCGAGTGTGAAAGCGAAGGGAAGGGCGGATGCAAGTATGATACGACGCATGTTGAATGATAATGACACTATACAAGGAACGTAATGATTGAAGGAGAGGAAGGTATGTTTATTATAAGGTCGTAGATTAGATCCCACACTTCTATGCTATGTGAACAGGATGGTCGTAAAGAAAGAGAGGGGGATGGTTGATGTTGAGCGTTGATAAGGGAAGATCAATCCGTCGATTCCGAGGGGCGGGTGGGGGAAGTCGGTACGAGTCGGTATGAGAGGCGGTGTGTAGAAAGTGGAGGGGAGTAAAGAGCGTGATGAGATAGGAGAGAATGAAGAAAGAGAGAGAGGATGGAAGCGGGGGGGGGAAGGTACTGATAGAAGAGATCAAAGCGTAGATGAGGTTAAGAGGTCAATGTTGTCACAGGAAATCTCAGGGTCACAAAACGGAACCCGCACTCGGTAAAGGTGATATTAGGGGGCGATGAAGGAAGTAAAAATACTGCTTTCGATTGAGATATCGGCGTCGAAAACGTACGATTGGATATGATGTTTGTTTGCCGATCCAGCGGTCGAGAGAGGAGTGAGATGTTCAAGTTGAGAGGATTGTATGATTTCATGGGAAAATTAGAGTGGTTATTATTATGATTTTTGATACAAAGGGGAGCATTGGGCTACTAGGCTACTGTGTGGCTGCTTTGGAGCAAGGCGATCAAGGCGAGTTTGAATAAAAGATCAAAGCACCAAAGGTATACTCTGAAACGCGTCCTGCCACCGCTCGGACACCCGAACAAGCCCCCCCTTCCCCTCGGCGTCCAAAAAAAAACTCAGTCGCGCTTTGTTGATCGGAAGGATGTTCAGGCACATAATAGGTCCCGCACTGCTTGCATGTAGTCTGGCTTCCGGCGGAACGCGAGGATGTCTTTTTCTTCGGCTAGTGCCATCTATTCCTGTCCTACCTCTCACAGCAAAAGTATGAAAATAAACCAGAACATTGTCCTTTTTGGTACAAAAGTCATACTGGTACCGTACAGGCAAGTTTGATCATTCGTACTGGAGTCATGCTCACTTTCTGATCAGACGAGAACATGTTGAAGTGAGCCAAGCCCCTTTAGCCCTGGACTTGTACACGTTACGGGACATTACTCTACTGCTTCTCGACTCTGCAACTCTGACGATCGACTTCCTCTCTTGTCTTCTGATACTGATCTGTTTTTCATCGACAATGTAGCATGAGTAAATGTTCGTAGGAAGAACAATGGCGTGGACTTCTCTTTGCTTCTCCCACACATGGTGTTGAAGTTGCAGAAATACCACGAATGGATGCAAGATGTTACTCTGCGTGAAGCCACAGCGAGCGAGCCTTTGACCCTTGAAGAAGAGTATGAAATGCAACGTAAGTCTTCATCGTTCAACTTTCTCTTCCTTCTGCTGACTCTTTAGGGAAATGGGCGGAGGATGAAGACAGTGCATTCTTTCTCATACTGTCCCATGTGATGGAGCCAGATGTGGGATTTGCTGACGTGTAGAACTCACATTCATCATTTTAGCTCGACAATATCACTCCGCTCCAAGATCAGGTGAAGAGAGAGAAAGTCGAATGATAGGAGATGTGAATATGTTTCTTGCGGATGGTTTTGAGGGAGATGCGGAATGTGAGATTATGATTGCTGGTAAGTTGCTTCATTCCACCTTCCACTTCCATCTCCCCGGATCGTATCCCAATCGTCATCCATTCCACCTGATCTGGCTGGACTATGTGACAGCAGTCGGTGTATTTTGAAATTAGGGTGTGTCTTTTTACTCTCATCTGGGTGAGCCAAATCCAGATATGCTGATATCAAGATCCCATCGATAGAGGTAAAGGTTACGCAGGGGAAGCCATGAGAATATTGTTCGTTTTCGTTTCTCTCTTCTCAAGGTTCACATTGATAAATAGTCTCTCATACATCACCACCAGACTCAATATCCGTCCTATCCAGCTCATAGCCCGGATAGGTAATACAAACCAGGCTTCTATACGATTATTCCAAACACTCGGATTTGATATTGAAAGGGTGGTGGATGTTTTTGACCAAGTTGACCTGCGTTGTTCTCGTTCTTCCATCGACGGATGGGATGCTATTCCAGCGGAAGAAGAATACGATTCCTCGTCTTTGAAGCAATGAACCTTACTCCTCCCGTCGAAGCCTTGTGACAACGCTGGATGTTCGGATTCCCCATGAACATTGTTGTATTGTAGGGTTGAATTCTGAAGGGGGACATACGAACGGTCGGTTGCAAGACCCATCATATAAATTCTTGCTTCCGATGATTGCAGGGTGAATGACGATCAATTTCAAGAACATATGGCATGAGAAGGATGATAGATGTGATTTCAATGCATACTTCCTATTGACCCCCTTCATCCTCTTTCACCAAACCCAACGAAACGATCACACCCGATGCCGCTTTCTCGGCAGCTTTACGAGCATCAGAAGTTTCATGTTTGACCTTTTGTTGAAAATGTGATTTTATTTCTTTAGCTCGGGCGATCTGTCAGGTCATTATCAAGATTCACCGTCGGCCGTCGGAATGATCCAAAGGGGTTTGGCGGGATGGTCGCAAACGTAGCATTTTCAAGAATGATAGAATGATAGTCGAGTGGAGGAGACGCATCAATGAAGAGAGTAATGGGTTTATGAAGTTTGAAGATAAAAGAACGTGTGATACGAAACATTGATATATGATATGAACGTAGAATGTGTAGATGAAAGGCAAAAAACCGAGTCAGCGTTGATATTCACGAAGCAAGAAGAAGAAGAAGAAGCAGAAGAAGGAGAGAAAGCAGAAGAAGAAGAAAAGATTCACTCACTTCTTTGGTCCTATGTAAACATTCTAAATAATCTTCTTTAGGAGCAATACATTCGTTCGGTACATCTGCTTGAGCGTAACATTTAGCGAATTCTTGCCAAAATGGAAAACATCTAGTTCGTCCTATTTTCGTCAACTCTCATCCTCATGTGGTCGAACCAATCTCAAAGTCCCTGATGGGGTCTAATCTCTTATGAACACAGAGTAAATTCTATTGAAAAAAACGAGCAGATAGTTTACTTTTATCATCTGATAATACGGGTCAGATCTAATTGTTCTGTAAGGACGATCTAAAGAGTCAATGTGGGGAAGAAAGGAGGAACGAGTAAGGTTGGGAAGGGATACAGTACATCTCAATATCGCATGAGAAGTAGCAGTAGAAAGAAAAGAAGAAAGTGATCTTACCACCAGTATAACCGAAACCCGACTATACATCAACATCAACTTCATCTCATACAAATTAAGAATACTTACGGCCATCTTAAGAATGAGGAATCTAAAGTTCCAATTGACGATGGAGACAAGTTGATGTACAGTACTTACAGGCTAGTTGCGGTCTGATGAGTACGAGTGATAATGTTTCAGAGACCCGAATGACACGTCATATTCCAATTCCTGAGGTAAGTCACCGCTTTTGATGATCCGCGTCGGAATCGTATTTTGAAGTAAAAGTTACTCACTTCGAGACCTTTGAAGCTTTGATTTAGTAGTTTGTACCATGTACCGTTGACGCAAATGGTCATAGTTGTAGCATGTAGCATATGGTATGCGTTGGGAAATAATCATACAGGGGTAATCAGACGTTGGTGAAGATATGCATACTGTACTGAATGTTGTACTTAGTATTCGTTCATCAAGTCGCCAAGAAAACGTCATCACACGTTGTCTCTCCTGTTGTTCTGTTTCTCCACCTTGTCATTCAACAACTTACCAATAATAGCACTTTCTTTTCAAATCTCATTCCGGATATCCTGAGAACCAGGACAAACACAAGGTCTGAAGATTCAGAGAAAACTTTTGAGAAGAACTCTGTAACTCCACTCAGAATCATCAAATTATGCCTTTCTCATGTTGGTATTTTCCTATACCGCCACTCGAGCTAAAGACTAAAAACTAACGGACAGATCATAAGAGCTTCACTATCATTCCTAAAGTAAGTCAACAGATTCTCCCGATCGGTTGATATCTGACCAATTAGTGCCTATACCTAGACATCAATGGTCAGTCTACTACTATTTCCCTCATTCCTTGTTTCCCGACATCTCGTTCAAGGGGCAATCTGGACAACATGGCATATTCAATTATTCAAAGATGTCATCAGTCCATTAGAAAGTCTCAATACTCTCTCCCTCACCATCTGGTACATACTGGACAATCCAGTCAAATGTGTCATTTCGATCAGAGATAGGATCGTTCTGACCGACCTCGCCCTTCACATGATTCAGTAATCGTAGGCCAATTGATCCCATCCGAGGAGGGGAACGAAGGACAGATGCTGTCTACTATAAATGAAGAAATGTACGTATGGGTAAACTTACAAACAGGAAGAAGATGGTCTTTCCGTATTGGTAAACATTTGAGGTACAACCCTTAACCTCTTTCACTCTCACCTGACAACCTATAAACCTATAAGTTAGTCGTTCAATTCTTCAATCCCAAACGTTATCAAATGCTGACGTGTTAGTTTGACCATTTGTTGTGCACAAACATTTTTTACATGCATTTTCCTATTTTCCAAAATATTGAAACGAACACGATTCCACAATGATGGTATGACTACTTTTGCCTTTCACTTGTATACAAACGACTTTGCTAAGTCACCCGAGATAATTTGAATATGGCAATGAAAACCGGTTCATTCGGATAAATCCATCGAGTCTCGTCGGTGGACAGACTTGAGTGGAGAGCTGATTTTTGCTGAGGATCAATGTGTATTCGGAAAAGAAGAGGAGATGACTTACGAGCATAAAGCAAGGTACGTTGTCTTATCTGCAATAATTTGGGAGGTTCGTGGATGATAGGAATGGGATGGAAGGTGGTGCTCATTGCTAAGAGTTGTTTGGGCTCCATGGATTTACGGTTCTAAGAATCAGTGGTGAAAAAGAAATTCGTTGAGTCGCCGATCATTCAAAAGAGGTTAGAGGTGTCTGCAGGAATTGTGGGGAGTGGGTGAGAGAAGAAGTCGGGGCACATTTTCGTTATGGTCTGCGAGTACAGCGTAGGCAAGGACGGTCCAAGAGGAGTGAGATAACCATGTAAGGTATACGTTGAAGGATGTATAGCTATATGAGTGAACACTTACCTTAGCGAACACATCCTCATCTTCCAGCTTGATCCCAAATCCCTCTTCTCCTAATCTCTCACCTGCCTCTTTACATTTCATCACCCATCTCACAGAGACGAGGAACGGTTTATCCTCTTGACGTCTATACCATGACAATGTTGAACCTTTACCCGATTTGTATATGATGTGAGTGCATGAATCCGTTAGTCTTGCGAGGACCTGGAATCAGTATCAAAATCTAATGTCTATCATTTCATTCCACCCCATCCACCCGGCTTCCAAGAAGGCATTCTTGTGAATCGAGTTTAAAACGCGGATATCTTTGACTCACCTTTGCACCAAGACCTTTGAGCATGTCCACAAATACTGCACTCGAATCCGCCCCGTCATCAGTGTGTACATCCACAAACGCCTTGACCCCTTTCAAACATCCACCTCCGATCGTTGAACACAACAGTCCTGCCAAAGACTTGTCAGCCGCACCTTCTTCTGAAGACGTCGAAGTGTCCCCGACCTCCGTCCCTGTGTTATGAATGGGCCCTGCGACAGAATGTCTAGGTCGATGTACCGCTGTCACTCGTACGGAAGCATGTCCCTGTGTTGCTGTTCTTTCAGACCTTTCAGCGATATGAGCAACAGGAGGTAGTTCCGGTACTTGTAAACTATGTCGAGAACGACGCGATTCTGAAGTTGATTCGTTGAGTTGCATTCGAAGTCTGGAAAGAGCGTCATTCAATCCATTCAATGATTTGGACGCATCTGCATAATCTGATTCACGACGTTGTGACATGTTTAACCCTAGTTTCTCTCTTGGAACGGGAGCGGAGACGGATCGATGAGGTGATTTCATCGTCATTGATGGTATTGCTGAAACCTCCACGTCTTTGTTTGAAGGTACGGAATAAGTCACGGATCGATGATGGGGGACAGGGTTGGAGACTACTCGAGGAGTCGGACGAGCCATGGGTCCGCTACCGAGGGAAGAGGGGTATGATGGTTTTCGTCGAATGGGTGGGTCGGGCAGAGGAGCAAGGGTGTTTTCTTTCTCCGGGTCGATCAATGCTGGACGGGAGCTTGGTCTTCGCACTGGAAGACCGGATGTGGGCAAGGATTTTTTGGGTAAGGGCTGCCCAACAGTAGTGGTGGGTATTTGGATCTGAGAGGGTTGAGCGGAGGGTTTCTTAAAGGTGAATGTGCTTTTTGGCGGGAGCATCGAGGTGGGACCTGTGACTTGAGATTTGAACGTGACAGCTCCAGACGTTGTTGTTGTCCTGATTAAATCAGACTTCCCCTTGTCCTCATCCGTCACCGAGGTCGTAGATGGTCTCTCGGAGATAGAAATAGGGTGAGGAATACTAGTCTTGGCACCTATTCCAGAGATGGTAGGGATAAATGATCTATCCTTACGTTTGGAAAGATCTTTGAGTATCTTCGGACGAGTTGACGTCTCGATATCCTGTTCCATCTTGTTGGTGAATGCGACGATAGTCTCAGTCTTTTCCTTGTTGTCATTCCCAGTTTGAATGGCAAGAGTAACAGGAGAAGGAGTAAGACCTAATCTAGAAATACCTGCCAGAACGCGTTTCGGTGTAGTAGGACCATTTGGATTATTCCCACTGACGGGCTGTATGACAGGACGTGTTACATTGATTTCATTCTTCAATGGAGGGATGAAAGTAGATTCTCTGGGAGTTGACATACTGACATCTAATCTCCTAATCGTTCGTGGTGGTTGAACATTTTCATCCGGTGACATGGCTCTTTTTTGCGAAGTAATTCTACCAAGTTGATCTTGACTCATCGTTATTCTCGAAGTCAAAGATGTAGGAACATGTTCGTTCAGTCTAGGAGGAGTAGGAGGTCTAATGATAACTCCTTCTGTGGAATCATCATCTGAAGAATCACTCTCCACTCTAGTGACCCGATAACCATGTTTCAATAAAATTCTCGCTGGTGTAGGTTTCACCTCATTCTCCTCCTTACCAACCTCGTCAAATGGATGTCGTCTAGGCGTATCTGGTAGAATCTTCTCTCCTTCTGATCCTTTCGATGTTTTGGTAGGTCTCTCTTGATCCACATCGAGTGATATTCTACGTTTACGATTATCAGAATTGGGTTCAGAGGGGCGTAAAGGTGGTCGAGAGAGTGGAGATGAACGGGAAGGAATAGTAGATAAACGCGACATGGCTCTGGTACGAGTTTGAAGTGGTACGAATGATGCTGATGTTCGACGAGATGAAGGTAAAGAATGAAGATGAGTGGATGAAGTGGCGGACATAATGTACGTAGTGTCACACTGGGGTTTTGCCAAATAACTACCCGTATGGTCTAAACGGCGTTGATTACGATAAAAAGTGAAAAATCAGTCGCGTTGCTTGGTTGGGGAATGTTTGAGTTAGGGACTAGCCGGGTTTGAGTGGCGATTGTATGTTCAGCAGCACCGCAACGAGTGAGACGAAGGATAAAGAGATGGGGGAGTAGATTAAGAGACGTTGAGAGGCAGGACAAGGATGATGTGGATGATGGATGGATGGATGGAAGGTAACGGGATGGATGGCAGTAGGATGTTGGTCTACTCTCAGGCACGGTTGATTTTCAGGGGAAAAGAGTGTACCATTTCAAATGTGGCATAGTGGCAGTCGCCAACCGGTTACAAGTTCATGAAGAGGTACTTACAATTGGTCAATATAGACACAGCACTTGTATGCAGCTTAGATGGAGACATGCACATTTCTACAGCTAGCTACAGCCATTCATGTTCTCGTAAGCATCATACCAAACTCTGAAAACGTAGCTCAAATCCCACCCCCCTGATGACATCGCTCACTGCCCACTCGTGCGTCTGTATCATAATGCTCCAAAAACCAATCTACTGACTCTTGTAGTGCTGCCTTGATCAGCTAAAATTGAACAGTATCATATCCAGTCCAAACACACCTTCCTTGAACGGAGTGAATCTAAAATCTCCACTAGAACCCATAAGTCTGAGTAATTTAGCGTTACTGGCGGGTTTTCGAAATTGTCCGTCTGGTTTGGAAATATCAAACTGATGTCAGCTTCAAGCATATCCGGTTAGCCAGGGTAAGGACGCTAGACCTTGCTCATCTATCCTTATCCTGTGCGAGAATCCATCGACTTATCTGGAGGAAAAAACGGTTCACGGGTAATGGAAGTAGTAGACTAATCCGCACTCACCGAGTATGGACCCTGGTGTCCCATAGCTTGGATGATCCCTTCAGCTACCTCCTTGATTGAAATCTCTTCTTCTTCGCCAACTACTTGTCAGGTCCTCATCCCTAAACCGGTTTTATATGGAATATCATGTTGATAAAGTGGGAACGTGGGCAATCACCCACTATAGGCCGAGTGAAGATGGATAAATATCTTCGGCACTATTGGATGTTGAGTTGTGGGAAACAGTCACACGTACCACTGAGTATAATCGGATCGATCTCTTCATACTCCCTCAAAACCCATACGATCAACTTAGCTAGGTCTCTGGAATATATAAACTGTCTCAGCGGTCTTCCCGAACCAGCTACTACAAAAGGTGTCCCGTTTCCTGTCATCTATCAGCGATTACAACCCACTACAACGTCGAGAGACACTTGCTTTTGGAGAGATAACATCGATGAATCAAACTAGGGATGACATGAGCGTCTTGAAGATCCTACTTGTCATTTCATAACCGTCAATCAAGGGTGTGGAACTGACATAATTATCCCCGGGACCAAATACATCTCCCAATTTAGCTGGTCTCTTTGTTATTGAAGGAGCCATGTCGGAAAAAGGTAAAAAGATGTAGGATGACTCACTGGTAGGTATGACAGAGGTAAATTGACTCCCAAATTGTTCATGATACGCGCTAAATCTCAGCCCATGTACTACAGTACGACTATGACGATAATTATAGACACGGGTGAAAAGAAAAGACATACTGATTTTGAATATCAACTAGGCGTTTAGCATATGCATACCCGAAATTGCTATGATGTGGAGGACCGGAATGTATCTTTTCTTCTGTCAAAGGATATATAACCTATTCCCTCAGTTCATTGACATTTCCTTCAAGTAACAATCGAGTGGATAATGTATATCAGTTTATGGAGGTAGATGAACTTTCACAAACTCACCTCATCTGGGAAGACACAAGTTGATAAACAAGAAACGACCTTTTTCACCTATCTACTCAGCTTGACACGATTTTGAGGATTCAAAAGCTCACTCCCACCACATGAGAAGAATGTAAGACGGATTGATTGATCTTGATGTTATCCTGAAGAAAATCAAGTTTCCTCGACATATTAGCAAAGAGACCTCCGACTGAGTGTCAGCTGACCTGATCCATTTGTCCCCACGCATCATCATCATACCTAACTCCAATTCCGTGAACTTGACATTTGTCCCCAGGATCTGATATCAGAGGAAGAGGAACATCGAAGAGTCATAGCAAGATGAAGAGTTGAAGACTCCGTGGAGAGACAAAGAGTGAGGATGAAGGTTGGATAGAAGGAAGGATGATATTGACCAACGGCAGCAAGATGTATGATGTATTTAGGTTTATACCTCTCAAACAACATCAAAGTCTCCTCCTCCTTCCTGAGAATCAACATCATCACCCTGGCCAGAATCTCAAAACTCACCTTAAATCACAATCGCCAGAAGAGAGAAACACCCACCTTTCCCCTTCCTTCTTCCCAAATATAGAACCGACCGGTTCGTTCTCTATGACCCAACGTATAGCTGATCCGACCAGTCCAGTACCTATCTTGTCACTCATTGATTCATTTCAAATCTGGGACTGGTTTGGAGTACCCTCCAGAGGACTCAGCATCCCAATCAGCTTCTTCACCAACTTCCAGGTCAGTGATCCAAGTATAGGGAACGGTGGGTGATATGTCCTTCAGAGAAGCACCAACGAACGTGCCCTCTTTACGGTGGGTGATTAGGGGAAGACTTACGGATTAGAATATTGAAGATCTCACAAGGGTATACGAAGTGTCAAAGTAGGGAGTTATGTTGGCAGATTGAAAGAAAGTGAAAGACTCACCACCAGTGACTAACACTACCGACTCCTCCACCTCCACCTCTCCGTCCGCTTTTTCGTCTCTAGATACTGAATCCTCCATTTCTTTCTCGGTATTCAGATTACGGGTGCTCGGTGAGAAACTGGTGTGATGGTGCGAGAATGCGTGGACGGCATGGACCGAGAAGCGAACAAGGAGAGAGACGGGCGAGGGCGTTAGTGGATCACCTCCACCGGTCATTCCGTGCCTGAGAAAGATTCCAGCAATCGGTAATGCACTTTCTCCATACTCAGTACATACTGCGAGTAGACTACTCGAAGATATACAACTACGCTTCTCTATCTCTAGCCCGAAAGAATTCAATGAGTATGATGACCTGGCCTTAATCCACAAGATAGAGAGGTATGCAAAGTGATCCATGGCACTTGAGAGAGAGATGATGATCCAGTAGTATGCATGAGAAAAATAACGATGCTTGATAGATCCTTTCACCGGGAACAACAAGTGACAAAAATAAAATGAATGAATAAAAATGTCCCTGTTTTTCCTTACGTGCTATCTTATGGGTTTCATCACTCTCTCTCTGGTCGTGGGTTTCGTATCATTATCCGGTGCTTGATGTCGAGGTTCGTATTCAGTTTGATACTTGTCCGGGTTTTCTTGAGAATGTTTGGAATCCGCTCCGTGACTTTGTATTTTTGACAAGACGTCTCTAGCGTATTGAACTTTATGCAAAACGCCTTCTACTCTTCGTTTGTCTTTAGGAGTGAGATGGTCAGTTGGACCGAGGAGAGACTCTAGGGACCAAGTACGGAGGACGTCGTGGCGATCGATGACGGAAAGGACTAGACCTCCTTGGGAGAAGATGAGTTTGGTGTGATCGTAGAAGTTGAACTGGTGTCAGGCAGATTCTCAAGGTCTCACTTGGGGAGTGTAGCGAGATCAGAAGAAGAGACAAGGGGTGAAGACGAAGGTAGAAAGGTGTTGGCAGAGGAAGAAAGAGGGAAACATGACTAAGGCGAGTTGGTAAGCGGAGATGAGGGCAGAGCCAACGTGAGGACGGATATGAGCAAAGATACCAAAACTCACTTGTAGTACCTCATTGCTCAATCTGAACAAGATGACATGTTTCATCCTCAAATACCGTGTCACATAAACCATCCCTCTCGTCAAATCCAAGTCCTCGAATGCGTAGGAATGTTCTCCATATAGACGTTTGAGCATGTAGCCCTCGAACGACTTGAGTAGGTACACCTTGTTGGCCAGATCGCGTGGATGTCCATCGACGGGATAATTGGCCCGCATGGCCGTGAGACCGTCAGAGGATGGGGAGATGTGGTCAAAGTATCTGGATAATGTCAGCGAGAAAGTGTACGTCTGTTGTTGAGATAACTTCAGAGTCGAGAAGATGGACGAGCTATGTACAAGAGGGATGTAGAAGATATGAAACCCATATGGATACGAGCACCGATAGAAAAGAAATTTGAGTTACAAAAGCAGGAAGACGCTCACTTCTTGTTAGGTGCCAGGGCCAGAGAAGAGGAATCATTGAAGTGAACGGCTATGGTCCCGTCGTTCATCGCGAACCCCATGCCGTACTTGCCGCAATAGTCAAGCCAGGACACCACGAAGACTTTTGGTGCAGGAGGATCTGAGGGGATTTCTTCAAGATCAGCTACGTTATCTTACTCTGTAGCTTCATCAGATACTCCTCTTCCGCCAAGTGGTTGAAGAGAGTAGTCATGTATACAAATACGCAGAACAAGACTCACGAGGCGTGGTGAACCCAGTATCTGTGGCTGCCATGACCAACGCTCGACTCAAATTCTTCTCTACAGTCTCGTACAATGACACCTTGTCGCTTTTCTGAGCCGCACCTTTGGCCGCGTGAACTGTGTTCGTCGCTCTTGATGACTGCGCCTGGGGAAGGGTGGTAGTAGGAGCCAGAGGTTTTCTCGGAGACGCCCTGAGATGAGGTATTCCCCCAGATCCACTCATCGCCATTTCCGAGACGATCCTTGCTTTTTGCGTAGCCACCTCGCGTTCTCGTATCCCATGTCCATAATCACCAGCTTCATCTTCGGGTTCTTCTTCCTCTCCCACACGATCCATCCCAGAAGGAGCCTTGGCAACCCCTCTTCGGACGGGGGAAAGAGTACTGTGGGCACCAGCAGCGGTAAGACGACGTAGTAGGTTTGTTTCGCTGATACCGGTGGGTGCTTGGACCAATGGTTGCCGGGCAGACCTGAATGTCAGCATGAGTGGTGTGAGAGTGAGACAGACGAGGTCGAAGGGAGGAATGAACATACTTGAGAAGGGCAGATATAGGAGAGTCGGGTTGTACGGCATCCCTGAAGTCTTTCTCTTGTTGCATAATACTTGGACCAAAGGGTCGCAGCCGAGCTTGGTCCGACGTGACCACTGCCATTCCCCCAACTTTGGATCTTCGACACAAGTCCTCAAAGTTCTTCCGACTCTGAGCCATGGTGAGATGTCGGAAGTCTGGAGGAAAGTCATTGGCTGCGGCTGGGATACGTGGGGGGAAAGGTCCGTCAGAGAAGAATGGGTGTTGCAATATGGCGCTAAGTGTGGGACGGTTGGCTGGTATTCAGCTGAATGCTGCTCTTGGGGCACTCGAATGAGTAGTAGTAGTAGCAGAGGAAGCACATACCTGGATTAGGGTTAAGAATGGACATGATGAGATCCTGAGCTGCAGGCGAGATATCCTTTTCTGGCGGGAATTCGTATCGGTTTTCTCGGATACGTTTATAGATAGCTTTTACGTCTTTTGTCTGGAATGGTGGTTTGCCAATCAAGAATGTATATCTTCCTTGTCAGTCGAGCATGTGAATTCCGCTGCATGAGTGACTCACAGAATCACTCCCACAGACCAAATATCAACTTCAAAGCTGTGTCCATTGACAGTGTCGAACAACACCTCTGGGGCGATATAATTGGGTGTTCCGCATATGGTCCTATAGTGTCAGTCGAGGTTTGCGATTGTATTTGAAGACTCACTTCTTCCGATCACCAGGGTTCTCTATCAGTGCGGCCAAACCGAGATCGCCCACTTTAATGTTCATATCACCATCGAGGAACAAGTTGCCCAATTTCAAGTCACGATGAATGACATTAGTCGAGTGCATGTACTGACAAGCGGCAATGAGTTGAACAAGGAAGAATCGAGCTTCTGGTTCGCTGTAGCGCTTCCGCCGACGGAGTAGGTCCATAAGGCTCTGGGGAGTCAACTTGAGGACCAGAGACAGACCAGATAAAGGATAGAGAGTCAGATGAGAACGTTGAGGGTGGAGACGGAGGAACTTGGGTAAGGAGAGATACCCACTCCATTTTGGCACAACTCCAATATCATATACACATTCTCATCGTCTTCAAAACAGTCCTCAAAATGCACGATATTCGGGTGATTTAGCATCTGATGAAGCTTGATCTCTGCCCATAGCTACTGGGTCAGCGATTTCCAATTCTTCACTCATGCCGCAAGTCATAACGATTCGAAAGCGATGAAAGAGGCAAGGCCCAGGTAGGGACGAGTGTTTGTTTTGGAGCAGAAGGAGAAACAGGACAAGTGACTTACCTTCGTCTTATTCTTCTTTGTCCGTACGGCCGCCTTGCTAACGACTTTTACAGCCTTTCGTTGTCCATGTCGATCTTGAACCTCGTACACTCTGGCGAATCCACCCTTGAGGTCAGCGGGTCTGTCCGTACTGAATAGCGTAGTTGGCCTGATTCCCCAGTCATGATCATAGGCGCAAGGGGACGAAGACACCGGGCGAGTACGTCTCGATGGAATATAGAAAAAAAAACACCCAAACACCCCTCAAGCCTCCTCCGGAACAAGATGAAAGGGGTCCAAGAAACTTGAGCGTCTTGGATAGAAATGTATCTTCAATCGATACAAGTCCAACGACCCAGTCAAAGGTAGTTCCGAATATACGTCGAAGCTCAAAAAAGATGTGTTTAACCAAGACAATGTTGCTAACACCTCAGAAGGACAAAACACTCACCTCGCCTAGGAACCCCACCCGAGTATAAAACACCCCTCTTGTCCTATCATGTATAATCTGTGGAGGAGTAGGCGGGACGATCTTCTCCCTTTCCCTCTCTTTCCCTTTTTCTTCCACTGCAGCCATATCTAATCGAAGATTCAAAAAACTTTGAAAAAGATATCGATGTTTGTAGTTTGCTCCGATCGGTGTAAAACAAGATTGTCCAATATTCTCCGTTGTTTCCTTTCCCTCAAGACTCTTCAGTGATAATTGAGGAGTTTGAATTGTGCAGCTGAGTAGAATAAAACAAGATGGATATCTTTGGAGTGGCTCGAAGGTGTTGTTGGGTGGACAGACTTAGGGGTTTAATGAAGTATCCAAAACAAGCGATTCGTCTTTGGTGAAGGGAGGTATGTTTAGACGTAAGTTTATATCCACAAGAATAATTTACTGAAGTCCACACGAAATCCGATCGCAGCTGATATTGAGAAGAGGAGGAACAAGGTCCGACGAGACAAGGTCTGAGAGCTAGATGTATACTTCAACGTCCTTTCTCTTTCCGGTCGTTTGACAATTGGTCCAGGGATTGGGTAAGTATAGATAGTGGAAATGAGCCTTGTGGGCGTATATAGTAAGGATAATGAATGTTCAAGAGAGTGAGTGAGAGACAGAGAGGAAGAAAGGGAAAGAGGGAAGGTGGAAGGTGAACTAGAGGAGGGGTGGCTGTTTGGTCAAGAGGCAAGAAAGCAGTCGCGTGTTACGGAGTAATTTTTGGGTTGATTTGTGGCACTTTTATCCCACACAACTAACCTGAGAGTGCTCGTACTTCCTTGACACAAGCAAAACCTCATTTAGGACTTTCCATACATGTATTTACGAGTACTGAAGCGATGTACTCCATGCGAGCAGTATGAATCTCAATGTGGGATAAGCTCAATGTAATCACTGCCTTTCAGGGCGGTGCAAAATATGTAAGGACGACGAGGAGGACGAGGAAGACGGGAAAGAGAGGCAGAGGGAACGATGAGCATGAGGAGTGAAATACAATTTTGGCAGTTTGTACATGCATAATGCAGTTTGATTGATTTGATCACAAGTGACCCTTCCTTCTTCCTAGATCTTTCATCTCTACAACCCTTTAGGTCGTCTTCTAATTCATATCAGACTTCATCCACTACCCTTAATGTCTTGTAAGATATTCCTGTTTACCTCTCAAATTCCTCTTATCCTACACTCCACTATTCACTCTTCTCTTCTTTAGCGCGATATGACTCCGTCCTCCACTTCCGGACCACACGAAACCACCACCAGCAACTGGTCGAATGAGCAGACTTTCCCTCCCATGTCAACCCCACATCCACCGTCTTGCTGCATGCTTTATAGACGGATATCTTCATGATTCAGATCATCGATAACGTGCCAAGTGATATCAACTTGACGGCGAGATCCAAACCAACATTTAATCCTTTCCTTTCGTCTTCAACCCGCTCAACATCTTTGCCAAACTCTGAATCTGACCTTTGAGTTTCGGTTTATGAGGACTTTCCAAACTGAGGACAGTAGAAGCGCTGTCCATAGAACTCAGAGTCTGTCTACTATCACCTGAGGTAATTGTTGATTGAATGAGCGTCGAATTGGTATCTAAAGTGGACATTCCCAAAGAGGAATTCTCAACGACGATGGGTAATGCTTGACTGGGCATGTTCCTACCGGGTCTTGATTGTATCCCAACTGGACCGGTCATTATTGAGGAGTGAGTTTGACCCACTGAGAAAGGAGGTGGCGGTGATATAGACGACGGATGAAGAGGGGTCTGATTCGAGCGATACAATGGACCATAGTGTTTTGGACCTTGACCAAAAGATCCCATTGGTTCAAAACCTGCCAGAGCCGTTGCTGCCAATTGCGCTTTCCTCGCTCTTGAATCATCCCTCTTCTCCCTCTCTCCATGTTTTGTATGTTTCACACGGCCTCTATCTTCCATGACGAAACCGGGCGAATTATCTCTTTTCCTCCAATCATCTTCATCCACACCGGAAGAAGACGTGACACTGGACATGGGACCAAAACTCGAGATCTGACTAGTTGTGGAAACCGCTGTCATACCCGACGAGGCAGTCATGGTCTGACCTCTGATATTGTAATTGGTAGGCTTCTTCTGTTCACCTTGTAATTTAGCAGGTGCAGACCAATTTCCACCAGAGGACATCTCTCGTTCGGCTACTCGTCGAGCCAGAGCGGCTAATTCGGGATTGCCAGACGATATCTTCATCATGTCTTTCCATTTGGACTTTTTCGCAGCAGCCGCCTGAGCTGGTGTCGTACCGAGAGGAGGAAAATTGACTTCGGTATCATCCTCGAGATCAAGTTTACTGATCTTGGATATATCCCTAGCTAGTGTTTGTGATGCCGTAGCGAGTTCAGCAAGCAAGGCGTCACGCTGTTGTTGTGACAGGCGGCCGTCTTCAGAATCGGCCACGGCAGCTGCAAGAGCGGCTTGGGCGGCTTTTCCTTTTCTGACACCTCGTTTCCGTCTCTTGGTGGTGGATAAGGAGCGAGTGTCAGAGTCAGGTCGAGAAGAATCATCAAGAGGTGAGTTTAGAGTGGGGGACGGGAAGCTGAGTTCGTCGGCTGGAGTAGGATTTAAATCAACGGTGGTAGCTGAAGGTAGCTCGTCGTTGTCAAGATCAGGAGTCGGAACGAGTTCTTCATATTCGGATACTTCTCGAGGTGATAAGTGAGATGTCAAGATAGGCGGAGCGGTAGAGGGAGGAATCAAAGAATGAGGTGCCAAAGGCGTAGAAGCTATTGGCGCAGATGACGTGAGAGCCGATGTAGACATTTTGCGCTCTTGCTCCACGATGGGTACGATGGGGGATTTGACAAACATTCCCGAATCTTTCAGAGCTTCGATGGGCTTAGAGTGAGGTCTTGTTTGCAATCTGGACATCTGAAGTTGTTGCACAGCCTTTTTACCTCCGATCATCTCGGGTAGATTCTTCACCCACTGTCCGAATTCTCTGGCTGAGACACGAGCGTCTACGTCGATACACAGGACGTGATTCGCCAGGTAGAAAGCGACCTCTCGACCGATTCCGGTAAACTTCGACAAGAGAAAACCGGTAGGGTCACGAAAGAAATTGTCAAAGTTGAGATCGCCAGGTGTAGGATCTTTCCAGGGATTGCGATGGAAGAGCATGTTAATGAGCACGATACCGAGGGACCAAACGTCTGCTGGGGCGGGGGAGTAAGTGGGTCCGAGGTTGTTGCGGCATTCTACCGGTCAGCACCATACTCTCCAATTTCCTCGATCACAGATTGAGAAGGTGGTGATATGACTCCGATGACGAGAGAGACGACGCAAAAAAACTCATGATGAAGATGGAAATGGGAGAGAACTGCACTTACCATATGACATGTAAGGTTTGCTACCGCATTCCACATCACCGCTCTCCTCTTCCGTGGTCGCCAGGCCAAAGTCCGTCAATTTCACAACGACCTTACGTTTAGCCTGAGGTCCAAAGTCCTCTTCTGTCGGAGCATCGAGTTCGATCGAGTCACAGCAGATGAAATTTTCTGGCTTTATATCCCGATGACTCACTCCGGCCTCGTGACACACCGCCACCGCCTCGCACATCTGACTGAACATCGAAGCGATGAGTTTCAATCTACGTGCTGAGAGCAGCGTGCTCGCAGAGAATGCCGATAGCAGACTGGGTGTTGGAGGGGTGGCCGCGGAATGTAGCGAGTGTTTTCCGTTGGCATGAGCGAACAGGAGTGAGGCGGGAGAACCACTAAAAGATCTAGTGGTTGAGGTTGACGGTGATCCGGCGAAAGAGGACCCGGCATGATGGGCGAAACCTTGCATGACCTGAGAGGTAGAGAAAGGAATGGAGGAAGATGAGTATTTGGAAGAAGACATGACGGTGATGTCTTCGGGTAAAGAAGAATTGTACAATCGGGGAGATGCGTCGCGCGACTTTTCGAGCCAGTAAAACCTTTACGTTAGTTACGAAGTGATGGATGAATTAGTGGACCCACAGATCCTCGCCTGGGCAGAGTTCTAACATGAGGAACAGCCACTTCTTAGTTTGTAGTGTCTGATGTAAGGTGACGATGTTTGGATGAACGGGCAAAGCGAGATGGATAGTCGCTTCGAAGAGTTGTGTTTCCAATTGTTCTTCTTCCAAATTTTGTTTGCTCAAACACTTCAAAGCTGGAATGTCAGCGTTCTACCTACCACTCTGCCAGATCGAAACATACCGTATTCCCGCCGCTTGCCACCCTTCTCTCGTACCAAATATACAACGGCATAGCTTCCAGAGCCAAGTTGACGTATGACCTGATAAGTCTTCTTCTCAGGTGCATGTCCGTTCTCTCTCACATGGTTCACTTCACTCCCTCCTCTTCTTAATGGTAAAGCTTCGTCATCACTGAGCTTCCGCACAGCAGGTTCGACCACCTCGCCTTGAAACTCTCTACCTTCCCCGAACAGCATACCAGAGTACATTATATCCTCGGCAGTACGACCAACATCTGACTCGTCGGTGAAGGTTCGACCCGCTTCTCCCATATCCAACACCTCTTCGATTCCATCATACACAGGCGGTTCCCATACTTCCATGTCCTCGACCCCAGGAGCCCACGATCCGAGCATATCCACGTGTGCTTCCTTCTCATGTTTCATCTTACTCGGAGTAGCTTGTCCGCTCCCGCCTGGCAGGGTCGTTTCACTGCCTCTAGGAGTTCGAGAGTTTGATCGAGAGCCTAGTCGGATAGAGACGATAGCTGCAGAGTTACGTCGAGATCTAGGTGCTACATCGCCTTGATATAGTCTAGGGGATGGTAGTACGCTTTTAGGAGAACCTTCGGCGAATGAATAGACTTGTTCGACAGGAGTGTGAAGGGGAGATAGACGCCCCAAAACAGAAGACGACGTCTGTAGGTTGAGCTGTGGCGGGAGGGGAGAAGACGCTTTACGCTCTGGTACAGGAGGTAGAGGAGCGTTGGGTAAAGCAGGTGAGAAACCTCTGACTATGGTGGTCGTGGATTCGTTCGCCATACCCAACACATCGTTGGCAGTAATGCTGGGCAAACGCCCAACGGCTGTCCGTCCATGACGGGGTGAAGAGGGACCTTGGAAGGCCTGACGCCGAGGGGAAGGAGAAGGAGAAGGAGAGTCCAACCTATTGACAGCTTGTAAAGCCGGCGACTGACGCAGAGTCGTGTCGGTCATGCCGTCTACGAAAAGAGCAAACGGGTATATATGTCCCACAGAACGTTCAGAGATGTCCCAACCACCACCTCTGCCCCGTAGGGACGACTATTATCAACTGACCAAGCTGTGCGAGTAGCGTTTGATGGATGGAAGGATGAGTTGAAGGCGAAGAGAAAGACGGCGTCGGTCGACTAGTCGACCTAGCGCAAGACGCCTGGGGCACAGCTCTGAGAAGTTTAGGATGAATGGGAGAAGGAAGGTAGGTGATGTATGCAGATCTTGAGAGGGTGGGAGGTGAGATGGGTCAAGACTCGTTCCTTTGATGATGTGGAGCAGTTCGCGAAGGTGACACGTCACAGTGTGTTAAAGGGTGTCAGTGGGGGAGGGGGTTGTTGAATGACTCTTTGGGCCTCGTAAGGAGTGTCTGTGGTTTCGTGTGAGAAAGAATGGTCGAAAGAAGACCGGTGATGGGGCTGTTTACGGATACAGTACACCGCCGATGGATGATGACCAGATAACAGGTGATGGTATCACACAGTACACAATAGTAGTAGTATGGAAGAATCCGGGGTGTTCCGGCTCCACACGATACCAGTGAGCCAGTAGTCCAGTCTAGCCTCCTGACGACGCAGATCTCTTCAGGGATCAGAAAGGATGAAACAGGTCCTATGCCCTTTTGGAGGTACGAGTTTGCAGAGGATCGATCAGCCGTCAACGCCAACAGCTCGATTGGGTGGACGGTTGATGGTCGTCGTCGTAGTCGTAGTAGTCGTAGTTGGGAAAGGCAGACGAGGGCGGGTTGGAGCTAGCTCGATCTTGAGCTGAATGATTGGGTGAAAGGGTGATAAGGATATGAGAAAGCATATGGTACGTTGATGAGTTTGTATGAAATGATTACGCGTGCTTGCGCTGACGACGTGTGAATGGATGGATGCAAATTGTTGTAGATGGAATGAGATGGAAGCTAGCAAATGGGTTGATGATTCCTTCCGTTGACTGGGTACCGTGAACCGTTGAGTGTGAGTGGATAGAGACTTTCAAAAAGAATCGTGTGTGAAGAGGAAGAGATAGGATAGAGAGGTCTATAGTATACAAGGGAGATGGATGGAAGAGGGAACGTAGGGGATGCAAAACATAGGTTTGAGAGAGTCGACTGAAAAGAGCTGAATGAGTGCGGTCATGGTAAGGAATCGGCCGGCAATGGTATTCAACCTCGCCCCCCCACCACCTCAAACCCGATGCATCTCTATTTCTCCTTCGGGCAATTTCGTTCGATGTACCGCGTGGAGTGCAGAAGCAGAGCATGCGGTGCATAATCTGCGACAGTGCCAATAGGTCCGCTAACGGAGATCGTCGACCACTTCTACCCAGACTACGCACGCACGAGCCATCAGCCCTGGTCCCTAGCCCCCCACGTTGTACGTTTATGTGAATCATGCATGACGACAGATGGTGTGGCAACCTGACCGCGACTGGACAATTCGACGATCTAAACCCACCCACGCACCCACGCTATTCCATCCTTATAAAATCTCCCCTTTAATCCCTCACCCATCTCATTTCACCTCCCTTCGGTCCCTTTCTCTCTCGCCGCGCCATCACATTGCGCCCCAATCACCCACTGTTTGTACATCGTACCAATCGAATTCCTTGGTGGATGATGCACCCCAAGGTGCCTCCTACACATGTCTACACTCTACACCTTCCTCCCCCGCGGAGATATTTATGTCCATGACCGGACTCGGCTTGATGCTGATTAACTTCATGAATTATATTGCAATTAGACAAGCATCAGATGTTGGCTTTCTTGTCATCAACCCGTAAATCAGATTGATCTGAACTTCAATCAAGGATGCTTCGGACCGATGACCCATTGACGCTTCACTCCGCCTACTACAGTATAGCTAAGTACAGTATACAACACAAGAACTATTGAGACGTTGGTGCACCAGCGGCAGCCCCGCTAGCAGCATTAGAACCCTGCATGACGATACTCGTCGTCTTGACAGCCGACAATCCAGCATCGCCAATATTCGCCCCCGCCTGCCCGATATCTATACATCAGCAACGATATCCTCCCATTCAGTCAGAGACGTACCCTTAGCGACCTTATCCGCCTCTTCCCCGAAGTTATGTTCTACGGCTTTATGAGCGTTTTGACTCATGGCTTCTCCCACTGTGGTCGTTGCCCCAGCAATACCTTCAGCGGCTACGGTGATCTGCTCCCATTCCTCCTCTGCAATCTTCCTTGCACCACTTTTCTCTTGCTCGGAAACTGGTGGTGCTGGTTTGGCCAATTGGTCAGGTAACAAAGCTCCCAATTTCTTCCCTCCTTCATGTATGAAACTCCCCACTGCTTCCGCACCTGCCGACGCGTACTCGGCGACCGTTGCCGTGGCCGATTTCATCGTTCCCGCGGCATCGGTGACTTTTTGAGATGGAGGTGGGGGATGTTCGGGATTGGTTTCATCTACATGTCTGTTCATCAGCTCACGACTTCGTACGGAGGAATACGAGCGGTACTCACTTGTCGGTATAAGTAGTGAGTCGTTCCGCGATGGCTTGGCCAGCACTTAAAACAGCTCCTGCTAAACTCTCACCCCACCCTTTCTGTCCATCTTCATCGGTGTCATTGACGAACAGGATGCGTTCATCCCATACACCCTGCGACTTGAGTGCATCTTCGAGCTTGGTACACAGTAGTTGTGTCGCTTCCCACTCCCTCTGTGAGGAACTTGTCGTCAACTATGGATTGTATTCGACGATAAGATCGGCTCACCTATCTTTCATAACGATTTTGACTTGTCCCACTGACGACCCACCATCGGCAGGAACAGGCGAGAACAAATAAGTTGGATGTTCATCCTGCGATTGGACCTTTCGAACCGGTGTGATAGGTAAGATAGCCCAAGAACTCCATCCTATGGTGAGAGTGAGAGTTGGAGAAGGGCGCGCGGGAGGGCTGGCTGGAAGAAGGACAAGAGTCAACTCTCCCATGGAGAGAGGCAGAGTAGTAGCATCGGGAGTAGGAAGATGTAAAGCTTTGCAGGAGGGGATTTCGGCGAGGGTTGTCATTTTGTCTGATTTCTCTATCCTTTGTGTGTTGTTAGAGCAAAACCGATGAACCAATGAACCAGTAGGCCAGTAGGACCGGTCAAGAAGGTTCAGTAGTACGCAGCGATGCAGAGTGGTGATATGTGTCTTCACGTGACATCAGACTTTTGGTGACGTCAGATGGTGGCTTGGATGATGCCCTGGGTCCTGGGACGACTTACCCAATCAAGCCGAGGGCAGCGGGGGTCCAGCCCAGGAACGAACCCCATGGAAGCTAAGAGATCCGCGGCGACTAAAATGGCTCAGAGGATCAGAGGAATTGCCTCGAATGTGTGTACTTTCTCACACTTCTCATCCATTTGTCAACCGGGTCCACCTCGAGAAACGTATAAGAAGCGAGTCTGATCACTCCCCATCCTCCTCTTCGTCTTATGATCTTGTCTCGTCATCTTTTTCGAGCCACTTGCCAGACTACCACTTGTTTCTCTCGAACAACTTCACCCCACTTCTCTGTACTTCAGACCGCCTCCTACAGTCAACTTCGTCTTCCGTCTCGCACGATGTCTACCGTCACTCAAAAGATCACTGACTGGGCGGATAAGAAGGATGGGTCTTTTAAACGTCAAACGAGTACATTCCGGGATGTCATCGGACCTGATTCTCATTTCTTGCCTGAGAAAGGTGAGTATACTTCCTTGTTCTTTCGGCTCAATCTTCCAAATCTCCCCATGATAGTCGTTGACTCAGCTTTGTAGAGGTTTAAAATCTGTACTGATGACATAGGTCGGTATCATCTGTATGTCAGTTACGCATGTCCCTGGGCACATCGTACCCTTATCGTCCGGGCTCTCAAAGGTTTAGAAGAGTATATCGGTATGTCCTACCTCCCTCACACTAACGACCGAGGCTGATATTTGAGATGTCTCGGTAGTCCACCCTCATATGTTAGAAGGCGGTTGGCATTTCGTCAAACCTTCCGACTTCACTTCCAACCCCGCACCTGTATCAGCCCACAATTTCGATTCTTTCCCAGGGGCTACGTCTGACCAGTTGAACGGATTTCATTATCTCTCCGAGATTTACTATGTTGCATCACCCGAATACAAAGCTCGATTCACCGTGCCAGTGGTGTGGGATACGAAAGAGAAGACGATTGTGAATAACGAATCTTCCGAGGTTATTCGATTCTTCAACACGGGGTTTAACCAGTCACTCTCAGGTAAAGAGAAAGAATTGGATTTGTACCCTGAAGAATTACGTGGGGAGATTGATGAACTCAACGAATGGGTTTATAACGATGTCAATAACGGAGTGTACAAATGTGGGTTTGCAGCTACACAAGAAGCATATGAGAAGGCTTTGGTACCACTTCGAGATGCCTTGGAAAGGTTGGACAAGCTGTTTAGTGATGGAAGGGAGTTTCTTATCGGAGGAAGGTTGACAGAGGCGGACGTGAGGTGAGTTCCAGCATTACCAACTTCTTTATTATCTCCCAACAGTCGAAGAGAAGGATTGCTGCTGACAAATAGACTGTACACTACTATCGTTCGTTACGATCCAGTTTATCACGGCCACTTTAAATGCAATTGGGGGTCGAGTGAGTACCTTCAAAGGTTTCACTCTTACATACTTGATTCAACCGTATCGAAACCCCGTGACGATGAAATGGTATAACATAGAGAATGAAGCTGACATTATCAGTCCGACACGACTATCCTCATATCAACCGTTGGCTCAAGAACCTATATTGGAATTATCCGGCCTTCAAAGATACTACAGACTTTGACCGTGAGTCTTTTATGAAGGACCTTGGAACTTGAGGGATACTAACGGAGAAGATATCAAAGAGCACTACTATTATTCCCACGCTCATATTAACCCAACCCGCATTGTGCCCCTTGGACCCAGGGTTGATATCGAACCTTTGTAAAGTGGTGTGGAGCCCAACAAGCGGAATGATGATGTCACGATTTAGAAGTCATGGCCTTCTCTGATGACTTTTGATGCTCACTTTCCAGCGGCGGAGGATATAAATATGCTGATTCTGTCGTTTACCCCTTGAATCTCTTGCAAGGTAGTCAGATACTCCCTCAGAATGGGCGATAGCATCACAGATTCAACAAATCCTTTCGTCGATCCCTTTACGCCCGACAATGAGCGGCGAGTGACAAATCTATTCGGAATGTATCTCGCTGCTCAGACGAATCATTCTAATTCTCAGCTGACAACAACCTCTTTCCCTCCAAGAGAGGGTACTGGGGACTTGCTAAAAGACACTCTATCTGAATACACAGGCAGAAACACGGAAGTACTCACTTTGCGTGAAAAACACTACTTTCTAGAAGCAGAAGATCTAGTGAATTGGCTCGAGCGTGTTTGGGTGGAGAATGACACCCGCTGGGATCCGATCAAGGAGACAATGTCTTGGATTCGAAGTTTGATAAATCCTAACACAGTAACCAGCAAAATTGGAAAAAGCAAACTGTACGACGCAATCGTTCTCTCACGCGATTTACGAGGTCATCTCTATGGTGTACCATCCAACAGGGGCACATCAGCTGAAGCAGCTATCGAAGCCGTGGTGAAAGTTCGTCAAGAACTGTATGGTCTACCAAGTGAAGCTTACGATCTAGGAGATAAAGGTCGGTTCATTCAACAATGGATTCGATCAGAATTGAGCAAGGCAACGGCTTCATCGTTAGGTTTGGTCTCCGCAGGCGTCGGAGCGGGAACAACAAGAACTGAACCAGCTTCGCAATTTATCGCTCGAGAACTTTTCAGTATCATTTGCGGTGAGCGTAACGATTATAGCAAGATAGCGCATTATGGATGTGTGTATGCGGTTTTCATGTCGGCGGCCGTGGTAGCTCTCACCATTCTTTACTTTAGGTCTACCCACTGTACGACAAACACGACGGTCTCTGTGGTTCCGGTACGTTCCGAATAGCTACGAGCTTGGGTTTGGAATGGATGTTAGTTCGAGGAGAGACTAGGCGTGAGGAAGCGATAGAAGAGGATGCATGACCAATGTGGTAACCATGTAAGACGTCTGAGCTCGTTTGTACGGAAATGGCGATAGGGTGACTTGGGTTCCAAAGTATTCCATGGACTTCCATCAACAACTTACCCTACATTCTCTACCGTTTACGGTAAGCCGTGAACCGGCCGCCGGAGATCTCGGTAGCTAATAAACAACTCGGACCCGATCACGGCCGTAAAATTGATGGTCGATCTTCGCATGACAGGTCGGAAGTTGACAACGACGGAAGTGCAAAGGGTGGGGTGCACGGACATGTCAAGACATCACCCTTGTACCCTTCACGCGGAATTCAAACCATCATCTTGCACCGCCACGACGATCTCCTTTCAAAGAGTTGAAAGTCCTGTCCGCTACCTCTCTGTCCATGACAGATATCACTCAAATCTTCACTTCCCAACGTTTTGATATCTCCCATTGGGCTTTCAACCGCTTGAAGTCAACTTCGCGTGGTTCAATCTTGGTAACCTTATCATCAAATTTCGACTCTCACTCCAATACATCATAATTCTGCTTGATCAGACCCGGACCCTATCAGTATGACATCAGCTACAAGTTCTCCTCACAATGATTTCTACAATGACGGCGGCCTTAGGAGAATGTCTTACGCTCCACGTCAGCGTCAGAGGCTCGACTTGAGTCTCACTGAAGAGGCAGTCTTGGAGCAGCTCATCACTGTGTTCCAGTCAGTCATTGATCCCCCGGAATATGGTGCTTCTGGCTCTAGCTATCCTACCTATCATATAGCACTTATCAGTCTCACCAAAGCTGCCAAAGCCCGCTATGAGTCCATCAAGGCAACTGTTCCTGCTGTACCCATGGAGACAGCATCTCCTGAGACAATCAAAAGAAATCTTCAAGTACTTCGACAGTCCTGTGTGATGTTACAATGCAGTAGAGATTATGAAGCAAAACAAACACGTATGGAAGCCCTTGTCGCATTGGTCCGTGGGAGGAGACGACCAGAGAATACATACCAAGAAGTCGATGAGGGGCAAGGTGCGTGCGCCGACACCATAGACCTCATGGATGCCTTCATGGCCGGCGATTTCTTGACAGTGCAGCACGGGCGTAGTCAGCTCACGGGTGCATATATTGTTAGCACGCTGGCCAAATTATGGAAAGAGGTCGAGACTCCCAAAAATGTTTTCCAAGAGTATACGAAGGCGAGCTTGGAAGATGTAGCAAAGACAGTCCTGGGTCTAGGGGGAAGCGAGCAAATGCCAGTGAATGCATACAGAGCATCTGCGTAGGTAGCTGATTTTTGCTTGTGGCAGGTCGCTGATGGAGTAAGAGACTACGAAACCATCACGAAGATGGAAAAAGCGATTTCTAGTATGTTCGATAGCAAACCGCACTCTATCCGTAGATCGCTGAGCCGTGGGAGCGCTTCCTCCCCAACAAAGTCCCCGAGGAGGAAGCGTGGCTTATTTTTGGGAGGCTCGCCCGGCTCTTCTCCCAGCTTGAGCTCTCATTCCACGCTTCATCTCCCAGCCCAGAGTACCGATCGTTCTTCATCCCCTTTCCCAGCAGCCCAGGGTATCTTGTTTGGGGGCAGTTAAGCTCACCACGAGCTTGTTCCAGTCAGGCTGAACCAATCATTGTAGTGGCCAAACATCCTCGTGTTGCATATTCTTGACCTGCATGAACGATAGTGCCACACTCCTCCTGCCACATCACGTGCCTCTCTGAACTAATGCCACGTCAGCAGGCATAGCACGCTCACCATAAGCTTTGGATTTTTTTCAACATGGCGCCATTTTCTCTTCACTCCTTATCCTCTTCCTACCCTTATTACTACAGCCTGCAAGTCTGCCAAAATGGTCAAGTCTGCCGTTCTCGGGTTCCCTCGCATTGGTACTGGACGTGCTATCAAAAAGGTGCGCTGTCAACATATGCCTGTTCCTCGTCGAACCTTGTCCTGTCCCTCGCCTGTCACTCACCGCAAGTCGCTAATCGCCAGGCCGTCGAGTCCTACTGGGCCGGAAACTCGTCCGCCGAACAGCTCGCTGAGGCCGCCAAAGCTGTGAGAAAAGAACGTTGGGAAACTATCAAAAATGCCGGTGTGGATATCATTCCCTCGTAGGTCAACCTGCCTGTGCGCATTAGAAAACGCTGACATTCCAGTGGTGATTTCACCCTCTACGATCATCTCTTGGATCATTCCTACAACTTCGGTGTCATTCCTCAGCGTTACGTCGAACAGAAACTGAGTGGTCTCGACACTTATTTTGGTGAGTTCCACCGTAGGATCTTGGCTCATATACTCATCATCAGCCATGGGTCGTGGTAAGCAAGACCGCGAAAAGGGTATTGACGTCGTTGCTTCTGAAATGGGAAAATTGTCAGTGTCCCCTAAATTTTATGGTCTAATATACTTATGGAAGCTTTGACTCAAACTACCACATCGTCAAGGTCGACCACGAGCCCTCAACCGAATTCAAGCTAAACTTCAACCAGCAGCTTGTCGAATATGAGGAGGCCAAAGCTCTGGGTATCATCACCCGCCCTGTACTCTTCGGTCCCATCACCTATCTCTCTCTTGTCAGAAAGAGCCGTGATGCTCCCGCCGACTTTGAGCCTCTCCAGCTTCTCGACAAGCTCATTCCCGTCTACAAGGAGCTTTTGTCTCAACTCAAGGACGCTGGTGTCGAAGCTGTACAGATCGACGAGCCTATCCTCGTCCTTGACAAAGCTGAGGCCTATGGCGCCGAGTACAAGAAGGTCTACGAAGCCCTCGCACCCGTCGCACCCAAGATCACCATCACTACCGCTTACGGTCGACTTGGCAAATCCTTAGACTACCTCAAAGACCTTCCCATCTCTTCCCTGCACCTTGACCTCGATCGTGAGCCCAAACAGCTCGACGCCGCGATTGAGGCTGTCAAGGACACGGGACTCGGTTTGGAGCTCGGTTTGATCTCCGGTCGAAACATCTGGAAAGCCGATCTCAAAGCCGCTAAAGCTTTGGCTCAGAAGGCTGTCGACGTAATTGGGACCGACAGAGTTGTGGTGTCGACTTCGTCATCTCTCCTCCACTGCCCTATCTCCCTCAAGGTCGAGAAAAAGCTCACTGCTCAGCAGCTCAGCTGGTTGTCGTTTGCCGAAGAGAAATGCGAGGAGGTAGCTGCTCTCGCCGGTGCCCTGAATGGCAAAGAGTCCGCCCTGTTCGAGCAAAACACCAATGACATCAGTGCCAGACGAGAGTTTGAGCGTTCATCCGACCCTGCTGTCCGTGAACGCGTGGCTGGAATCACCGAACAAATGTTATCTCGCCAGTCTCCTTTCCCTACTCGTAGGGAGGCGCAGAAGAAGCTCAAGCTTCCCAAATTTCCCACGACGACCATTGGTTCCTTCCCCCAGACGAAGGAAATCCGTCAAGCACGTGCTAAATTCGGCAAGAACGAGTTGACTCAGCAAGAGTGAGTTGTCCGTTAGCCTTTTGACTGATTAGCTGAGTTATTTAGGTATGAAGCCGCAATGGAAGCCGAGATCAAGTACGCTGTCGACTTCCAAGAACGCATCGGCCTCGATCTCTTCGTCCACGGTGAGCCCGAGCGTAACGATATGGTTCAATACTTCGGCGAGCAACTCAACGGTTTTATCTTCACTCAACTCGGCTGGGTTCAGTCCTACGGCTCTCGTTACGTCAGACCCCCCATCGTCGTCTCGGACGTGTCTCGTACCGCTCCCATGACCGTACGCTGGTCGGCATACGCGCAAAGTCTTACTAGCAAGCCGATGAAGGGTATGCTTACTGGTCCCGTCACTGTGAGTCCATCTCTATGATCATATACCAAATGTCCTGCTAATGAATGAGATCCTCAACTGGTCTTTCCCCCGTGCCGATATCTCCAAAGAGGTTCAATCCAAGCAGCTTGCTCTTGCTCTCCGGGATGAAGTGGTTGACCTTGCCAATGCAGGGATCCAAGCTATCCAGGTCGACGAGCCTGCCATCCGCGAAGGTCTTCCTCTTCGTAAGGCTGACTGGGACAACTACCTGAAATGGGCTGTCGACTCTTTCCGCCTTTCCACCTCTGGGGTTGGAGATGACACCCAAGTGCACTCTCACTTCTGTTACTCTGACTTTGGTGACATCTTCCCTCATATCCAGCGTCTGGATGCGGACGGTGAGACACCTTTGCTTTTCCTTTGCGTTAATATTACTGACGTTACAGTCATCTCGATTGAAGCCTCCAAAGCCGACCTCAAGCTGCTCGACGTCTTCAAGACCTATGGTTACTCGAACGAGATTGGACCTGGTGTGTATGACATTCACTCTCCCCGTGTGCCGAGCGAGCAAGAGATCAAAGACCGTATCGCTGCCATGGCGAAAGTGCTCCCAGTCGACCTTCTTGGTGAGTTCAATCGTTTCTCGACTGTACGCGATCACTGATCTCCAGTCATCAACCCCGACTGTGGTCTCAAGACCCGTGGATGGAAGGAGACCGAGGAATCTCTGTCTAACCTGGTCGCCGCCGCCCGCTGGGCTCGTGAGACCTTCGCCTGAGTTTGATCACCACATCGCATAGGTTTCAACAGCCTTTCATATATCTCAACAATCGGAAACTCATCATGTTCATACCCATCAGAAACGTCATTGGTAGACTAAAAAAAGGTGTTTGAAGTGGAGAGTAGTCGTAGTAGCCCCAAGTAGTGGGAAAAGAAGAGAAAAATGCAGCCTGTTCAACCGGCACTACTTGTCTCCGGACGTCTCCGGACGAGCTGTCAAATTTGCTGCAAGTTTGACACGTGAGATGAAGCAGTCTGAATCATGTTGATGAGGACAAAGGGTTGGATGACCGATGAATTTGCAGTCGCGCTGACATTCACCGTTCAATTTGCTCTCTCAATCGTGATGCATTACATACCACCTCACCTATACCAACAGCCGAATCAATGATGAGATCCTACTACCACTTGTGTCAACATGAAACATAAGCTGTCTTACTACATCCCGTCGTCATCTCTACATGTCATTCACTAGTTTCCCACTCGACTCAATCCCTCTTTCTCAACCACAGCGTGATGCCTGTCGCCGAGGTATGTTCTTCACTGCTTTGATCTCTCCTTCGCTTTGCCAATCACCAATTTCCCTTCACCCGTTGTATCGATCTACTTGAACCATGTTCAAATCTCGCTTCTGCTCCCAGGAGAGTTGCCCTCCACTTTCTCTCGCCCTTCACACGGAGATGAAGCCAAGAAGGAATACTGTGTGGAGGAAATCAAGAAGTCTCGCTGACGTTTTCCAGCAGGTTACGAAATTTCCTCTGACGTTCTCCTCCCTCCAATCTCCGAAGTGGTCAAGAAGACTCGATTGAAGTACGACGATGCGACTTCTTTGATCAAGTCAATCAGTCAAGCTATAACACCTCGTTCTTGTACGGTGTCGGAGCTTCTTCGAAACTCTCAAACGAATCGAGTCGTTGGGCAGGGCAGTGGAAGAGAAGATCCTGATAATGAAGGAGTTGAACATATGAGAGGATGTGTAGAAGAGACATGGTTGAGTACTGGAGATACTGGTCTAGATGGGCTTTTAGGAGGTGGGGTAAGGATTGGTACAGTGACTGAGATTGCTGGAGAGAGGTAAATTTCATATCACTGGGCAATTCATCATTCTCGACTCCCATCGCTCGCCTCTTGTCTTCACGATCTGTGGGTGAAGTCTAACGTGCCTTTCAATCACTTTCGTTCCGGCGTGAGAAGCTCATTTCGAGGAACTCAAAACAGTGTGGAGTGTGGAGGGGCCTAGCTGACATAAAGTGCTTCGGGCAAATCTCATCTTGCCATGTCACTCGCTCTATGTGCTCAACTACCACCTTCGACACAACCAGGAGGTACCATTATTCTCACTTCCGAACGTGATCTCGCCACTGGTCGTCTAGTCCAACTTGCTCAATCTCTGCTTTTTCATCATACAGCTTCTTCCCCCAGTCCTCCAACAGAGTCTTTACCCAGCGTAAGAGACTTGTTAGGAAACATTCGAACAATGCGTATTGCCGAGATATCAGATTTAGAACATTGTTTAACATATCAAATTCCTGCTTTACTTTCTTCACTCCTACCTGCGAATCGATCTTCACTCCTAGGACCATCACCTACCCCACTCAATCAATCATTACCTTCCGAAACCACTATCAATGCTCCTGCTCCATCTGTCACTGTCATTGCATCCGACCCGCCTATCATGACTGCACCCACTGTACCTGTTCAACCTATACCACCCCAATCGACTATCGCAGTTCACACTTCGGGAAAACTCCCTGTCAAATTAATAGTTCTCGACTCTATCACCGCTCTCATGAGAGGTACCGACGTTCGTTCCGTTTCAGCCATTGGATTAGCCCAACGATCACGCTATCTTTGTTCAGTGGCAGATTCTCTCAAAGCACTGGCAGTAGCATATAATCTCGCCGTGGTAGTGATCAATCAAGTCAGCGATGTCTTTTCCCGTCTACCCATATCAACATTCACATCATCACCAGTTTCTCAATCTGTAATGGAAGAAGACGCTCCTCCAATGTTATACGCGACGCAAAAACGTTGGTTCTCCGGAGAATCAGATTTACTTGGGAAAGAAGCTAGTTTGGGGATCGTATGGGCCAACGCTGTGAACACTCGGATCATGCTCAGTCGAACGGGTAGAAGAAGACTTTTAAATCAAGAACATCCTTCTCAAGGTAAGAAAGGTGATGGATCACAAATGGAAGATATAAGACCTACTTTGGTGAGAAGAGCACATTTGGTTTTTGGACCTTTTGCACCGGAAGGTATGATGGATTATGTGATTACTGAACAAGGAATAAGGACTTTAGAGGGGAGTTTCAGGAATGTGGGAATGGAGAGAAGACGAGAGAGGTCGAAAAGAGATAAACAGGGTTTGTCAAGGACGGAAGAGGAAGTGGAAATCAAAGAAGTTGAGCCAGGGGAGAAAGAGGTTTTGGATGATATGGGAGAATTACCACCTGGGTTTTGGGATGAAACTCCTAGTAGTCCAGTCAAGGAGTTGTAGCTTGCGTGGAGGTAGTTTGAAGGGGTATACTAGGGGTAGGTTAGCATGGTGAAGATGTGTTGTATAATGCCCATACTGATCATATGCATCCTGTCATCTTTGTCAATTATGTCATATGGTACTTACTCACGCCAGTGAACTCGCGCAGTGGAGGCGGTTCACAAGACCAATCAACATCTCTTTCCATCCAGTGTTTTATAATACCTTACCCCCATCCCCCCAATCAGTCTTACTTTCCCTCTAACTCAAGCCCCAGATCTGGGACCTATCATAAGTTAGTCCAGTCACAAACGATCACCAATGTCTCCACCCGGTCCATCCCATCCAAGTCGTAATGTCATCCTATTCAGAACTCCAACAGAACAAGATACCTACCATCTCACACTTTCTTCCCTAGGTTGTCATCCCATCTCAATACCCGTCTTAATGGAAGAATATCATATCTCTCAACTTATCCAAATTATACAACATGGACCGACATACGATGGAATCATAATTAGTTCTAAACGTTCTGCAGAAGCTTGGATCCGAGCTGTAACTTCTCTTTCTACTTCTTCAACTATCGATATATCCCCTTCTAACTCTTACGTACATGATTCCCTCACCCATTCTCACTTACAAAGTGAGTTATCTGATAATATAGGTGAGTAATCCTGACTTTGAAGTGTATATCTATTAGAGATGTTGATTCTAGATTGGTCTTCCACCCCATTATATTGCGTTGGGAATTCTTCACTTGAATTATTTAAACAATCCAATTTAGAAAAAAGATGGTTACCAGATTTACGTATGGCGATCAGTTCGAAATCAGCCACGACGTTGATCCCTCATATACTACTACATCATGAACCTTACTCTTCATCTGGATCTGGATCTGTTTCCGGATCGAATACCTCACATGTCACATCTCGAAACCGTCTCGGAAATTCGGCTTCATCTCAAGTTCTGATCGAGCACCGAAGTAAGAGGTACCTCTTACTCAGAGGTGATAAGACGTTAGATGAGATACAAAAGGTCATTAGGGAAGAAGGAAATGAAGTTCATGAAGTGGAAGTTTATCGTACATTCCCTAGACCGGAAGTAGAGTTGGAACGAGATCTCGATAGGATCATGGGGGACTTGAAAGATGAGGGAGGATGGTTAGGTTTTTTCTCTCCTTCAGGAGCTGAGGTTGGTTTGCCTTTTCTGAGAAAACGGGGTTTTATATCGGGCACAAGAGAACACATCAAGCGAGCGGAAGAGACGGGCTTAGCTTTCGACGAGGAGAAGACTGGTTTTGAAAGGGGGATAATGGACGAACAGAGAATTGTGGAAGAGGAAATGGTTTTCATCAAAAATTTAAGAGAAACCGGGAAGGAAAGACTGAAGCAGGTGGTCGGAAATATAGAAGGTGAAGGGGAGAATGAGGAAAGAGACGTAGGGGAAGGATCTACAGGGAGAGGAGGATGGAAAGTTGTGGTGATTGGTCATACCACTGAAGAATATCTTACCAGGTCAGACGTAGGGGTCAGAGTAAACGCAGTGGCGGAAACTCCGGATGTAGAGGGGATAGTGAATGCCATAATGATCCCAGATGGATGAAAGAGTTGAGACATAAATACTGATTGTGAGGGACGCCTAACACCATTAATCGACAAGAGAGTACAGTATATACTCAGTAGATCATCGAGATGACATCAAGACAAAGCTCCGCTCTTTTTTCAATGTGCTGTGCCTAGGGAAAATGACTAAGATGGAGCACGATCTGCATGACGCCTACTCTACGTGCAACATCCAAAAGGAACAACCAATGAAGGGAAACAAGGATGTAGTGTATGAATGTTCGTACTTGTACAAATTTGGGCACAGTTGTGATCCTGCAGCATGTCACTTCTACGATGGTTCATGATGATCGCAGTCGAAGTATGTTGAACGCAAGACTGTCACGATCAGCATTGCACACACACAATGAGGAAAACGGTTTATGAGTGATATCCAAGGATACGACACTTACCAGAAGATCATCACTGCTACTCCGTAAATAGCCAGCGCGAGGGCGAACCATTTGGTCAATCCTGCTTCTCTTCGGAATAGCTTGAAGTAGAAGAAACCAGGAAGGATAAAAGATATTATGGTAGATCCTGTTGATCCTACAAATCCAAGGACTGATGATCAGCATTGTCCCGGTGAAACTCGTCGCGAAGGAGATGGACACAACTTCACTCGTTCGATGTCCGCCAATAGGGGGTGATTCCAAGATGTATTATTATGGATGGAGAAGTGTTGCAAAGACCATATTGTTAAGGAGAGAATTGGGCGACTCACCAACTTCTAACTCATCCACTAGTAAAGCAATGATGAAACCTAAACTCAATATTCCCATGGTGATACCAATAAATTTCCATCTCCTCATCTCTATCGCACCTCCATGTGCCAAGTCTTCCACGTCCTCTTCCTCCTCATCATCATCTTTCGGTACCAATGGATCTTCCTCCGCCTCTGCCTCACTATCCTCGTCCGAATCTGGTATATCGTACGATGGCTCAGGTTTAGGTTTGATTATCCCGGATGTCATTTGATACACGCATATCCGACAGGGTAAGCATTGCAGAGGATAAGACAGTCCTACTAGGAGTACGATACCTAATCGACCGAGAGCGATGGGGAAGGATGTAGGAGGATACATGGCGATAATGTTGGATCCCACTTTACTGCCGAATGTGAGATATCCGATGACACCAAGCTAGGGGTCAGTGGGACGGGCTCAACATGTATAGAAATCTGCTGACAGCTTCGTAAACGGCCGTGGCTAAACCAATCGAGGCTCCAGTGACAACGTTCATTCTTTGTTGAGTTTTGTCCTTCAGTTCATTGTAGATAGGAAATAACTAAGGGATTAGCTAGTTGGTCGACGAGTCTCATCGACATTTCTCACATTTTGTGAACAGCTAGGAATCGTCAACTCCTATTTGCTTTGAGGCCAAGAGCTCACGTGTAGGCAAAGATTTGCACAGGAAAGCTGGCTAATGTGTTGGAACTAAATCGAGCAAGCACAACCTCTCCTCTGGACGGACTGGCTCCCTTGAAGATGTACCATGATACTACCACGATGAGAAGGCTGAGTCAGTCAGCTGATGATCGGTCGAAATAGAACGGGACAACTGACTAAACGACTGTGCCCAATGCGATTTGACTGGTGAAGCGTAACGCGTCAAGCGTTTTGAGGAATGATAAAGGCGCAATGACTACCATGGAGGCGACCAGCCAGAAATCTTGTGGCAACAACAGCGAATCGTCGGACAAAGGATGACGAAAAATGTTCGCCAAGGTGGCAAATACTTGAGGAAGTAAGGTCTGTATCATCAGTCATTATCCAGCACTACAGCACCCAAACTCACTTTACATATTATAAGATATGAGACGGATACTCCAAAGCACTTGATCGCTATCGCCAACTGCGAGTCAGCAGACCCTTTTACAGGGACAATGTGAGACTGACATCAAACACCCTCGTAGCCCAACCTTTCCCAAAAGCTATCTTTGCCACCTCGTTGAAACTCGCCTTCTTCATCTCGTGACCTGGCTGTCGTCCCACAATGGTAGCACATCGACTCAGGAGGTACAAACCAAAGAAAGAGGTGATACCGCAAAAAGCACACGACACAACTCCCGGTATGATACCCATTGTGGCGAAGGCGGAAGGAAAAGCGAGAGCTCCAGCTCCTATTATAGTATTGGCGAGATTAGAGATTGAGGATATGATCGTAGCTGAACCTTGAGATTGAGCTATAGAACGGGCCGACCGAGCTGAACGATGTGAACGGCGTGAGCGAGCGGGGGATATGAAATTGTTGTAGGCTGAAGCTGGAGCTGGTGAAGAGGTACCATATTGTGGTTGAGACATGATTTTTTGAAGTTGATAGCTAATGTTGGTAGACTGGATACGCTACACCACCGAGTGAACTCAGTAAGTAAGTACTGTACGACTATGGTCCAGTGACCAAGAGGTGAAAGGGAGGAATGGGGGAATAGCTGCATACGTAATCGGACCTGACCTTCTCCTGGGGATAAATAACAATGAAATATATGAGAGAATAATGTCTCACTGACGCGCCTGACTTCTTTCCGTCCTTAGTAGAGTAAACATTCAACATTGCATCATGTCCAACCCAGATGACTCTATCATGCTCCCTCAACCTATAGGCACTCTCGGTACCCTCTTCCTAGTCAAACGTAAGGCAGGAGTAGATCTTCAGAGCTTTCCAATAGATTCTGAACAGGTCACCATAGGGCGGTCAGTCTCTCTCAACTGACTGTGGTCGAGTTCCCGCTGATAGATACAGTGATTACGATTGCGATGTGAGCTTCAAGATACACCCGGAATGAACTACAACCATCTGTACTGATACAACAGATCCGACTTTATTTTTCAGACGTCTCTAAACTTCACTGTGAAATCAGCTTCGATCCGAGCAATGGACGGGTCAGTCTATCATACAAATCATCCATCATAGCTGACGTTTAGGCAACTCTCAATGTCTTGGGGTCAAATGGACTGTATCACACTCCTGCCGAGGGCATGTCTACTCATTACCAGCCGCCGTCAGTGATCGAACTGTCCGACAGGGACACATTCTCCATTCGCAAAAAGGTCTTTCGTTTCGAGTATCCAACTCCTGGATTGACAGAGGATATAGCTGGACTCATGTCGCCTATCGTCAAGTCTTCTACGTTACCGCCAGCTTCGCCTTCCCCCAACAAGGATTGGCCCTCCGACGCAACTCAGCCTTTCCATAGGAGGGCCTCTCATCGAATGTCCCTTGTGCCTCCAGGCAAAACATTCGTACCCTTTTCGCCTGCCAAACCGAGTCGACGGCACAGCGTGCTAGGTTTGGGCGATGCGAGCTCGACTGGAATGATGCCCGGATCTGGGCTGAATCACGAGATACCTCAAGAGGCCGACGAGAACGAACAGATGGAAGATGCCCCTGCAGACCTACTCGTCGATGTTACTGAAGGGGAAGATGGCGATGTCGTGTATTTGGAGGTGAAGGATGAAGACCTCATGGCCGGTCACTCGGTGAAGGTCAGCTGAAAAAATTGTAAGGGGTGTACAGCTGACTCCTGCAGCCCATCTATCAAAGATCCTTCTCGACTCCACAGCCATCCCGCAAGCTAACACCACGCAATACCTCCGCGGTGCCACGCACTCGCACATTTCTGCCAATCCCTACCCTCAGCCCAGCCCCTCCGCCTCAAGCGATGGCTCGGCAGCTCGTACCAGCCCAAGTGGCACTGTCCACTCCACGAGGGTCGTCATCTTTACGTAAATCACTTCTGCTTCGTTCGGCCCGTAGGGTGTGGGAAGAAAATCTCTCTCCGGGCCTGGAGGGAGCCATACAATCCGGCGATGTGGAGATAAAGCGCAAGAGTCTCAGCCCCAAGTGGACGGGGAAGAAGAGCTTGACCCCTCGACCATCTCTTGGGAGCGATGATGATAGTGAGAGTGATGAAGATCAGGGGGACAATCAGATACAACAACAGGAGACGACGGAGGAAGCTCAAGCGGTGCCTTCAAACGAAGAAGATATGGATAGCCTCGAGGCTGATATATCTCTTGATCTGGAGGTGAATACTCTATATGGTGACCCGCTGATCAAACAGACAGAGGATCATATCTCCGAGCTTGCTGCCCAGCTCAATATCGAGCAAATGGAGAATGACGGATACGACGAGGATGACTATGAGATGGAGGAGGAAGCCGAGGTGAACGGAGACCAAGAGGCCGGATTTGTCGAAGCCACGGGCGACGCTCCTCGGAGTGACGAGCTACCTCCTGCTGAAATCGGAGTCGAAGAGGAGATGGACGTTGTGGGAACGCCCGTCGCCGTACGTCTCTTACTCACAGTCGTGGATAGGCTGACTCGTGCAGCGACATTCATCAATTAACCGGTATTTCACCCCGCAAGTCCATCGGTATGGATCTGACCAGTCTCGTCGCTCATTGGCGTCAATCGGCGGACCTCCTGTTCGCTTCGAGCGTCTTCCAGTGACTCCTAACGTCCACGGAGGTTCTGTGGTACGCACCGTTCCGACCCCGGGTACCATGGGTCCACCTAGTCGACGCCTCATGTATCCGCCATTGCCCGTGCAGTCAGAGATGGTAAAGCTCCCCCAAACGCCAGCGAAAGTACCAGAGAGTCCTGCGTTGTTGGCAGAGGTGTGTTCGTCTACCTTGATCAAGGGATGAGCTGATGATGCAGGTCAAACGTCGACGAGAAACTTTAGCCACTCCTCGGGCTCTCCCTGCACCCCCTCCCAGCTTCAAAACACCGATCCACTCCACATCTCTCGTCAAGTCGATGTCACACCCAGCTCTAGCAGGTTCACCAGAGTCCATCGCCAGCCCCGACAAAGTCCCTAACACCCCCATGAATGCGCTCAAAAAACGTATGCAAGATCTACGTCAACAGAGCGTTCAACGTCAGGTGGCGCGCGAGAATCGGAGAGCGACAATGGGTCTCGCAATGCCCGAAACGCCCATGAGACCCAATATGAACAAGTCGGCCTCCTTCACCGTTGGACCTGCGAGACGATTCGTTCAATTTGGTAGTGCCCCAACACCAAGGTTCAGAGCGAAGCCTGAGCTCGATGTAGTCCCTTCGAGTCCTGCCAAGTCGGAGAATGAACCAGTCGAGCCGACACAATCTCCCGTCCGGGTAATTTCTCCTCGAAAACAAGCCACGCCGCCAACACCCCCATTCAAAGGCATCAGAGAAGTGTCACCTCCTCCCCAGCAACCGAAGACACCCTTTATGGGAGATCTCAAGACTCTCTTCCCAGCGGAAATCGACCAGGAAACGCCTTCAATGACAGGAATCAAGGAGATGTTGCAGCCTCCTCCTGTCATCCCGCCCACTCCGAGTTTTTCAGGCATGAAGAGTCTGTTCCAAGCTCACAAGGAAGTTGCGACTCCCAGTATGGATGGTGTGGCGGAGATGTACGAGCTGGCAGGATCGCAACTTCGGATTGAGGAGAGTACAGCGGAAGTCGAGGCGGCGGAGGAACCGGTGGTTATCAAAGTCTCGGTGGAAAAAGAGTCACGTTCTGCTCGATCGCGTGCTGCTACAAAGCGTCAAGCCTCGCCTACGAAGACCGTCAAGCCCACTTCATCAGCTCCTCGGGCCTCACCACTCCCAGCTACAATCACGGAGCCCGTACAAGGCGCTAACGGCACAACGAGCAAAATACCCACACGACGAGGCAAGACTGGTACCGTACCACCCACAACGGATGAGACACGCAGCAAGTCGACGCGAGGGAGAAAAGGAACCGCCAGTGTCGAGCCTGCTCCCGTCGAGACCGGAGTGAAGGTAACAAAATCGCGGTCGACAAGGTCAAAGACGGCTGAAGTGCCTGCCCCTACGCCTGTAACAGAAGTATCTGAACAAGTGGAAGAGAAACCATCTGTCAAGACGAGTACAACTTCACGTTCTCGTTCCACTCGGTCCGTCAAAGCAGTCGAGCCTATGACACAGGAAGTTTTATCCGTTCCATCAGTCGAGCCACCCAGCAAGCGCGGGAGGAAAAAAGCATTAAACGAGAGTACTCCTCAAACCGTACTCGAACCGGATCTCGAGACTGTCACTAAGCCCACGTCGAAGTCGAAACGTGCGCCTGCCAGTCACCCAGGAGTGAAGAGTGCAAGTAGGACAATAATTGAAAAGGAGAAATCTGAACCTTCTCGGATGACGAGAACGAAGACGGTGGAGACGAAAGGAAAGGAGAACGAGCCGGAAGTGGATATGAAGAAAGCGGTGAGGACGAGGGCGGCAGTGGGAGAGAACGTAGTAAAAGAGGCTCCTTCGAGATCTACAAGAAGCAGGAAATGAGTTTGGATATGGATTGTTTTGGGGTCTTGATATTGTAGTTTGAGAGATGCATGTTTCATATTGCTCATCACTCCTACAGTCTCGAGGTTCATAGCATGACAACGTCATTCATTCATGTTACGTGTCGTTGTCACGCGCGACCATCGAAACTTTACTTCGTCCCATTCGCCTGTCATCTGTCATTTCCTATTTCGAGATATGTACTGTACATGTACTCACTGTGCGCTGAACCACAATAACGTAGAATAAGAACTCATGAGACAGAAAGATAATGACGGAGGGGGCGGGGGGATAAAAAATTAGCCTATCGCCTGCGGGATGTCAAGGTGAGTGTAGAATCCTTTCTCCCGTCTTCAATACTTACTGCCTACTCTACTACTGTCCTTTGCCCATGTTTCAATGATTATTCAATTGCATGTATTACCAGACCTCTCTGCGAGACATGGTGACTCCACTTACTTTTAATGAGAATGCTATATTCATCCTTCCTCTCGTCCTCTTGAGAAGTCGACATGCTAATAGCACAGGATATCTGACAAGTAAACCCGTTCGGCCAACTCATGATTCATTCTATCACTCACTGAGACTCTAACATCTAACGTCAATATCCTTTCATTAAACAAGAAACAAAGTACGAGTTTCCCCCCTCTCATTCAATCTTCTCCCGCAATCCTTCCCGTCCTTCGGCCTTCGTGTGATTCTGATCTACTGATGTCACTAGCATCACATATGCCCGACTGACCGATCTTCTTCGTCCTTTTCTCCAAACCCCAAAATGCCTCATATTCTTCTTTCTCTGGTCATCCTCCTCCTCCTCCTCTCTCTTGAGTGTGATACCTGTAAGCTAACTGAGTTGTCAGAGGCGAGACTCGCTATCTTTCACTATAGAACGACGTCCACTTGGCTTGAGTTTCAATGTTTCTCAACTGTCAGGTTCCCATTGGCCTACTGGGCTTTACAGCTGGTTTCTTGCGAGTAAATGCCTGGCAGCCTGATTATATTCTTAGAGTGAGCGAAACGACTTTGTATAGTGATTGTCAACCTAGGCAATCTGTGGTGATCAATGGTGAGTTCTTCCTTGAAGTTTCTTCCTCCAAATGTCTTCACAACCCTACTTCATCTATCAATGGACTTGTCTTCCCTGCAAATTACATCTTTATACACTGTTACTCGTCCCTTGTGTATCCGTGGTAATCTGTGGACCTCATGAATCAGTCCACTCATTTAGCTCCAGGTACCTCTATCACTCGATGAGCTGATGTTTAGGAACCTCTCCAGGACCCCTGTTGACATTCCAAGAAGGTCAACATTACTGGGTTAGGGTTTACAACGATCTGCCTGACCAAAATACCACAGTGCATTTCCACGGGTTCTCTCAGTATGCTAGTCCGTTCAGCGATGGAACGCCTCAAGCTAGTGGATGGCCTATACCTCCCGGAGATTTCTACGATTACGAGTTTCAACTGGAGTACGGTGGGTGACATAATTTGCAAAATTGCTTTCCTATACTCTACGGCCCGGTATCTTTTCCTCTATTATATCATGTCAATGTGGTAGGATCCTGTGTATATATATGTAGCGATGGCAGAAGTTTTGGACAGTGTTCTCGTAAGGAAGAGTAGAAGGAACGTCGACTGATGGCAGGTTTCTACGGGACATACTGGTATCATTCCCATGTTCAGAACCAAGTTGGAACTGCTCAAGGACCTGTCATTGTCGAACAAGTCAACAAAACAGACTGTCCTGTAGAGTATGACGAAGAGATCGTCATGATGATTTCGGATTACTACCATGTGAGTAATTGTGATACCGGTTTACTCAAAGCCGAACAGTCTTTTCCTCCCTCCCCATCTCCCTCCGTCCATTCTCCCCCATCTTTCACTGACGCATCATGACTAAGATTGCCCGGTTTGAGGGCATGGAAGAAAATGGTAATCTGATACAAGGCAACGGACGACGTCATCATCGCCGGTCTCCTCAATACCACCGTTTTCGGCTGGCTGGGTGAACCGCAGAGCTTACTGGTCAATGGGAATGCTCAAGGCGTATGTAATGCTTCCGTTTTACTCCCGGGCCAGACTTGCGGCACTGGTTGTGGGAACAACAAGCAGCTGGTGAAACCTAGTACACGATATAGGGTTAGGATCATTTCTTCTACCAGTCTGAGCTATGTGGGATTGGCACTTGAAGGACACAACATGACTGTTTTCGAAGTTGACGTGAGTATTCCTTCTTCCCCCTATTCCCACTCGTCTCCTCTTGGAACATGACTGTACGTAAATTGATACGGTGATGAGAACAACCGATGCTGACAAAGAAGGGGACTTACGTGGAGCCTCTTCCCGTGACGAGTTTGGAGATGGGAGTTGGTCAGAGATACTCGGTGTTGATTGAGACTATGGACAATCCTACCCAAAGCGAGTGAGTTCACAGACCTTCTCACAACTAACTGTGGGCGTCTTTATCCCGAAAGCGCTAAAATTATCACCGGATGATAGACAAGTATCACAGTGCTGATTTGTAGCTGGTATTGGCGTCTGAGAACCATGTGGCGTCCTACCCGTGTCAATGGCTCAGCAGTGTGGTCATATGACTCCTCTGCAACTTCCGATTCCTTCACTCGGAATTCTATCAGTCAAGAGCCCACTCCGGTCGGTCTAAATGAAACCGTCCCTCTGCCTGATGAGGTTTTTGGATGGGTATCTGGGTTGGTTTTCTCTCTCTCCCTCACCTGGCGTTCTTCCTTTAGCACTCAACCCTGCTGGTGTACGCTTCATTCTGCTATCGACCGTTGACGACGTCAGGGACTTCAAACAATGGAATCAATCCGAATACCCTCCCTCCGATGAAGAAGTAACACGAATCATTGTATGTTTTCACTTCCGCCTACAAAACCCCAATTGAAATTGCAGATTTTGAACGCTCAACAAATGGTCGATATGCAAGGATTCCGATGGTCGATCAATGGACAATTGAACAATTCAACTTTGCCAAATGTGCCGTATTTAATACAACTCTACAATGAAACAGAGGACAAACGAATGCCGAATTGTAAGCATATTTCTGGGACTTTATGGTGATAATATTGACAGGAAGATACTACGGCTTTGCAAAATGGAGGTTATGATATTGGGTCCAATACTTATCCCGCGAAATTGGGAGAGGTATTGGATATTGTGTAAGCTTTGAACACTTGATCGCTTAGAGCTGATAGATAGGATACAAAATCGAGCAGGACCCACGTCTGGAATGGTGGAGGCACATCCATTTCACACCCATGGTGCTAAGGTATGCATCAGTCATGTCATACCAAGGTCCATCCTTCCTTGCCCCTTCTTTCTGAATACACACCGGATCGAACAACTGGAAGTCGTTTCTCGAGCTGAAGAATAGTATTGGGATATGGGCTACGGACCTGGTAACTTCTCTTACACCGCTCTGAACACATCTAGAGCCAGTATGAAAGGCTCACCGTATCTTCGAGACACGAGTGTGGTTTATTCCGGACCTGGAGAGAGTTACAATAGTTCCGTCATTGATGATGATGGTCCGGGCGGATGGCGTTTGTTCAGGATCAAAGTGTCGGATCCGTCAGTTCTTATCTCCCTTTTGCTGACACTGTCATCTCTCCCAGGTCTCCACTTTCTTGCTACACATTTACATTCATTTTGTTGACAATTGATTTGATGTTTTCGAGTGGTCACTGACATACCAGAGGAGCATGGTTGATTCACTGTCATATCACCGCTCATCAAATCATGGGTATGCAAGCTTTGTTCATGTATGGTGTGAGTTTCTCACTTGGTCCTATTCTCTCATACTTTGTCCCAATTGAGAAGGTACATGACTGATTGACGCAGGCGGAAGATCTTCCGGCCATACCAGATAGTCTATTGGCGGAGTATTTGACATATGGCGGAGGTTCCGATAGCTTTGATTCGCATACATACGTCCCGACGAGTTATTTTGAGACTATGGCTAGTTTGAGGATCAGGGACAAGGGGGAAGTGGATGGATGACTATAGGACTTTTAAATTACGCTGCAAGTTGAAAACCATCTAATGTACCCATGTTCATAATGTATCTGCTTGCACGTAACCATACCTTAAGTACCATTGGCAGATCTTCACGGAATGACCGCCACATTTATAGTGCCACATCTGTCCTCCTACTGTACATCATCTTTCAGCCCTTGAGCTGTTGCATGTTGCATTTCACCTCCTAGATACATCACCAGTGCTTCAAGTATGACGGAACAACAAATAGATATCACCGATCTGAGTCCGGCTCAACTACAAGAAGTCAAAAAACAACTTGATGCGGTGAGTGATATTCTCCCATCAGCAGCATTCCTACAATCACCTTCACCTCCTGTCATCCTGTAATCCTTACCTTTCCTCCATCTTTCTCATACTACTATATAGCCATATCCTCACTCAAATCCGACTTACATATTCTGCTCAATCTCTCCCAATAAACACTTCATCTCCCACTCTTTAACATCGATGTACTTTAGACTCATCATTTCTCGTGGGTAATAATAGAGTAGAGGAAATACCCTTCAGAGTGATCAAGGACAGAACTGAGGTATAGGAATTAGACCATCTCACAAACTCGTATTCTCAACTCAAACAAGCTCAAGCTAAATTTAAAGCTTGTGTGAATGATATAGGTGAATTAACACCTAAATCCAAAGGTTCGTTTGAAATATCTTATCATCTTTTAAATCCGTCATCTCTTCTTTCACATATACATAACTTCATCCCTCTCTATGCTTACTTTTGATCTCCCTGCATGTAATTTCTTTGGTCTTGGTCATTGTACCAAAAGTCTAAAAGGGAATATGTGATATATGTTGAGATGAGACAGTTGATGAATGTAGGAAAAGAAATACTCGTCCCTCTCACTAGCAGTCTTTACGTCCCAGGTAAGATTAATGATCCGGAATATGTGGTGGTGGATGTAGGTACGGGATATTATGTTAGAAAAGTATGTTCGTTTTCTTCTACGTCATTCTTGTGTTTTTTGAACCCTTTTTCCTCAAGTACCTTCTTTCGACTGTATCTCCGTTTCTTCTTATAGTTGATCTCCACTTCCTCCCCAGTTCGCTCTATTATCATCGTTAACTCAACTTCGACCTTCACCATATTAAAAGTCCATACATTCATCTGTTACGTATTTCCTTCACATTCCTCTCAGTCTGAATCGAAACTATTCTTGACGTCGATGTTCTAACTTTTTGATTAATCATGTAATTCAACATAGCGACCATCATGAACTCATTAATGTGTGTTCGCTACCCCGCAGTGATCTTGGTCAGACGCAACGATATCTAACCCACAGACAAAATCAGAGGCGAGACAACATTACACTTCTAAATCCAACTTCGTACAACAAAACCTTGAAACTTTACAAAAAGCCATAGAAAAGAAACAAGACAATGTCCAAAGTGTCGTTGGGGTCTTACAATCGAAATTACAAGAACAACGGCAAGCTCAACCCACATGAGATATCTCATCCTCCATCATCAACGCAGATCGTTCTTGAACTTGCCTCAATCAAGTCTTTTAGCCCCAACTCATTCGTATCCAGCATGAATCCATACCCTGCATATGCATGTACATTCGCTTCGCTACAAATACTGACATTGATCAAGCAGAAGGACAAATAAGACAGATGGTATTCCTTTTGAGTTACTGGGGAGTTTCATCCGGAAGTCAAGAAGAAGAAAGAATGGAGAGATTTCAAGTAGAAGGTACTGCCACTCCTAATTGACGGTGCATCCTCACTCCCGTCGAATGTAAATTCGGTTCGTTCTCCGGTGTCACGAAGCCATGTCGAATCAAGAAATCCACGAGGATGAGACCACAATTCGGTTTGAATTGTCTGTCATGTAAGGCGTCTAGTACTTCTGGGATACTCATCAACTGCTATTTAGTATCTCTCATGACATGCTACCCGGAAGGAAAATGAACTGTGATGGGATCGACATTTGTGAGTGTACCGTGCTGCCAAAAAATTGTACAACGACTCACGGCGAAAGATTCCACTTCATCGTCACATGGATGTGGTTCGACGTATTCCACAGAATCACGAGGTGGTAAAGAAAGGTCATATGTGTATTCTATCTCAGGTTGTAGATAACCATCAGGGGTGATGTAGAAATACGATACGGATCCTACATTTCTGTTGGTCAGATCACGCGTTAACATATCCCTTTTTATCCCGATCTCTCGACTTTGTCTAGTCACTAACGTTTCTCTCCTAACTTTCTTACAGAGTCTTGGATAATCTTCACAACATTCAGTAACGAAAATCTCGATTCTCCAATGATCTCTCAGTAAGATTTTCTGTTGGAATCCTTGTGAAACTTGGGATGAAATTGGGTAGAATCGGATGTGAGGAAAGACATGACATACCGTATTCTTTTCCGAACCAAATCTTCTGGCAAACTCGCCTCTTCTGCACACTCTTTGATCATACAAGTAAGAGGATCCATACCTGCTGGTATTCCCCCAGCTACGCTCTATCCATCAGCCCATGGACCATGTATCTTGATATGGCCCTTGTGACTCACGTTGTCCAGTTTACTAGGCCAGCTAGAGATCAGCTTCATGACGTCTCAAATGGAGAGAAGCAAGTAATGAAGGACGCGATGGGGGGAGGGACAAGAGAAGGTGAACATACGTAGGTTTGGTGGGACTTCGCCTTGGGACCCAAATCTTCATGGAAGATCCTTCTCCTTCGTACGCTACATGTCAGCTTCTTCATTCTCCAGACTGTAGCTATAAGTATGAGAAGGGATATGTCGGATGAGAGACAAGCATGGAGTGGTCAGCGGGAACGGTGGAGTTTAGACGAGAAGACAGAGTAGGGAATGCCAAGGCAAATGGAGAGATGGTGACGAAAGAGAAAGTATGGGAAATAGACAAAAACTCACCAGTCATATGCACACCATTAGTCATAAATCCAAATAGTGCACATGCAGCTCTTTCCAAAGAGAACGCTCCATTACTCATCGTTCCTATTGGTATTGTCTTGAAAGCTGATGATCTCGGATCGGCGTAAATCATATATTTCTCGTTTCTCCATCCTGGACATCAATCCTCACTCATGCGTATCCTAGTCAATGTCTTTCTGAACCTCTATCATTGTAGTAGTAGTCGGTATCAAGGAGAGACATGACTTTCAGGCTGGGGTTCTACCTGTTGGAAAATCGCGATTTGGATTAAATTGAATGAGAGAGGAAAGGGGGTTCTTACATACCCTCAAGACGACTCATAAACTTTCCTTCATCCCTCCATCGCTCCGCAAGAGATTGCATCACCCTGCCCTTCTCCTCATGTCCCCCTTTGACCACTTCCGACGAGAAACAAACACAGTCCACATCATTCTTCCATCTTCCGTCTTCTCCGGGTGATGACGATCGGATGAAAAGAAAGTCTGGACAGTTGAGATTGAGTAGTTCGTCCAGTACGGGAGAACGTACTAGACCAACGGGAGATAAATGATTTTGATAATCTTCTTGGGTGAGGTGAAAGGGGACGTATGGTTCTAATGTTATTGGATGATGAGTGGGATAGGGAGTTGGGAAGGGAGGGAAGTTGTCTGCTATAGCGACGATATCTAGTAGAGTAGAGGTTTGAGATTCTGGTAGAGAGGTCATTTGTGTTGGATGGCGGGAGAGATGAAGAGGACGACAAAGAAGATTCAAGGGGTGAGGAGAGTGATGGAATTGGAGTGCAAGTGTGATGGATCGCCTAACGACGGCGTTATTGTAGCGGAAGTAGATGTAGCATGAAAACGAGTACCAGCTGCATGAGTGCATATGCATCATGTGATAGATGGCATATTGTGATTGACATTTGAATTCGTGACGATTAGGATGTCCCTTGCCCCCTTGTGGCAGGAGTGCACAAAAGATGCATGTTGGTAATTAAGTGGATAGAAATACGAAGGTGACGTTGATCTAATCATCCCGACCATCCCGACCGCCAGTGAGTGAAACTGGCAATATGATCTACTTCCGTTCTTCGCCTCTCCCTCTCATAGTTACGTCCTCCTGATCAGCTCTGAACCTCCGACACTCCCCCGTGAGAAGTCTTTTTCATGTGTCTGCCAGTCATGCGAAAGAAAAAGCATTCAGCTACGGATCGCGTCCCGATTGGGCCAAGTAGAATCACCGGGACCTGAAGAGTCAGTACAGTCGGAAGTTTGGTCGGAAGTCTTTCATCTGATACGCTCCGGTGGCGTCGCTCAGGGGTTTGGTCGTTGGAGAAAGAGGTTGCATGTGTTTTGAAGCTTCTTTTAGATCTGCGAGATGCGTCAGCAGATTCTCCTCTTCTGCTGCTCGGTGCTTTGCCACGAGACTGTCTGGGCAAAGTTTGCTGAATTGCTGATTCATGCTCGTGCTCGGAGGGATAGGGATGGACGTTTTGGTGATAATAATGTAAGTGGCACAGTGGCAGACCGGCAGATGGTACTAGCAGTGGTACTCTTGCATCCCCTCTGGCCAATCAGAGTTACGCAGTCATGACATCCCGTTCAGTGACGAAAAGTGTCAGGACGACGTCAGGATCCAGGTCCGAAGATCCAAGAGCTACGCTGGGGTGAGTGCCGAGTGGAGGTTCAATGTACGACTCAAAGTGGCAGAAGTAGTGTCGATTCTCGAATACTCGGTATCGGGGAGATTAGACTTTTTGATCGGGGATTTAGCGCCTTGCCCTGAGGGGCCAAGCGGCTCAAGTTGTCGCCCTGAACGGTCCAGTCCAAATGTCGACCTGCGAATCCACAAACGCCCCTTCCTTCTTCCTCCTTCTTCTTCATCTCTCCACATTACACATCGGTGCATCCCTTTTCTCTCGCCACGTCTGCATCCATATACCCTCCGAACAACGTCTCAAACACATTTCTTCTTCTCTGATACCCGAGTGGATTCAAGCGTAAAACAAGTCGATCATCACGTTCGACCACCACAGACGTTTGTCAGATCTCATACGGTCGACGATCACACAGGGGTTATATATCTGTCGGGCGACCGGTTTCGTCCCAGGTGAGACGAGTAAATCTTGGTCGTCAGGAAGAGTCCAGAGGGAGAAACAGTCGATTCATACATCTGGTGAGCGATCGTCCCCCCATATTCATTCACCTCTTTAGTATTATCCAACACCATGTGATTCCCCCCGCGGAACATTTGTCAATCAATGCGAGGTCGGTGGCACCTGTTAGATTGTCATGACATGTCACTATATGTAGATTTCATGCTGATACTGTACCTCTTGTTGACCCCCCTCCTCTCATTCACCGACTTCACTCCTTCTTCATTGTCCATGCCGACGATCCGACCCTTGTGCCGACTTCGGAAAACGCACATCCCTCCACGTACGACTTGGGGAACCCCCCTTTGGGCCCTTGTGATAACCCGGTCACTCCGGCGTCATCATGTTTCTCGCTTGCCTTTTGCTCAATGACGACTCTCTTGCCGCAATACGCCTTGATGCCATTAACGCATCCCTTGATGCCCCTGATATTGGTCGTGGATGGCGAACACTCCTTTGGCACCTGTGCGCCTGTGCGTCCTAATCCACACTACCGACCGACCCACGGCCCTCGGCCACGATCATTGGGCGGGGACGTGCGACATGCTTTCATTCCACCCTTTAGACCCGCGACGCACGACCCACCCACCCCTTTCTTCCCTCCCTCCCTCCTCCCCACATCGCCTCCCTTGCATCGACAAATCTCCTTTGATCACCTAGACCCGGACTACATACACTAGTCTCACCTCAGGACACGACACGTAGCTTGGTGAAAGAGGAAAAAGGTCAACACGTTCCGCGTTATCAACACCACCAATAGTCTCTCATCAACCACTCTCTTTCCTCTCCTCGCTTGTTCGGCTCTCTTTCCGATCGATCTTTTCTCACTCGACGACGTTCTCCCTCCTCCTCCTCCCCCTCCCCTTCTTCTACTCAACCTGCTCACTTTCTTGCTGGCTACTGGACATACGACGTCAAATTTGGCCTGGTTGATCAAGAGTCCAGAGTCAAGATCCGGTCGTCTGTCTTTATCGGGCGGCGATCCCACGCTGTTCGTAGCAGTTCACACTCACCTTTCATCGGTCAAGTGAGTTCTGGCCCAGGTTTTTCCCTCTCTCTCACTCTCTCACATTCCCAACCATTTACGCCGTCTTTCTCCCACTGCGACGTTCCGTCGCCTTCCATCAACATCAAACACTTTTCATCAACTACCGCCGAGTCTCAAGACTCTTCCCTCGTTTCCACGCTAACGTCAAATTCGACTTCAAAGGACCGTCTTCCTCATACACCGCAACAGAGCTTCAAACCATTCTCATAATCCACCACTTCTTCTCCCACTTCTTTCCCCCAACTCGTTCCAGCTTCAGGTTGCTATAGATCTCTTCACGTCCCTATCGCAGCAGTAACAATGTCAAGTCTCGTCGCTAACATACACCCTCTAGCTCGCCTCACCTTTTCAGCCATGACAGATGCTCGCATGAGTCGTCCACATCATCATCACCCTCAGCCATCTTATGGTCATTCAGCAGGACCTACCTACTCCGCTCCACCCCCAGGCGCGCATCCATCATATCAGCATCACTCCTCCAGACATGTCCCTAACGGTCCATCCGGGCCTGCCGTTGGACATCCCGGTCAAATGATCGCTGGGCCATCGGAAGTCGCCCCGCCCAATGCAGTCTCCAATGGCCACGCTCGCGGCACTCCCGTTCCTTCGGGAATCAGCGCGGTCGCGCGCGCGGGGAAAGAAAAGCAAGAAAGTATCTTCGCGCAGCTCGCGATCGCAAATGAAAATACCTGGACACTTATCGGTGCGTCGGCCAAACTACAAAGACCCATTGCTGATCAGACAGGGGCTGTTGCGGAACAGATGCGAGACGAAAACCGAGCTTTATCCGCCTTCGAAAACGCCATCCGCCATAACCCGAATTCCATAAGTGCTCTAAACGCCGCTGCCTCAATACATCGCAGTCGGGATAACTTTGATAAGGCTATCGAATATTTTGAGAGAATTTTGAATATCAAGCAGGACAATGGGGAGGTGTGGGGTTCGATGGGTGAGTCCGATTGATGAGCCTCATGACGTACGAACTGATCGACGCAGGTCATTGTCTCCTCATGAAGGACGATCTACCAAAAGCATATACTGCATATCAGCAAGCATTGTATCATCTCAGCAACCCTAAGGTATGTGCTACCTGAGCGTGCTTCGACTTCGCTTATATCATCAGGAACCAAAATTGTGGTATGGTATCGGCATATTGTACGACAGGTATGGATCGTTTGAACATGCTGAGGAAGCCTTCTCAAGCGTCCTGAAAATGGATCCCAGTGAGTCAAAGGCTTAATCGTAAGGCTCAGCTGATATGGGCCAGATTTTGACAAAGCGAATGAAATCTACTTCCGTCTCGGTATCATCTATAAACATCAACGTAAATACCAAGCCAGTCTAGACGTGAGTGCACATGACTTTTGTGTGAAGCAAACTGATGACGACCAGTGTTTCCGGTATATTCTCAACAACCCACCTAGACCTCTTACCACTTACGACATCTGGTTCCAGTTAGGTCATGTATATGAACAGGACAGAGATGTGGGTCACCGTCAACATAATCTGTACAAGCTGACAGTGCAGTACGAGGCCGCTCGAGATGCTTATATGCGGGTTCTGAGCCAGCAACCAGATCACGCCAAAGTACTTCAACAATTGGGATGGCTGTATCACCAGCCCGGCGCGCCTTTCGCGGACCAAGAAAAGGCAGTAGAATATCTGACAAAGAGTTTAGAGACAGGTGCGTAATTTCAATCGGTTTCCCAGTCGCTGTACTGAATGCACAGAAAACACGGATGCTCAGAGCTGGTATCTGTTGGGTCGCGCATTCATGTCTGGACAACGTTACAACAAAGCATACGAAGCCTATCAACAAGCCGTGTATAGGGACGGACGCAATCCGACATTCTGGTGCTCCATCGGTGTTCTCTACTACCAAATCAATCAGTACCGTGACGCACTCGACGCTTATTCTAGAGCCATACGCCTCAACCCTTTCATCAGCGAGGTTTGGTACAATCTCGGTAGCTTGTACGAGTCGTGTAATAACCAGATCACCGACGCCATCGATGCCTATACTCGCGCCACAGATCTCGATCCCAACAATACTGCTATCAAACAGCGGTTACAGATGCTACACAATGTCGGAAACAACAATGGGCCTCTCCCCCCTGCACCCGGACCGGTAGACGTTCATCCCTCGGCTTACAGCGCCGCTCCTGCCCAAAACCTACCCACTCAGGGCTCGCCAGCAGTGTCTCCTCGCCCTGGGCAACACGACATCAGAGGAGATGGACCTATTCCCTCGGCCCGAGACTTGGCACCTCCGGAGACTCGAGCACATTCACCACCTCTCTTCAGGGGAGGTGCAGTTCCCCCACCTCTAAACCACGTAGATGAGAGTCGAGGCGCTATGTCCCGACACGCGCCCTTGGCGCCGATCGAAGTGGACAGGTCGGAGACCCCTCGTGAACGAGATATTAGAGAAGGTCCGGCCTTTGGTGGGGGAACAAGATTTGATCCAGGATCAGAGATGTCTCATAGACGCGCCGAATCACCCACTTCGCCTAGAAGGAGGGAAGTGTATCACGGACATCCTGCCCACCCTTCTGTCAGTCACAAAGATCGAGAGAGAGAAGAGAAAGAATGGAGAGACCGATCTCGTGGTCCACAGATGGGTGCTGTCATGGATCCCCGAGGTCCTTCACCCCGTTTGCAAGAACGTGGTCCGCCTTCACATGGTCCTCGTCAACCGTCGCCTCGTATCTCAGAATACGGCCGTCCACCTGCGTTCCCCGAACAACCTTATGGATACTATGATAATCGCGCTCCTCCACCCGGTCCAGGTCCATTCGAGCCCCAAAGGCGCTACGACGAAGCCAGCAATGGACAACCTGGTCCGGGACATCGACATGCATCCGCATCACGCGATCTGAGACCTGACGACTTGCGGGCGCCCAGTCCTGCGCTGAGCATGAGCAGCAAGGCGGGCTCCAAACGCAAGGCTGGTCAGACGGACGAGAGATCGAAGCGAACGAGGGATGATAAGACTCCTGGAAGTGGAAAGAAAGCAGGACCGGGGTCAGCGAAACAGTCAGGTTTCAGAGGAGGTATGGAGGAGACAAGTCCGAGACCTACCAATGCGAGCAGTCCGGCAGGAAGCATGTCGAGCACGCATCAACAGACTCCGAGGCATCCTGCTCCACCCAGCAGGACAATTGACGAGGGTAAGTGTTTCACTGTCCCTCATATGTCACCGTGTCCTTCTGCTAGTATCATTCCGATCGCATCAACTCTGTCATATCGTTCAGTCTGTGAAACGATTGAGACCGAAGCTGACTCTTTGCAGACTATGATGAAGGCGCAGCAGACGCTTTGATGACTCTTCATGGGGATCGTCCTTCAATAAACGGTACCTCGCGTAGCGTTTCGACCAGTCCAATAGCTTCACTCTTGCAAGGTAATGGCAAACGTCCAGATCCTCCATCACCGGCCGAAGCGAATCTTTCCCACAAACGCCCCAAAGCGGATATCAACCTTCCAGGTAGCTCCCCCGCCCGAGTGGAGAAGGAAAAGGAGAAACGAATGGTCATTGAAGTGCTCAACACGCCTCGTATTTCCAGCCCAATGCCTGGTCCATGGCCAGTATCGACCTCGGTCCCTGGAGTCATTTCACAATCCGTCACACCTAGAGATGAGAAGGAAGCATCGGTTGTTAAATCACCTTCTGTGAAAGATGACAAGAGGAGGGAGGATGAGATGGAGAAGACGACGAGTGCGAAGAGTTCTCCTGTAAAGGAAACGTCCAGATCGCCTACTCGAGCCAGGATAAGTGGTGAAAGAGGGACACCGCCTGTTTTGACGGCGGAGAAAGAGGAGGGGAAAGACGAGGATGTGGTAATGGAAGAAACGGCAGAGCCTCGACCGATAGAGGAGGTGAAAGCGGGAGAAGATGAGGAGACGAAGAAGGCAGAAGAGTAGATTTTGAAGGAGATCAATTGTTATCTGTTTATGCTCAACATCGGGTTATCTCATGCAGGATTTACATAGTCTTGATTATCTTAAGGAATTTTTCGTGGATTTGCTTGGAAATCATCTTTAAGTTGAGTAACTATATGATAATCAAATTAACAAAATTTATCCTTGCAGACGACGGCCTGACTGTGTTACAAGTCGACTATTTCCCTTTGGTACCTCGCACACGAGTGAATAGTTAGGCGACAGACATAAGATGATAATGCATATGCAAGCAGCCATCATCATTCCTCCTCTCACTTTCTCTCCCCCCAATCCATCTTCAATGCCCCTTATGGATCCTGCCCAGTCCCATCGTCTCTTTCCCTCTTCACCCAATCATCCTCTTTGGACCGATCTAACTCGGATCCAAATCCCTCCGCACTAGCCGTCAAACCTCCCCCGAAAGAAATGACGGCCATTAGCAAACCCACCACTAATCCGATTCTCCATAACATACTTTCTCCCCCTTGTGGAGGATCATGAGTCGTTCTAGCAGCTTCAGTATCTTTCCTCCTTCCAAAGACTGTACTGGGGTTGTAATGTTGACGAGGGTAGGTATGTGGATGCGAGTTTAGATGATCGTTCGGGGTGAAATTGGAACGAGCGGATGGATTAGGACGTTGCCATGCTCTATGTGGACCTGATGAAGAACGTGATAATGGGGAATGTGAGAGATGTGATGGATGTAAATGATTCGAAGGGGAAGAATGGGGTTGGAAAGAAGTATCGTATGATTTTCTATTGAATCAGTTTCAAAGCTGTTTACACGATTTAAATCTTCTTGATATACACGATTCTCTTATCATATGTGTAAAAGTATCAACATCCTTAAACACTAGAGTTATGAATATTATTATTTTGGTAAATCATTCTGACCAGTGAGGAAATAGAGAAGTAGGAAGAACATAAGTGACAACCTGAATCTCCCCCCGATTCGTTGTCTCGTGACACATTGCTACTCAGTAAAGCGGTAGTTTCCTCATAGAGTCATGAGGGGTATAAGAGGGGATTAGAAATTAGAATATTCTCACCTTCTACCTTCATCCCCTAAAGTAGCATAAGCGTCGTTGATCTCGTGAAATTTAGATGCGTCTCCACCAGGAGCGTCAGGATGATGTTTCTTACTCAACTATATCCATCAACCTCCATCCTGTTTTTTGGAGGAAACAAGCTGGAAGCAAGGCGTACCGCATAAAATTGAGATTTGATCTGTTGTTTCGTAGCGTTTCGAGGTAATCGAAGTGCTTCGTAGTGTGTCTTTTTGATCACGCTCGAGGATGAAAAGGGACGAGATGGGTACGATCTTGAAGGTGCTCTCGGGGCAAGATGAGTCTTGATGGGGATGGATGGGATGATTCCTAGGGGAGTGTAAGGAAGTTTAGATGGACCTGCTTGGTTTGATATGATTAACGATCGTAACATGATCCAAGGTAGTTGTGATTGGCCTACTGGAGTGAGAGAATGGAGAAGTGACAAGTTTAATCTCATATGCATCTCATGTACTTCCTCCACAATAATAATGTTCACCCGACAAAGTGGCATGTGGCATTCACTCGACTTGTACTGGTAGACCCCTACTACTACTGACTAACTAGTCCAGCCGGCAAGTCACTACAGGAATTTTGGCTCAACAGAACCACTGCTGTAGCCAAACCCAGACTGATCAAGACAAAGAAAGATGCAACGAGGTCACGTTCCAATTTCGCACGTTTTGTATGTTCAGTCAACGTCTGGGCCGTTTTCGTACACCTCATTATTGAATCATGATTCCTGATGATCAGCTTTCGTTCAAACTTCTCTCACTACCAGACGGGTAGGAAAAAAGACTTACATTTCTGTCGATTTATTCCTCCCACTAGCTCGAATACCTGCTTCTAACAAGATTTCCATCGCACACTCATGGATAGAATTCCTGTCTTTCCCTTCTGGTAGTTGCAAAGTCCTGTACAGGTGAGCAATGTTACTCCATAATTCAACGACCGGGTGCTCCTTTCCTTTTTTAGGCCAACGAGAATCTTTCTCCAACTCGGTGATGAATCTTGTTAATCGCCACATATCTTCTCGGATTTCTTGATCGTGCTGACTCGTCTGTCGCCAACTATGAGGGAGACGAAACCGATCAGAGAATGAAAACCAATGACTACGGTATGCTAGATCGTCAAGTAATAGAGTTCTAGCGAGTTTTAGCCGTTCCAGTTGGTTCAGTTCTTCAGTATCTGCAGAGACAAGGATACTGGGGACGATAACAGTATGATTGACAGGGGTACTGGGAACGGTAACAGTATGAATGACAGGGGTACTGGGAATGCTACCAGTATGAATGACAGGCATGTGATAGGAGGCATGTTGTGACTTTTGGTTAGATGTGTCTTCCTGTCCAGAGAAGGGAATGGAGGAGGTTGAGGTGTGCCTCGAGGCGGGACTGTTGGAAAGAGTCTGATCATCCTCATTGTGATAGATGATATTCGGGGCGAATGTGTCTTCCTGTCCAGAGAAGGGATTGGATCCTTGTTGTGATTCATCTCCGCTGGGGGCCACCGAGCCGTCTTTAATATGTGTCCAAAAAGCGGTCAAAACTCGATTGTGGGTAGGGGGCTTGAACAGGAATGGGATGGACCTTTCGTTCATAGGTACGATCGATCTGTGGGTCCTTGATCTCATCTTGAGTAGAATATAAAGAGACGGGGTTTTGTGTTGTTTGTAGAAGAGATGTTGGCTGTTTTATATCAACCCGATCCGCCTTCTCGACTTGAATTTATGAATTAATCTCTCGATGCGGTCCTTCGAATTTGAGATAGTCGCGGAGTTATCTATCATTCATCTAAGTTCGTTGAAGGAAGTGCGTAAGATTCAATTTACGTCTTGACGAAGGATTTTGATGATGATATGTCGGTCATTCGAAAATGAACTCAGCCATGGTGAAGGGACGGGGAATCGCGTTATGAATATGCACTTCAAATTTCAATTTGTTCGGAGCTGAGTATCAGTAGATTGATGAAAACGTCATTGATGTGAGAACCTCAGCTAGGGGTTATTTACCAATATTTCCATCAAACCCCGAAAAGTTGATCTGTCGAGTCGTACAATACGAAGCCCATTTCCCAAAATCATTCCCAAATCTCCTTCAGATATCCTGGCATTCTCTTCTCAGCCACGCCAAAGCCCGAGAATCATCAAACTTTTCCAACAAAGGAGTGAGCTTCTCAAGAACCTCGTTATGATATTCGTTAATCCACTTTCGTTCCCATTCGACAAGAAGATCATGTTGAATCAATTTCGTCTGAATCGGGCACTATACCATAAGTAAACGTCGTTCTCAAGGTGAATGGAAGTAGAACTTGGGATTTGACTCACCATCGTGACTCTTTCGAATTCAAGATACCCCTTACCACCGAAGTTATTCCTCGTATCACTGGGTTTGACGATCATAACGTTTTCTATCCTGATTCCAAATTTCCCATCCGCGTAATAACCTGGCTCATTCGAGATCACGTTACCGGCAAGTAGAGGATGATCGTTATAGGCTGGTCGGAGACCGACGCCTTGGGGTCCTTCGTGAACGTTCAGAAATGCACCTACTCCGTGTCCTGTTGAGTGTCTATCAATGTTTAGCTGGGATTGGACGTACGTTCGAAGGGAACACACCTGTAGTCGAGGCCGTCAGACCATAATGGACGGCGAGCAATAGCGTCGATGATGTACCCCGTGGTGCCTTGTGGAAAAACCATGGTGTCCATTGCTGAGTGTCAATATGACCCGCAGGTCTGAGAAATATCTTACCGATGTGGCCTTGGAGCTGCTGCGTCAGCTGAATCAGACGAGGGAACGATGGCTTCTCACTCACTACTCGTGTGAAAGCTCTTCTCTCCTCATATGTGGGTGTACCGAAGTGCTGTGGTGTCAACGATGATATGAGAATTATCCTGTTGACTAACCAATGTCCGAGTCGTGTCTGTGGTACCTAAACGTCAAGAAGGGGCTAATGTACGTGACCGTTGGACTGACCATCCAGATACTGTGCTACCGATCAGCTGACGACGACTGAACATCTGGAGATAAACCCACCTCCGGAGTCGCACAAATATATCTGATCCACTTCGATGACAGCACTATTCTCCGAAGAAGGTGCATAATGTATGACAGCAGCATTCGACCCTGTCGACGAAATTGTCTCGAATGACAAGCCCATGAACCATTGGTTTTCTCTCCACAAGTCAACAATGTCTCAAAAGTCGAAAAGTTCGTAGACTAACTTGCGATATTCCTCCAGCCGTTGTGCGGCATGATACTCTGTTAATTTCGCGCCTCGGTGTAGAGTCTCCTCCAGCCAGGCAAAATATCGGACCAAAGCCGCTCCGTCTCGAATATGACACTGTCGAAAACCCTCTATCTCGGTCTGCAAGTCAGCATCTGACATCTTGAACCATGTTGAAAATAGCTTACCGCGTTCTTTTTGGATTTAGCTAGTTCGATCATGGATTTCTGGACTTCCACATTACTCTAAACCGTAAGCATCCGTGGCGTGGGCTGCCAGGGAACGTACCTCGCCCACAGCTTTAGCGACTGCCCAGCTCGTTTTGCCTCCGATCAACACCTTGTCTGTTTTCACCAGTCCCTCCTCTCGACTCTCTTCTTGAGTGAGGGCCCTCCCTAGTATCTGCTTCTCTTTCCCGTCGCCTTTTCTCGTTGTCTCTGACGCTACCTCCCGCTGTTGAGTGAGTCGTCGTCCCCATGTATGCAGATAACTCCACAATTGTCCATAGTCTAACACTGCTACGTCATTTGCGTGCAGATACTCTCTGATCGTCTCGCTAATGGAGGAGGGCTGTATGAACAGCGTGCACTCCTCAGGAGTGAGGATGACATATGAGAAGAAAACCTACTAGTCAGTTCACCAATCGTACGAGAAGGTAGACGTACAGGGTTGTAAGGTATATCACTCCCCCGGAGATTGAACAGCCATGCTACTTCGTCAAGCTGACTGACGATCATTCCTGGTGATCCCGTCTTGGTGAGCTTCTCCCGAAGAGACCGTAGCTTTTGTCCCAATGCTTCACCAGTGAATCGTTCCTCGAGTCTGAACACGGGGTTGGCAGGCCGTGGAGGACGAGAATACCAGAGGACATCGATGAGATTCTCTTGAACAGGAAAGAGGGATGATTTGCTCCTATGAGCCGAGAGTAGAGTCGTGAGAGAGATAGCCTCGGAATAGGATATGAGAGTGGGATCTATGCCGATCTTTGAGGAGGAAGCGTACTGATGGGGAGCATGAGTTCACGACACCTGTCTGAGATGTTGGGAGAACTGACCTGCTTGAGCCATTGATTCCAAGGCAGGACATCTGGCATTCCTTGTTTCATGAGTGACCAGCTGTACTTCAGTGAAATGAACATGTTTGTTTACGATCTACTCACCCCTGACCCAGCTGTTTCTCCGCTTGAAGGAAATATCGACCATCCGTCCAGCATAACGCTCGATCTTGAGTGATAACAGCACAACCAGCTGAGCCAGTGAAAGAGGTGATATGAGTTCGGCGAGCATCACAAGGGGCGATGTATTCAGATGAGTCTCATGGTCAGGTTCGATTCTCTTCCGGTCACTGAGCTACAACTTAGCAACGGTACTCACGAGCGTCTTCTGTGGGTACGATGCTGTGCACGTGAGCATGATAAGTCGACAGAGTCACGATTAACAACACTTACTATACATCCAGCTGTCTTTCTCTCATCAACTCTCGCAGAGCACGAAGCTTGCCCAAAGAATCGAGTTCCGTCATGGGCGGAGGAATGTCGCTGGGAGTCACCGACCGGGTTGATATGGAGACCGGCCTCAACTTTGTGGCCGTCCCAGCGACAACTGATAGTCGGCACCGGAGCTTGTTTCGACTAAGAAATGAACCGACTACAGCCCGTCCTAGCTTCATACAGGGTGACCTTTTGAGGCGGTGGTGGACTGTGAGAGTGCCATGTTGAGTGTTGCATGGTTGCATGTCCGCCCTGGTCCTCCGGCGTCCGGGAAGGAAATGCTTCGTGGGGCTCCGCATCATATCACCCACTGCCCTCCGTTCAATACACAGCCAAGTCAACCATATCCTTGCCTTCTTGACACCTTGTCTCACCCTATTTGAAGTGAAAAGTCACTCTGTTCAGCGTTATCGCCAGACCACCAAGGCGACATCAGGAATGCATCTGGTAACTGTCGCAACGTGAGTCTACTTTTGACTTGTCTCCCAGCTTGTGAACGGGCAGCTGATGTTTGACAGATGGTCGGTCCCTTTCAGATATGACTTTGAAACACGCTGAAAGCACTCTAGCCAGCTTCATCAATGGTCACTCGACTTCACAGTGAGTTTTTGGTGTATGCTAATACTTAACCTGCTAAAGATCCAAGGGCAACTGTGACCGTATACTACGATCCATAGCAATCGCAAAGTCTCGAGGTGCTACAATCCGAGTCGGTCCCGAGCTTGAGATACCCGGATATGGATGTCTTGATCATTTTCTCGAAGGTGAGAGCTGTCCTTTCCATTTATCAAGATATTTATCAGATAGGTGATACCGTCCTACACTCTTGGGAAGTCCTAGCTAGAATCCTCCAATCGGAAGAGGCTAAAGGTATCGTATGTGATATCGGAATGTTAGCATCTTTCCCAGCATCTACCTACGGATTCCTGATGAGCAGGCCAGTGATGCACAAGAATACTACCTACAATTGTCGAGTGGCCATATATGATGGAAAGATCCTCCTTATAAGACCTAAAATGTGGATGGCCAATGATGGTAATTACGTTCGTCGTCTCGTTTTGCACAAACGGAGCCGAGCTGACTCGTCAGAGGGAGTTACGCCATTTTACACCTTGGCACAAACATAGACAAACGGAGCAACATTCATTGCCTCGAATGATACGTGTTGTTACCGGTCAGACCACAGTACCATTCGGAGACGCGGTCATCGCCACAGAAGACACTGTCATTGGGGTTGAGCTATGTGAAGAGCTCTTTACGCCTGCCTCGTGAGTTTTCTTAGATTGGACAGCCTTAGCTCATGTCACAGACCCCATATACTTATGGGTCTTGACGGAGTAGAAATATTCACCAATTCTTCAGCGAGTCATCATGAACTTCGAAAGTTGAACAGGAGGATTGATTTGATCAGGGAAGCCACTCAAAAAGTCAGCTTCAATTCCTGTCGTAGATACCTCTGAGGGTTAGCTGATACCCAGCTTGGCGGCATTTATCTGTATGCCAATCAACAAGGCTGTGATGGAGATCGTTTATTTTACGACGGAGCTTGTCTCATCGCTCTCAACGGGCAAATCCTTGCTCAAGGCTCTCAATTCTCCCTACGTGACGTGGAGGTAGTCACCGCCACGGTGGACCTGGAGGCTGTGAGGGCGCATCGCACAGTCAGCAGTAGGAGGATGCAGGCTGCTCAAGCCGAGGCGTATGAACGGGTAACAGTAGGTACGCGTCTCGATGGAGGAGTAAGTATCAAGCTGGGTGAGGAAGAAACCAAGAGACAAGATGTACGGTATCATACCCCAGAGGAGGAGATTGCGTAAGTGCAATTTTGTTTTTCGATATAAAGCACAAATGGGTCATTTCGAATGAACTGATGTGTCAGCTTAGGACCCGCATGCTGGTTATGGGACTATCTACGTCGCTCTCGTACCCAGGGATACTTTCTGCCTCTGTCTGGAGGTATAGATTCTTGCGCCACAGCGGTCATCGTTCATTCCATGTGTCGTCTCGTGGCTGCTGCGGCAGACGACGGCGGTAAGTCTCATGGACAGGTTCCAGACTTGGACTTACGTTGCAGATGAACAAGTCATTTCTGACGCCCGACGTATGACGGGCGAGCCGGAACATTCAACTTATCTTCCTACTGACCCTCGCGAGTTTGCAAATAGGATCTTTCATACTTGCTACATGGGTACAGAGAACTCTAGTCCGGAAACAAGAAAAAGAGCGAAAGATCTAGCAGAGGCAATAGGATCGTATGTCACCCCATACGGCTCCTCCCTACTTTCCCACAATCATAGGCGCCCAGACATATTGCTGATCCGCAGCTATCATGTGGATCTTAACATGGATACAGCAGTATCGGCCGTCAAGGGTATATTCAGCTTCGTAACTGGAAAATCCCCCCAATTCAAAGCTCACGGCGGGTCGTCCGCAGAGAACCTCGCATTACAAAATATTCAGGTAAGCTATCGAGAGTGAGGGAGTTACGTCTAGCTAACGTAGTAGGCTCGACTGCGTATGGTAGTTGGTTATATGTTTGCCCAATTACTTCCGTGGGCTAGGGGCAAGTCAGGTGGATTGCTCGTTTTGGGAAGTGCAAATGTCGATGAGAGTTTGAGAGGGTATTTGACAAAATACGAGTGAGTATCTCCCTACTTTCTGACCAGAAGTTGATCGTACAGTTGTAGCAGTGCAGATATCAACCCTATAGGAGGCATCAGCAAGACGGATCTGAAGAAATTCATTGCATATGCTGAGAAAGCTTATGATATGCCTATCCTCCAGTCGTAGGTTCTTCTCTCATGTCTTCCTCTACTTCTATTTCCTTATCCATCGTCTCCTGTTGTGGCTTATTCTTCAATCTCTGTCCAAGAGTCAGAATCAGATGGTATGCTGACGTACAATCATGAGGCCTTTCATCTCCAAGCGAGTAATACGCTGACAATCAGTTTCTTGGACGCCATCCCATCAGCGGAACTCATACCCATCGGGGCAGATAATGCCGTTCAATCAGACGAAGTAGAGATGGGTATGACATACGATGAACTCAGTGTATTTGGAAGGCTGAGAAAGGTTGAAAAATGTGGACCTTATAGCATGTTCGGCAAATTAGTTCAAGAATGGGGTTCTTTTTTATCTCCTACAGAGGTAAGTAACATTCTTCCGCCTTTCCCCCTTCCCTCTTCTCCTATCATCAAACGGTGATAGGAGAAGATATGTTGCTAGCTCCTATGAGAATTCTATGGTTGATTGGCAGATCGCAGAAAAAGTCAAACATTTCTTCTTTACCCACGCTATCAACCGTCATAAAATGTCAGTTTTTCCCTTTCTCCAAACGAACAAAGCTGATGAGAAGGACAACATTGACTCCTTCTGTTCATATGGTGAGTTGATATTATGTACAATGATCTGACAAATGTAGGAATCATATAGTCCAGATGATAATCGTGATTGATTCTTTCCTGATACAATGATAGATGCTGATAAAAAGGATTCGATTTGAGACCTTTCTTATATCCATCACGATTCGACCATCAATTCGCTAAGATTGACGCTTTGGCAGAGACGTTGCCTAATCGGGCTACTCAACCTGGGGCAGATAAAGCCAAAGTGGATTGATCCCCACCTTGTTTCAGTGAAGGGATTCTCCAAAGTGCGTCGATGTCATAGGATGGAATGTGGGTTGGGTGAAAATCGGAAAGAAGTCTAAAGTACATGCATGCTTACAACATATCATTCATCTCGTTTCTGGATACTTATTTCGTGCTTCGTGATTCTGTTTTGTTGGCATTACTCCTTTTTCAGTTGACCAAGCGCCCAATTGGTCCAGCTAACCTTCCTAAGAACAGAAAGAGCGGTGTCGAAGCTCGTGTCTCACATCGTCGCTGAGAGATGGACGAGTCTTCGGTGAACGACGTGATTGTTGGAGGGCGGTTTCAGATGGGAGAATTGATCAACCAAGACGTTTATTGATATTGTCCCTGATGTTACCTGCCAAATGGGCCGGAAAGCTAGTAGGAAGATTATTCTTCAAGCCAGGGGCGTATGTACCTGCAAAGTTGGATAAGTTGGATAATAAACCGGCACTACTTCCTTGTACTTTTACCTGATGATTAGCATTTGTCTCTCCGGATCAAACACCATAATGCTCTTTCTCCCCACCCTATCCCTCATCTGCTCCACCTTTCTTGTGACCTTCTCTGCCAACATCTTATAACCCCCCCCCCCCCCCTCTTTCCTTTCCAACGCCGCTGCAAGGTGTTCTAACTCAAGGTGACGGATACTTTCATTGAACTTTGAAAGGTACATCGCAAGAAATGAGAAGATGGAATGATGGTCAGAACTCACCATTATAGTCGGTTCTTCAGGATCACCAATCCCTTCCTCTCTAACTTTCCTCCTCAAAGTCTCCATAACCTCATTACAAGTCGCTCTATCCCAATCATCTCTAGCTCTTAAAACCGCTTCTACAAATTGCATTTGAGGTCCATGTATCTTTGCGAAACTCCAATAATCCATAAAAACCATATCTTGACTCGCTCCGAGCATAGCCACTACCATATCCATTACTTCAAAATTCGTTTCTAATTCTTTCGGAGGTTTAAATTCACTGAAAAATTCAAAAGCTTTAGAAATATCCTGTTGAATCTTCTGTACAGCACCTGGCATTCTCAATGATCTCAAAGGAGCTTTTCTCAATGCGGTGAGATAAGTGATCAAAAAAGCATCTAATAAATCTTCTATGAGAATATCGAAAATTGAAGGATTTAAATGTACTTGATAATCACCCATATAATCTCTCATAGTTTCGATTATTTGATCCATGAGTTGTTCCGTGTACCAAACCGGTGTTATAAGTCCTTTTGTAGCTATTTTAACATCGTTGAAAACGGATTCGACTAATGAAGAAGTACATTTTTTAGCCACGTCGAGATAACCATCGATAGCGTCGTTGAACCTTTCACTAATGACTGATTTATATTTTTCAGAAACTAATGGTTCTAATCTTCCAGATAAAGATTCCACATAATCGGCAGATTTCAATTGATCATTCGCTAAAGCCATAACATATTCAACTAAACCTCCAGCGACTTCTTCTGGTTTCTTTTCAATTTGAAGACGTGATTCATCGGCTACTAATTTAAGCCATTCCGCTTGTACTCTTCTCATCACTTTTGACGTTTCAGTGACCACACGAGCTAAGACTGCTCCTTGATTAGAATCGAGTGCTAAATCACATTGTTGATTTACCAATTGAAAGAAATCTACCACACCTTCCATACCGAATTGACCATCTTCAGATTGTTCAGGTTCTTGTGATCTCCAAGTGAATTTCGCAGTTTCTTGTTTCATCAAATTCACAGTCCATTCATCTAATTTCGTGATCAAAAGTTTGACGTAATCTTCTATCAAATCTTGACTCTTTCCATCCAACAATGGAGGTTGTAACCAAGGGGAAGGTATTTCAAGTTCTTTCATACTCTGACGATATTCTTTGATCCAAGCATGTAATTCCAAAAGAACTTTCGCCTCGGGAGCAGAATCGACGATTGTTCGTAAAGTCTCGTTCAGTGATTTGTGATACGCTTTGACGAGAAAAGGGTAGATTTCGTAATCGGTAGGGAAAAGAGGTTCCACGTCATCTTTGATACGTATGATATCTTTATAGATCCAAGACAAACCTTCGATGAAGGAGAGATAATCAGTGTTACATTCTTTTAAATGTCCTTCGAATGAGGATTTGATAGAGGAAGTCATTGTGTCTTGCAATTTGTGACGATAATTTTTTATCACTCGAGCGTTGGCTTGCATGGATTTGAACTTTGATGCAGCGTCGGAACTTGCGACTTTGCGAACTAGACGCATGGCGACGGCCTGAGTGTCAGCTTCATTCGATGAAGGTTTACCTCCTTCTTGGTTCCATATTAGCCATCTTCTGTCCGCGTGAAGCAAACGGTAATACAACTGTGTCACAAGGGTCACAAGGGTCACTACAACCAGCTACAACGTCTCCGAGTCTAGTTAAATCAAATAGATCAAAACAGACAGAGACGTGTCTATTTTGAAGGGTTACAATACAAGAATCGGGAAAAGATTCAACTCGCCTTTTCGTCTTCCTTCCCTTCAACCTCGATCACCTTCAATAATCTCACCACAGTCCCTCCATTCCCTCTCCTAGCCAATTCCACGATATTCCCCCCTAGTTCCCATAACCATCCCTCAAAATCCGCTCCGACCTTGTCCAATTTCTCGAACAATTTGATCAAAACCTCCCTCTCTCCCGCATCAGACTTTTTAGCCTGATGTAACGTTTCATTTCTGAAACCTTCCAGTTGTTGAAGTTGAAAATGGATGATGAGTAAATTAGGTGAAGGTCCACATGATCCCATGGGATGATTTTTGTCGGAATCGAGCAAAGAGGCAATATGATCTACTTTATCTGACATTGATCTGAGGTTATTGACCATTTTCGTTACTTGTGCCAAGTTACGATGGATCGTTGATACCTATTCGTCAGTCCATAGCTTGACATCCCATCAGAGGTCATTGCCTCGACGAGGAGTGGAGTGAAGAAGATTATGACCCACCCTAGTGATCCTATCAAACGCAGCAGCTGAATCCCCTGCCGAACCTCCCTTGAGCTTCTCCACAGCTACCATCTCCTCCCTCACTAAACCCACCGCCGCTCTGCTCGATTGAAGCTTGAGCAGGGCCTCCCTCGTTGCGTCCAGTTGCGCCTTGACCCCATCGGCAAGTTTAGCATCGAGAGCAGATTTCTCCTTGAGTAACTTTTTGCGATATGCCGCGAGCTTGACTAAGTCATCAGGTTGTCGAAGTATCTCTCCTACGGCGGAAGCGGCAGAAGTCATCTCGACATTTGTCTCGACTCGTTGTGACTTACTCGTTGTTTCACTTCATCCCATCGCTTCCACAGCGTCACTGGTCAACAGCTTGAAATGGGGGGATAAAATAAGGGCAAAAATCAAAATCACACGTCATTCCCTCTCTAGACCAAGAAAAAGTTCTTAGGTTCGTGTTCAGCAACCATACAATCATCAAGCCAAGAACATGGGCAAGCATCCTACAGATCGTAGAGAAAAATCCTCCACACAGAGTAGACGACCAAAGCCTTATGGAAGTAGACCTCATGTCGACGTGCTCTTTGAAGGAGTTCCTCCTACCAAAAAGAACAACCCTTCCTCCATTCCCCCTATCAGTGGAAAACGGAACTTCAACAATGCCTCGGTGAGACCTGCAGATGTCAAAGGGAAAGCTAAGGCTTCACCACCTCCGTCTAGCGATGTACCGACAGATATCAATGACCTTCTGGGTCGAGAGGAAGAGAGGAGCGGGGGAACGTTCATCATTGTCGCTGGATCATATGAGAAATTGCTCTATGGTATAGAAGGCTCTTTCCGACCCGGGGAACATAAACCGACTCTGAAACCGATATTCATCTTCCCAGCTCATCTAGGTTGTGTCAAAGCTGTTGCTGCTAGTCCTGGAGGAAAGTGGTTGGCGACGGGAAGCGAGGACGAGTTTATCAAAGTATGGGATTTGAGGAGAAGGAAAGAAGTCGGTAGTCTATCTCAACATTCTGGTGAGCCAAGCTGTCTTCGATATCAACGCTCTTGTATCATGCACTCTCTCAGTGCTCGAGTATACATGGTCGAGACCACGGCCGTGAGGGCTCATTCGTCATTCCTTCCACATATGCTGGGGTTTCAAAGCGTCGCGGTCCATGAAAAGGTGATACATGCTGATCCTGCAGGATCCATAACCTCTCTCCACTTCCCCACATCCTCCCACCTCGTCTCAACCAGCGTTGACGCCACCTTATCCCTCTTCCGCACTTCAGATTGGGCTCTGCTCAAGTCTCTGAAGGGCCATTCGGGCAGAGTTAACGATGTGGACATCCACTATACGGGTCGGGTGGCACTCAGTGTAGGGAAGGACCAGACTTTGAAAATGTGGGATCTGATGAGAGGTCGGGGAGCGTCTAGTCTGGCTCTAGGTCAAGGTCAGTTAGACAATTTTTTCTGTTCTTCCCTCAATTTCTGCGTCCCATTCAAATGACTCGATCCACTGCGTAGGTTGGTAGCATGTTCGCGCTGAGGTTTGAGATACCTTGCTCCGAAAAACTCGCGAGGGAAAGCTGACAACGCAGAGGCAGAATTGGTCAGCTGGAGTCCCACCGGAATGTTCTTCGCCGTACTCTTCACCCACAAGATCGAAATCTACTCCCTGTCAATCAAGCTGCTTCATACCCTGGAGTCCAAAATTCGTTTCAACACTATGACGATCGCGTCACTACCATCAACAGACCCAGATGGACAACCTACTTTGGTCTTATGCGTCGGTACCGAAAAGGGCGTGGTTGAGGTACATAGATTGGAGGAGCCTATTGAGGAAGGTGATCCTTGGAATGTGATCAAAATCAGCACACTTGGTGGGCATACCAACCGGTCAGTCAATCTTGTCGATTCATCTGTCGTGACTGATGAGCAGGATCAAGTCAGTGTCGACGCTTGATTTCACAAGAGATGGTATAGCGTCAACACTCCTCTCGAGTGTTTCATCTGACGGCTTGATCAATGTCTATGATTTATCTCCAGTGATGGAGAAGTCGGAAGAGACATCACAGCCCATCGCGACGTATGATACGAAAGGAAGTAGATTGACGTGCGTGGTGATGGCAGATGGCAAGAAGGAATTCAAAGCATCGAAGGGGAAAGTGAATAAACGACCTGAGGACGAAGTTGAGTCGGATGGGGACACGTCAGGGAGCGAAGAAGAAGGGGACGATGATATATACGACGCATCAGGTGATGAGGGGGAAGATGGCGAGGGAGAGGATGGAGTGGAGGTGGAACTTGAGGAAGACGAGGAAGAGGAAGAGGAAGAAGAGGAAGGAGAGGTGGAGTGAAATGCGCAGTCGAGTGCCACACCGGAGAATATTTTCGGGGTTATGCAACGAGTGACGCGCTTCGGGTTGGCGCCCGGTGTTGAGAAAGGTATATAAACCGACTCGGTGGCCATCGGCGCCACTTTTGGCTCTGGCTGATTGGCGATTCGCCAAATTTCGGCTTGAATTTTCCCGTCGGAAATTCACTTCTTTCACAATTCACCAAATTTCAATCGACACCGTTGAATTCTTACTTTTCTCTTACTTTTCTCTTACTTTTCTCTTCTTTCTCTTTCTTCTCTTTCTCTCCTCGCTCTATCTCATACATACCCAATATATACACAAATACCCAGCCACTCGGCACGAGTCTGATACCCCTGTCAACTTCAACCACAAAGCTACAACTCGTAGGCCTCAAAGGACATTCATACCTTTGCACTTCGTCCTCGACTACATCCGGTCTTCCAAGATACCAACCATCCTGTGTTCACTTTATATACATTCCTGTAGGTCGAATTCTTCTACGTCGAGCACCGTCGTCCAAGTTATCTCTCATCATTCTCTTTCATCGTGAATTTACTCCAATAGAGATATCCTCTCTGTGTGACCGTACAACTTTCCATCCATCCGTCTTCCTCCTCCTCTCTTTTATTGTCTGCATTCCGTTTGCCACCCACTTCTCGTAATTCGACACTCATACGCAGCGTAATATCCCTCTTAGCAAATCAAGATGTCAGCCGAACCCAACCCAACTCCCACTCACTTGGTTCCTTCGACTGAACCCTCCTATCCTCCCGAATTTCCTCCCCCTGCTCAACTGCCCTCAGACCCTTTCCTAGCGCCGGACGCTTCTTCCCTCAAACCTCTTCTCAACCCTTTGCAGCATCCTGGGCCTCCACCCTCATCCACGATCGTTGAACCCCCTCGGAGCCCGCGTCCTGATCTCTCAAGTCAGGCTCCCACAGAAGGAGCATCTACTCCTCTGGATGGCTTAGCTCCTCTCGAGGTTTCGACTTTAGAACCTTCGCCAGTAGACGGAGTACCGACGCCAAACCTCCTACCAAGAGATGCACCTCTTCCTCCGACCCCGCATCCTAATGATGAAACACCTCCAGAATTGACACCTGGGCTGATTCCTCCTGTTGTGTCAACACCTACAGTTTTCACCATTGAGGAAACACCCTCACTCGTGGCTCCAGCGGCGGATCAGGAGCCGGCGCCCATGACACCTCCACCAGCAGCGCTCAATGTGATACCTGAAGCTTTTCCAACACCTTCTGGAACAACGTTTGACCCCATTCGCTCGGCCATCGACGATCAGCCTTCTCCTGAAAAGCCTGCCGAAATCTATTCCTCTTTCGATCCACCTGCTCCTGTTGCCAATATCGAAACACCTCCCGCTCCTCTACCACACGTCGACCCGACTCCTCCAGCGGAGCCGATTGCTGACATGACGGACATCAACCCCCCGTCAGCGGTCGACGAGCCGATGGAAATCGATGGAACAGGCGATCAACATCCCATCGCGGACCTCGCATCAGGTAGTTCCATGAGCAGTCTGAAGCGTGCCGGTGACGAGCTCGATGGCCGTGAAGAGAAGCGGGTGAGGGAGGAAGCCGCTGAGCAAGCGTTACCGATATCAGAGCCTTCGTCTCAGCCTGCGGGAGAAGCCACAAGTCAGCCCGCCCTCCCCCTCATACCGTCGATCCATCGCGAATACGTACCTCCCCCTCCACGAGCATCAGGACCTACGACACCTATCACATTGACTCAGCACAAACACTTGCTTGCCGCCGTTCGAGCTCTGAAGAAAAACCCCAATGGCGTGTCGTTCCTCGAACCAGTGGATCCGATCAAATACGGCATCCCCACCTACTTCCAGGTGATCGCGAAGCCCATGGACCTGGCTACAGTGGAGACGAAGTTGATTGTTAGCGACCCTCGCGGTCCTCCCAAAGATAAGTCGAAGATGAGTAAATGGGACACAAGCAAGGGGACTTACGGGAGCGTGAGTGAAGTTGTTGATGATGTCAGACAGATATGGGAGAACACGAGGATGTTCAATGGGCCTACGCACGTGGTGTCATTAGCTGCGGACAAGTTGGAGGAGAGTTTAGAAAAGGCTCTCAGGAATCTGCCGGCAGAGGTGAGCTTCCTCAGAAATCTGAAACAGTATATGAAATCAAGGCTGACGATGATCAGCCTTTGCCTTCTGCTTTACCATCACCTGCAACTCCCGTCGCTGGCCCGTCTGTCCCTCTGACCAGTCGAGGTTCCATGTCTCAACCACCCGTCATTCGTCGTACGTCCGAAGGACTTGAGTCGCGACCAAAACGTGAGATTCACGCGCCATCCAAGGAACTCACCTACGCCGAAGGCGCTCGTAAGCCAAAACGTCGCAATGATCCCCAACTTCAATGGGTCGTTAAGACCTTGAAAACTCTGGAAAGTACAAACAAACATTACAATGCAGTATCACCTTTCCTCTTCCCGGTGGACCAAATCATTGCGGATTTACCGGAATACGCCAAAGTCATCAAGAAGCCCATCGATTTGCATATCATCAAAGCCAAACTTGACGATGGTGTATACGAAGATGTCTCAGAGGTAAATGCGGATATGAAGTTGATGATCCGCAATGCTACCACATACAATCCTCCTAATCATGCAGTCCACACTGCCGCTCAGCAACTGCAACGATTATGGGAAGAGAAATGGCGTGGGTTACCTCCCAAAGTCGATCCTGCTGCGGCTGCGCCTAGGGACACACCGAGCGACTTGTTGGACGAAGATGATGGGGATGACGATGATGCCGCGTTGCAACAGAAACAAGCGAGGTTGGCCGAATTAAGGAAAGAGATGACTGTGTTGGAGAAAGAGATTGCGGATATTCAAGCTAAACCTCGTAAGAAGGTTAAGAGCAAAAAACCTAAGGCGAGGAAACAAAGCGTTTCGAAAGTTTCCCCGGGAGTGAATGGCCATGCGAAGAAACCGAGAAAGAGCAAGGAGGCGAGTTTCAAAGAGGAGGAAGAAGAAGAGGAAGAGACGGCTCTGACAATGACTCAGAAACAAGAGTTGGCAGATAAGATGGGTGCGGCGGATGAGGATACGTTGGGGAAAGCTATCGCCATCATACAAGCTACCACGACTATAGGAGATGTAAGTTTTAGATTCTTTCTCTTCATTGCACCCCTTTTTAAAATCTCGCCTTTCTCAAAGCTGCTTCTAGCTGGCGGACTAATTCATGTCTGCCGCGATTCTCAGCCCTTCAACATAGACATCACACCTTGATCAAAGTCGAGTTTGTCTCGCGTCATTGTTTGTAAAGCAAAATGATCAGTGAGACAAATGGAAACAGAAGGAAGACTGACACTCAGTCCGGAGAAATCGAATTAGACATCGATTCACTTCCCCCTCTGACCCAAGTCAAACTCTACAACCTGGTCTGTCGAGGAGGTCGCAAACTCACTCGGAAGGTCCAAAAGTCCAAACCGAGTCTTGGAAGTGGGAGAAAAGCCACGGGAGGTACTGCTCGTAAGAGTATGAACGAGCAAGAAGAGGCGGAGAGGATTAGGAGGATGGAAGAACAGTTGAAAGGGTTTGATAGTGTTCCTCAACAAGGATGGGATAGTGAGAGCAGTGAAGAGGAGTCGAGCGAGGAGGAGTAAGCAGGGATTTCATCAGTCAAAATTGCAAATCTTTTGACCGGTGGTAAGGAGAGTGCTTCTAAACTCCTCTCTCTTTGAGAGTCAGTCGTCAGAAGGAGCATGTGATGGAATGGAGTACTCGTCGGAAGAGATTCTGGTGGTGTTCCAAATCAGTCGTCAGAAGTGGTGTCAATGAAGATGTTTGAAGTATATATCGTTCAAAGTGTGGTCAAACATGCGTATGAATCAAGGGTTCCGAGTGTCATTATTTCTGTTTGTGTTACTTTACCACTCAATACAAGTGGTCGAGTGATACAACATTCCGATTATATAACTGTCCTTTCCTCTTCGAAAGTACACGAACAAGGGGTGAGACTTGAAATACCTTCGTATCCGATCAACGGTGGCAGAAGCATTACTACCCAGTGGGAAACCAAGGGAAAGGAAGGATATCAAAACCGTCTAAGTCTAGGATTGAAGATTATCTCTCGTCGAGGTCGATTTCCATATTCTAAAGTCTTCATGGAACGTGGGAAAGAAGACATTTCTCTTATACCTAAGGGGGCGAGTAAAGAAGTGGAAGTGAGAGATAGGGCGGAATCGATGAGGTTGATGATACCGCTAGAGAGGAGTGTATCGGTCTAATATTTAGTCATTGACATTTCTCTTTCTTAGTGTTATACCCTACGGGTACTCTACTGTATCGTACTAGTACAAGAAATTCTCAGGGAGAATTGGGGTGAGGAAGTGTGTGATGTAGTGATGAAAAACTCGGTAATTTTCCAGGATTGGACGTGAATGAAAGAATACGTATGAAGTGTTGAGAACGAAGACTAACCGGGCGAGTGGGACGAGGTGAAGATTTGATCAATTTCCATTGTGATACCAATACAGAACATCCTGGTGTTTGAGAGGAAGAAGGACAGATGGTTCTGATTAATCTATCCAGTTGAGTTGTTCTTAAAGCTGATAATCAATTTCGATTCCCCGTCTTCTTCTTCTTCTCCCACTTCTCCTTCTCCCACTTCTCCTTCTCCCCCCTCTTCTTCTTCTTCTTCTTCTCCCTCTTCTTCCCCTTCTTCTTTCTCCTCGGCTTCTTTTTTTGACAACATACGAAGTTTAGAAAAACGCGATGATGATAGTTGGTAAGGTATCTTGGGATAAGTATGGGATAAAGACTTACCACCCAATTGAGAAATCAATTGACCTGGTGTTTCTTTTTCAAGATAAGAAACGTATACCGCTCCAAGATAACTTGACATTTGATGGCATAATAATGGATGTGCTATTTTTTTAAGTCACGCACCATCTTTTCTCTTGAGAGTATATGGGATATGAGATGACTCACCGAAAGAATCTTGACAAATGGTTAAAGAGAAATTCGAAAATGTTCCTGAATTAGTCACGATCTACAACTCAGCTTCTCTCTTTGATAAGGATCACTGAAGATGGTTTGATGAGAGAAGAAACAAACATACACCTGTTGATTTGAAGAAAGGTAAAAGAGAGTTTGGTGTGCCGTAGGTGTTCGAGCTGGTCACAGACAACTAAACATTAGCATAGAGCTCAAATCCTCATCTGTTGTGCGTGTAGTTATGTGGGGTGTGGTTGAGAAGTTGATGAGATGGTAATATGGAGGGGGACTCACGAATGCATTACCAAAGATTGATAGATCCGCAGTTGGCGTCGTTGCTGCTCGAGTCAGGGCACCAAAAGTGCATATTAACAGGGATAGTTTCATGGTCACACCTGTCAAACACTTCTCAGTATCAGTCAGAGTGGAGGAGAGGTTGTGGGAAGGTTGGAAAGGGTTGTGAGAGTGAGAGATGAAGAGATGAAAAATGGCAAAGATGAAGATTTACACAAGCATACATTCGTTGGTAGTGACATCATGAGCCCGAAGCGGATGGAGAGTGAACATGATCGAATGTCGTGAGTGCGGGAGTGACAAATAGTGGTGGGGTTGGTTCGTATCATTTTGAACGCACGTAGAGTCGTTTCGTCTCAAGAAGGTAACGCGTAAGGTGCGCGTTTCATCTTTTGGATCGACAGGCACTAGGTTTCTTGCGTCGTCTCCTTGATCGATCGTGCTGTACAGTACCATGGTACGTACAAGTACCGTGGCCATGCGACACGTCGTCGCATGTGTCATGTGTCATCGAAAATCGGGAAGCATTTGAAAAGATCCAGAACAGAGTCGAAGAAAAGGAATGACGACAAGATTTGCAGACAGTACTTAGTCTCGTGCGCCACGTGGTACGTGGACATGGCATGTTTTGATCGGCCCTGTGCAATGCGCCGAGGATTGCGGAAGATAGGGGCTTGAAGAAAGGAACGAAAGTGGAGGCCCCGTTCCTTTGGAATTGGTCCCACGTCATCGAATGGAAAACTAAGTCTAGACCCTTTCACAATCTCGTCTTACATTCCATCTCTTCATCGTTTCATCCCTCCATCTTTCCATCTCTTAACTCATCATTGACACCCTATATTCTACCACTACACTTTACTTTCATCCATTCACTCAAAGACCACTACGATTCATAACAGTCATGACCAAAGTCATTACCAAACCTCAACCAATTCCTCACAGTTTCACACTCAGCAACGGGGTGAAAGTCCCTGCTATCGGATTAGGAACTGTAAGTACCATCACTACATCAACAGGTTATAGACTAACGCTTCTTCTGCTTCTTCCTCTTCTACCATCACACTTTCTTGCCATTACCAATTATCGACGACTGACAATCCCCCCTCACGGTGATCTCCCCGACGATGAATACCTTCGCTCATCCCGAATCTCGGGCGTAGTGGCAATCCCCGTGAGTCACCTGCCATAAAAAGACCGTCAGAGCTGATAGAAGACCTGGGGAAGTCGCAAAGGCTGTAGAGGCCGCATTGAAGGTGAGCTTTGGTTTCTTGATCAGATCACAATCGCTAAGACACAGTGTGGTTATCGTCATATCGAGTGAGTTGTATCTTGCTGCTGTCGCACCTTGAATAGTCATTTAAAGTCCGACCGCTTATGTCTTCTCGCCCTAACAATCCTCTTATCGAAGCTGTTTCCATCAGCATGGAGACTCGATCGGACCATTCTGACTCACAGCTGCGCATGGGGGTACGGCAACGAAGGTGAAGTTGGCGAAGGCATTCGCGCTTCCGGAGTACCCCGCGAGGAAATCTTCATCACTTCCAAACTGTACGAACTCCACCACAAGAAACCACACCCTGAAATGGCGCTTCGTGATACGCTCAAAAAGCTTGGTACCGACTATCTCGATCTATGGCTGATGCATTGGAACGTGAGTGAAAAGCCATCTTCATCGACCCGTGCCTCCCTTTCCATCATCTCCCTCATGGTTCTGAGCTGCCATCGCTGACTTGCAGATCAACTTTGAAACCGATGCTCCCGATGGTGAACTCCCCCAGATGTCTCATGTCCGTAAGCACAATGACAAAATCGTCATCGATGTAGCTATCGCCGATGACGTCTCTGAGACTTGGGCGGAAATGGAACGTGTAGGTTATTTATCTCCAAGCGTCTCAGGCGCTGATGGGACATAGCTCCAGCAGGCCGGGCTGACCAAGTCTATCGGTGTCTCCAACTTTAACATTTATCGCATCAAGAAATTGCTGGAGACTGCAAAGATCAAGCCTGTCGTCAGTGAGTGATATCTGATCCTGCCCCTTCTCGATCGTCTCATATAAGCGGCCGTGAGTGAGAGTGCATCTGTTGATATCTTCAGACCAGGTCGAACTCTCCCTCCAATGCCCCCAACCTGAACTCGTCGAATGGCTCAAAAAGAATGACATTCTTCCCGAAGCTTACTCCCCTTTGGGGTCTACCGCCGGAAAGGCCCTGCGTGAGAACCCAACCGTAGTTGAGATCGCCCAGAAACACGATTGTCAAGGTGCCGCTGTGCTCATTTCCTGGCTCCTCATGAGGGGCATCTGTCCGTTGCCTAAGTCTGTCACACCGGAGAGGATTGAAGCGAATTTGAAGAGTGAGTCGCAAGATCAACTCTTGTCTTCACATCATTGCTTCTTGAGACCAACATCGGTCTTCCTGCTTTGCTTACCAAGAGGTGTGATTGAGCTAACGTCACAGCGGTGCAGCTTTCTGACGACGAATTTTATGCCCTCGAAAAACTTGCAGAGGATCATCCTTCCAAACGAGTTTGTGATCAGACTGACGGTACGTTCTCCCTCCTACATCAGGTGTCAAAGTCTCACGTTCAGACCTTCACCCACGTTATGACATCTTCCTCGAGTCTCATCCCGAGTTGAGCGACAAAGCTCAGTATGCCCAGGAGCTTGCTTGAACCCCACTTTCTCCTCGTGTTCGAGGTCATGTCACCCACAAGGAGTGCGTGCTTCAACTTCTTACAAGGAGTGGATCACCAAGGACCGGTTTGAGACGTTCAAAGCATTATGTAATGAGATACGATATGCATTGAGTGATTTCTACAATCCACGACTACGTATAATACCTTTCCAACTTCTAGTGACATACTCTGCAAATCCAATCATGTCACCTACAACAGTCTCGCTATTATCTATCATCCCTTGAAAGTCGGCATAGGATTTCATATTCTTCTCCAGAGTGTCTAGAGCCGCTGGGAGATAAGGGTTGGGAGTTTGTTGAGCGGGGTAAGGTTGGAGTAATTTGGATTCTAATCTAAGCTTTCTCTACTCGGTTGCACTCCACTGAATATATATCTCATGTGGATAAAGAAGGAGTTCAATGAGGAAGAAGAGGTCAAGAAGTAAGGATGGAGACTCACCAGCAGAAAGATAAACTAAACTTAATCCGATTCTGGAAAGATACCAACTAATTCCAGCTCCTAATATATCCCCAGTGGATGTTTTCTTCAAGGAGGATCCTTGGGATTTTGATAAAGCAGAATCGGAGATTCGCCATAAATAACCTAAAACACCTAATGGGTAGATGATTGGGAAAAGAAGGTTTGAGCCGATTTTGTTTTGTAGATCTGAAAGAGGGTCAGACCGGTCGGATCGGTGATTATCTTGTAGTTCTGAAAGAGGGTTGGAACGGTTGGAATCGAGATTGTTTTGTAGTTTTGAAAGAGGGTTTGGATAGGTGGACTTGATATTGTCGTATGTATCTAAACCGTTTTGCTGCGTGGAGGTACGAGGTGGGTTATAAGGCGAAGGAAAGTTGATAGAGGGGAGAAGAGAGGTAAGAGTTTGAATAGGAATAGGAAGGGAAGGTGTCCATTGGGGAGTTGAGAAAAGGGCGTATGCCTGGAAAAATCAGTTTGGTCCACTTCTCGATCTTTCGGCTTCTCGGGGAATTCGCATCGCTGGAATTGCTGGCCCTCGATCGATTTGGGGGTGGGGGGAGGGGAAAGGGGGCAGAGGATGTGAGGAAGCATAATGGGAGGATTTGGGCAGCTGAGGAAGATCATACATTCCATAAGTAAGTCCGATCATCGACCCAAACGTATATCGTACATCATACAGCACTCAAGACATCGTCTTCAAAATCACAGCAGAGGACGTTCGTACGTTGTTGAGGAAACTAGATCTTCCAAGTGGTATAGGGAGAAGTAAGGAATAGTAGGAGAAACTCACTTCTACTAAATGTTCCCCAACTTCAGAAGAATACTTCAACTGTCTTTTCAGAATATCCTCTAATTTCTCTTCAGAACCACTTTCAACAATAGTCAATCTCTTCAAACCTTCTTCTTCCCATGTATCTACCAAAGCTTTACAAGCTATATGACCAGGACCAAAGATAGTATCGATTACACTATCTTCGAGTGGAGGACGATAAGATGGGTGAGAAGTTGGTAATGCGGATAAAGAGTAAGAAAGTGTGGATCGAGTGAAGGAATGTTTAGGGATGAGAGGTAGGGAATGGTTCAGGATTGTTTGACGGAATGACATCCCAAGGAATCTGGGGGATTTGGGTCAGTCAATCGTAATGAGAGGGACACAGTACTCGAAGAGTAGTGGTCGTAAGATACAAATATTCAATGACTAGCTATGTACTCATATACGAACTAGTAGTAAGTAAGTAGGCCTACTCTGCTCAATCGCTTGGGCGATGAGGGTGAACCCGGGTCTGCAGCCGGAGATGGATCCAATCTCCGTAACCACTAGCCGCATGAAAAGTCGAAAGTTGAAAGTGTGGAGGTCACTCTTCGACATCGCAGTTAGTGCAGTGTTACCAAAACAAGATCGATACTTCTGAGCCTCCTTCAATCCCCAGATGTAGATAAAGATCATGCGGTCAGGTATATCTACCCGCTTGAGATCACTCACCACCTGCACACGCCCCCGACGACCATACTTCCCTTCCCTGCCTTCTGTCTCTCCTCTGACACCAGGACGACGATACGAGTCGACTCATTCTACTACCATAAAGCCTTATAGCTCTCCTTCGGGTCTACGAGCACATCATGGTGAGTGCTTACATGTAGTTGAACATAATGAGAGGTCGGTGTTAATCTCTAGGCCCGAGAAGTCGCATCACGCATTCTTGCTCCGAGCTGAATTTGGGCATGGTGGATACGGATGTGGTCTTGGGTGGTTGGCTTTTCTCTCAGAGGTATGTTATATCTTTCCATAGTTCATTTGTCGTTCTTCAACCTCACTCCTGGATAGCTCCCCATCCCTTTGTACAGCCACACGTCCTCTTCTTCGACCGATGACCAAGTTCTTTGCCAGTCGGAATTGCGCTGTCTTTGATCGTGTGGCAAAGCATTTAGGAAAGACGAAATGTACTGATATATAGACGAGCATCTGAGAACCTTCACTTTTTTACTCTCCGGGATTCGACAGCCTCAGTGCAGCTTGTCTCGCGCCAATCTGAGGTTTCCAAAATCCTCATGGACCTCCCTCTGGAAAGTGTCATTCAAATTCACGGGAAGGTCAAACCTCGAAAGGCCAAAGGGAAAGCAGAGATGAGTGAGAGGAGAGAGGTTGTTGATGTCGAGGTGGAGGTGTTAGCGGTGATTGTACTTAATCCTGCTGAGGAACTCCCTTTTTATCCCAGTAGAGGGGAGATAGTGAGTGGCACATAAACGCATCCTCCCTCTGATCCAGATCTCTCTACTTCCCTAGTCATCTCTTCTCGCTTCACAAACCCCGAGACTATCTTCTCGCACGTTATAAGCACTGTCGCCTTGTCTGACTCCTTGGGTCAACCCACAATCTGAGTATAATTTGAGTATCTGATGAGTCTAGGCCAACGAAGATTTACGAGCTCAATATCGATACCTCGATCTTCGAAGACCCGAACTCTCCAACAATCTCAAACTTCGGAGTCGTGTTTCGCATATCATCAGGTCTTATTTGCATGACCTAGGTAAATATCCTTCTATCCGGGAGTTCAATCACTAATGATCAGGCTTCACAGAAGTCGACACCCCAATTCTACTCCAATCTTCCCCTGAAGGCGCACGGGAATTCCTCGTCCCTACTCGTAATCCGTCACCCACCGGAGACCCCACATTCTACGCCCTACAGCAATCTCCTCAACAACCCAAACAACTATTGATGGCTTCCGGAGCCATTGATCGATACTTCCAAATCGCGCGCTGTTTCCGAGATGAAGACGGACGGAAAGATCGACAACCGGAATTCACGCAGGTTGATTTAGAAATGGCTTTTGTGAACGGAGGACAGATGTATGTGGAAGGAGAGACACGAAGTACTTGGGGTATGGGTGGGCAGGAAGTACGGGATGTGGTAGAAGGTTTAGTGAAACGGATCTGGAAGGAAGTAAAAGGTGAGGAATTGGAAGGTTGGTTTAGGGTCATGCCTTATGACGTTGCCATGGATGTGGTTTGTGATCCATTTTTCGATCCATTTTACCCATCTGCCACGTCAATCAGCCGATCCTCACCAGTTTTTAGGTGATGGTCATAGATATGATTCCTATGAATGCGACTGACATATCAGTATGGCTCAGATAAACCGGATACGAGGTTTGAAATGTATGTACGTCCTTTCTCCCCAAACCCACTATCCTACTTTCTCACAACAGACGCTACCTCTAGGGTATTACCCCACTCTCTCGGATGGCGATATCGATCGTATACTTCTGGACGAAAGTCAGTACACAGTGGAATGGATGATCACACCTGCACAGCAAGCCGAATCGCTGGACATCGCGTCTTTGGTCGGAACCAACAGTTTTGTGAGTCAGATCTTCACAGCGTTCTCCCTACAGCCCCGAGTTCTCTGTTCACGATTTGAATGAGTGAGGTTTCAGGCTGACACATAGATCGATCATGTGAAGATATCAAATGCCAATCTTTTCACGTGGCATAAAGAGTCACCTTTGACCCAGAGGCTGAACCTTCGATTGGACCCGAGTTTACCGGGAGGAGTGGGGGTAGGGGATATCATCTGGCTAGCTCAGAGGAAGAAAATACCAGAGGTATGACTGCTCTCTCTATCATTCTCAGTTACCTTCTGATCACCCCTACCAATTCCTATCTTCTTCTGTAATCTCAACCTCGATATGGTGATTTACCTTATGTGGCCGGCGCTGATCTGAAGGGAGGTTGGACGCAACTTGGCAGATTACGAGTGACTATAATGGACATGTTAGTTTCGAAAGGTTGGTTCTTTATCTCCTCCCTGGCATCGGCCCTCTATATCTATTTAAAACCCGGTGTAATCATCAATTGTATCTCATTCCGACGTCAAAATCCATCCTCGAAACTTCAATCTCTTGTATTGGACATTCTAACATGACGCTCAATAGGAGATAGGGTAATGATTGACTCATAGGGATCATCACACTCCCATCCACTCCCCATTTCCTATGGATCACACAATTCCCTTTATTCACACATGCAGACGAAGATAAACTTCATCTTTCTAAAGGAAGATGGAGTAGCACCCATCATCCATTCACCGCCCCATTATTCGAAGATCTTTCGGATCTCAAAGCGGGCAAAGTGGATAAAGTCAGGGGACAACATTACGATTTAGTTTTGAATGGTCAAGAGATTGGTGGAGGTAGTGTTAGGATACATGATTCGTATTTACAGGAATACGTTTTGAGAGAGGTTTTGAAAGTGAGTCCAACTTTTTGTTCCCCCGCTCAAACCATTGAATCATCCCTCAACTTCTTTCATGTCCAAATTGATTTTATCCTACACGCTCTCTTCCTCCGCTGTCCCTCCTACATAATTGTCGCAATCAATCCTATTGTTTCTTGTCGTTCTATCGATTTTGTGAGATGTTTATTCGACATTTTGAGGTGTACAATCGGCTTTGGTAAGGTGTACAGTCGGCTTTGTGAGGTATTCAGTCGGTATCATAAAAAACCATCAGTGTTCATACATCCCTTCGGTGGTAACAGAGGACTGACGATTAAAAGTTGAACCAAGATGAAATCTCAAGATTTTCTCATTTACTTCAAGCTCTTAAATTTGGTGCTCCTCCGCATGGCGGGATAGCTCTGGGTATGTTCTTCTCCCTTCTCCTTTTATAAACTCCAATCACATCTCCTCCCACATGTCAATATAGCCGTTTTTCTCCTTCCCCATTCATTAACATATATATATCACCCCTTCATCCTTCTCTTTCCCGTTTTTATGAACGATCATGATGGATGTGTATAACTACGACCTGTCATTACTCATAATCCTCAATATCAACCCATTGATTCAATTGCGCTTCGCACAGATGAAGAGGCTGATGAAAGGTTTCGACCGTCTCGTCGCCATTTTAGCAGGGACAAACTCTATTCGAGACGTTATCGCGTTTCCTAAAACTGGTACGGGACAAGATCCAGTGTTCAAAAGTCCTTCGACCTCCACAGAGGAGGTATTGAAAGAATATGGGTTGATTCCTCTCAGATCTCCTAAAAGAGCATGAAGCCTTTCTCATTCCTTTCCATGTCACTTCTTCTACTTCGCGAACGGCCTTTCAAGCTGGTCATTTCGATTCATCCATTTAGATGCAAAGCAACAAAAGTCGTGTATATATATACCATCCCTCTTCACAGTGATCATGGGGGGAGTGACCTGTCAGATTGCTCCAATCAATGGTGATCTGATCTGCACAGATGCATACAACACATATCTTGCTACATATCTCACTATACATCTGACCCATCTGATCGTTCACTGTACGAGTTGCACTCCACTCTTTAGACTATACGTAATCCTCATTGCCCATCTCGTCTTCTGATGGAATGAACTACAACCTCAGCATGAAGTGACCATCAGAATTCAAATCCTGCTTCTTTGAAAATCTTCAAATCAGTACCTGGTCTGGCTTGCTCTGCCAATTGTCCCATGTCCAGATTCACCAAAGCCTGTCTCAACGCCGTCCAAATGGTCGTCGAATCGCCCTTCCCGTCCGGCGGATGGGTTGACAGAGCATACAAAACTGAAATCAGCTATGCATATCTCAGAGCAATATTCACTCACAGTGCTCTGCGGCTTCTCTATATACTCCAATGTTGACACCTGTCAATCAGCTTGGTGCTTTAAACAAGAAGCTCGATGGAGATGGAATGTGAAATACAGTGATATGTCTTTTCATGCACAAGAACGGGAGAGACTTATCATCCGGGACCGGAGATTGAGGGTATGGGGACGAGGGGAGTAAAAGATGAGACCACACCCACAGGCTATTCCGAGATTGAAGATGGCTCTAGTAAATGTCGGTCTTAATTCCAAAGCACGACGATACGCGTTGACGGCTTCTTCAGATTTACCAGAATTGGCCAACGTCGCTCCTAGACGATTCCACATGAGGTAGTCCTTGTTATCAGCAGGGCTCTTGCGCAATGATTATGTGTTTTACTCCACACACTGATGTCGAATAAGACATCTTGGGCAGTGAGAATAGACGGAACGGAACACATCGACGACGATGGTATGGCAGAAGATATCAAAACAATGTGGGGAAACGCTACGGATGAGGAAAACGGTGATGAAGATGGGACTGATGTAGGTGCACTCACATCCGGCTGACGGTTCAACTTCTCCACCCAACACAACCTCGCTTCCTCATAATCGTTCGTCATATAATACATCACTCCCAATCCCACCTGCACATCTGGGTCGACTTCACCATGCTGAGCGTATTGCGTCTGCGCGAGGGAAAGATAAGAATTGAGAACTCGTTGATATGGTGCCCAAGGATCTTGCGAGTCTTGCAATTCTTTTTGAGTGGGTGTGGGGCCGGCGATAGCCTGGGAGAATTGGAGGAGATGAGCATGAAGGGCTCGAAGAGCAGGCAAGTCGAGTTCTTCGTTGACGTATGAAATGGCGAGATTCTGCGATTCAGTCATAAAATCCTGTATAATTGGACAACGCGCACCACTGAAGCATCAAAGCTACTCACGTGGCCAACGAAGACAACACGCAAAGTGGGATGTTAGAAGGAGGAGATAGGGGGGAGGGCACAAGAGTGAAGGGCAGAGAAAACCAGGGCGGCGTCTGCAGAGTCGAGATGACATACTGTGAGCAACTTGCCCGCAACAGACCGGGCCACCGAGGTGTTCTTATCCAACTCCTTTCTTCCCATCTCATACGCACTCATCGCTTTGTCCTCTCTCTCGTCCATGGCGTGCGCCAGTCCAAGCATTGTCCACAACTCCGCCTGCGCAGGATCCGGATCGACATAATCCTGCAGCGCGTGCTCTAGCAGAAGTATGGCTTCCGTCAAGGATCCTCCCCTTTCCAGAATCTCTTCTGCTCTCTTACGTGCTTGTCTGGTGGGCATACGAGCATAAGGATTGGGGTCAGCTAGGGGTCAGCTTTCTCAGATCAACCGAGTCTCTCCACTCACCAAAGACGTATGGCTTAGCTTGAGCCATCCTGTCAGTTTCGACGATTGGTTCGACTGGCTCTCGTAACGACATTTGATCATCCAGAGTGGACTGCCCAATATCTGCCCTGTTCAAGCTGTCGTTCAGAACGTCGAATAAGTCATCCTCGTCATGCGTAAACTGCATTTCAGTCTGGAGAAATACAGCTTGCGATAGCAGACTCACCTGAGAAAACTCATTTTCCCATTGTGCGAGCTGATTAAGTCTTTCAGCTTCGGGACGCAAGCTCTCCCATACTGCTTCGAAATCACCTTTGGCTTCTCTGAACTCTTCCTCTGGAGGGGCTACCTGAGTTTTTCTCTGATCATTTGCTCGGGCATCGGCCAATGCTCTCTCAAAGGCAGCTTCCATCTCACGTTGATCATTCTTGACATCGTATACTTGTGTAGGGAGAGACTGGATCATATGAGGGTTGTAGGCGGGTTGGAAGGTTTGAAAAGGTTGCACCATGCGAGGTTGATATCCGATTGAAGGCTGTGGATGCCATGATTGTGCGACTGCTGGCGCTTTCCCTTTGCCCTTGATGATATTAGGATCGAAGGATGACGCCCAGTCTGCTGTTTGTACGTTGTGTCTCTCGATAGAAGGAGAAGTGTGGGGTAATGGATGCACGAGAGGGCTGCCTAGTCGCGGTGAAGCAGTATTCCATTTGGCTTCCCAATCCGGTGAATATCCTATGTGTGTTGGAGACGATGAGTGACCGAGTGCATCGGATAGATGTTGAAGGTCGAATGGACGGCCTTGTTGGGATTTGTGAGCTTGGCCTGGTTGGCCTGGTTGAGTCGCAGGAAATGATACGAGAGGTCGGGCTGATCCACTTGGAACAACTGCCAATCGATCCTATGAACGTCAGCGCGAGAAGAGAAGCACACGGGAGGAAACTCACTTTGAACAGACTTTGATCGACAGCTTGTCTTTGGACAGCTTGTTTGAGAGGGTTGGAGGAGGTAGAGCAGTCTGCACCCCCAAATAGGGACTGCATTTCACCGGTAGCGCTCGAGAAGAGAGAGAAGGAGAGATGGAGGAGCGAAAGCATTTGGTACAGCCGGTTATTTCATCGGAGTGAGCCGGGGATCGTTTGTGGCGGTTGAAGGGAAGCGGCAAGATCCGCCTTTCTCCATGCGGGTCAGCTGTGCGGAGCATTCTAACAACACGCAACACGTCATAGGTTGTCTCGATCTCTCTCAGGCTTCAGGCGTCTTTATGACTACATAGTGAAGGGTCAGGAAGCACACACGCAAACAAGGGTATATATACTTCAAGCTGCTTTTCACGTTGCTAGTCGGCCCACTCTCTCACCTGCTTCCTGTACGGTGCTCACCGTTGGCCTCGGTAAATCACCGCTCAGGACATGAGATCTCAATGAAATTGCAAAACGCCGTGTCATCTCCGATCATAGCGCCAAAGTGGCTCGTGGCTACGTGGCTTGGCACTTGAATAACGCTAAACCCTTTTGGGGTCAAAGAACAATTTAACAATTCTGGGGTTGTTCCTACATGCTCACGTTCTTCCCGTCTTGAGGTCTTGACGAGTGGAAAAGCACAATGCATTTGTTCACGAGAGCTTTGACGGTATTGTACGATGCAAGCTATGACCTTTGAGGTACACTATAGACGATCCATGCCAAATGCCCCGTTTTCAAAGTCCCCTTCAGAACCGTTCCCCCAACCCGTCCATATTGGCCAGAAGAGGGCTAGGGCCAGAAGGAAATTTGTGTGATTGAGTGATGCGTACAAAGGTAAACAACGAAAAAGGTACTTTGTCTTGATCGCCCTGTATATCGCAAAAATGTTCCGACATCCGAAATGACAAACGACAAACCTCTTCCGGTCAAGGGCCAAGACGGACGCAAAAATGTACGGACCGTGATCCGTGAGGTATATAACCCCTTGACTTTGAAGGAATCACTTTACTTTTTCTTTTCTCTGATTCTTTCACCTTTAACACGTCCCTTTGTGTGGTATTTCCAACGGTTGAACTGTGAGTAAAAAGCTTTCTTCGGCCCTTGAATTAGATCTTCAATGAGAGGTGACGAACGTATAAGCTGACAGGGGTAAAAGGTATCGATACGTGTGAAGAAAAAACTTGTCATCATGCTTGCTCAATCTCTTATTCTTCTTGGCTTTTTGGGGGTAGCTACTGGTGAGTTCTGAAGATTCATCATATGCACCACCTCTCATCTCACATACATCGATGTCCTCTCTCTCAACCACTTCTCGACGGTTACTTGAATGATGTTACGATCCGACGGTTGTAAACATAACCGAATAACATATTGATCTGCGTCGATCATCCATCCCACATTGTCATCTTTGGCTAGATACAGCGCATAGGATTACAGTGGTCACCTGTGGCTGGCCACTGACACCCAGCCAACCCCCTCGTACCCCGTCTCGTCACTGCACGTCAGATCGACTCTTCCTCTGTTCCATCCACATGCTCAGACACGTGCACCAGCGCGTTGACCATCTATAACGCGTGTTCCACCGGCGACACCACAGGTTGTCTTAAAGTGTGTCAATCGGATAACTTCAATGGTTTCGTTGGATGCTTCAACTGCGTGTTGGCCAACACGGATGGGGTGACATCGGATGATTATAGTCAGTTGCAGGCAGCTTTGGATCAGCTCGAGCAAGCTTGTGCTGCAGCTGGTCAGACTGTCTCTGCTACTGCAACTCTATCGAGTGCACCTGCGTCCGCGTGAGTGTCTTCTACTCCATCCACTCTCCTCCCCCCCCCCAATCTTCTTGGGGTTTCCCGCTATGAGAAAATCGCCTCGCTCTTCATCTCGTTCAGACATCTGTCGGATCATGACACTCGCTTTCTTTCTCTTCTCCTCAGAGCTTGATCGACCCCAGTAGTCCGGGCAATCACACCAACCCCTCGTAGCTGCTTCTGACACACAGTACTGGCTCTGACACTGCTTCAGGCGGTCTTGCCTCGCTCACCTCGGACCAATTGTCCTTCACCTCCGCCGCTTCTGGCGTGACCATCGGCGCTGGGTCCGCCACGGGTATCGCTGCCACTTCCGGCGGTTCTGCCACCTCCGCTGCGACCAGCAAGGCTTCTTCGGCGGTATCTTCTCCCTCTGTGAGTCTCACAATCTCATCATGTTTATATACTAAGATACAGGCCTCTGCCTCTAGTACCGGCCCACTTAACGGAGCCGCCTCCGTCGCTTCATTGAACGGACCTCTTGCCTTTGGTGCTGCCTTGCTCGCACTCGGCGCTGGAGCAGCTATCGTGCTCTGATCACTTTACTGTGAGTGGGACAAGGCGACAGACTGCGGGAAGCATGGTATTGAATGGAAACGAAACTTTGAAGGTATCTTTAGGACATTGGCGTTTGTATATACTACTCTATTTGTCAATCGCGGTGCGTTTCGATACTTATGAATGCAATACATTCTCTGATCCGCTTGTTCTTTTTTCGGTGATCAGTGACTTACTTTCATTCCACGGATCCATCATGGATGAGCAGTTCAGCTGTTGTCTGGCTGTTAGTCGCTGTCGCGCTACCTACTCTGCCCTATTGGACCTTACAAACGGATGGGACAGTGACAGCCATCCTGGACACTAGTTGACTGTCGACTAAGTTTCGAGTTGAATATTTCGGATGCAAGTTCAGGCACGCACATCAGTGACCAGTGATTTCCTCCCTTCACTTTACCGCTCTACAATCCTTCTGCTACCGACATCGATCAAGTATGACCCCAGTCGCCTCTTCAAGTAAGATGGGACAAGATCAGCCCATAGTGGGTATCATCGGTATGGGTGATGTGAGTTCGGATTTCCTGCCTCAAAAAATTCTACCTCGGTCTGTCCTTCAGCATGACTCTCCGAGGAGACTGCAGCATGCAACATGCAACATGCAACATGTCATGCCATCTCCATCTGCGTTCCGACAAAATCTTGAGAAACTGCCCTAGTCACGTTATCAGAATAATGAAGCTGATATATAGATGGGAAAGATGTACGCTAAAAGGTTGAAAGCTGGAGGTATCAAGACGTAAGTGCTCTCTATTTCTCATAAATCATTATCCCTCCCATCTCAGTGGTCTTTCTGCAACTCATCCTTCCCTGTCTCATCTATCATATTAAATTAGTCATGACCCACGAGACAGGAATGTGATACTGTTATGAGCTTGTCCTCTGACGATTCAACTGATAACTAGGATATACGTATGTGATAAACCCGACAGATTCTCGGAGCTTCAAATAGAATTGGAAGGTGAGTCCTTCAATAATCATTCAGGCAAATGATTCCTATGAGGTCACATGCTGAGAAATAGGAACAGGTATAACCCCTCTTTCTGATGGTCACGCTGTATCTCGTCTTTCCGACCTCATCATTTACTCTGTAGAAGCTGCAGCTATCTCAGCCGTCGTCAAGGAATACGGTCCCAGTACGAAATTTGGAGCTACCGTTGCTGGTCAAACCAGTGTCAAAGCTCCTGAAAAAGAAGCTTTTGAGCAGTATTTACCGGAGGATGTTGATATTGTTTCGGTACATAGTTTACATGGACCTAGTGTCACTACTGAGGGACAACCGTTGGTATGTTTGTTACTCCTTTTTCTCCTTCCCTCTTCATCAAACACTTGCCCTGCTCACTGTTGCCTCATCCCAGACTACAGTGACATCTTCCCTCACACGATTTTCGCAAGCGAGCGAATCACATACTGTTAGCCGAAAATCAGAGGGAGGGGAGATCTATATGATAATGAAGTCCATAGCTAATCTCAGATCATCATACATCACCGAGGACCTGAGGAAAAAGTTCGACTAGTCGAAAATATTTTCAAAAGCTTCAAGAGTCGTTATGTTCATTTGAGCTATGAGGAACATGATTTGGTTACTGCGAATACACAAGCTGTGACTCATGCCGCATTTCTCAGGTGGGCAAATTCTTCAATCTACCTCCAACCCCCCCTCCCAGTGCCTTCGCGGTGAGGCATACATAATCGCTGTGGACGACGCTCGAGAGCAGATCATTTCCGTCCTGAATGATCAGCTAGCTTTCGGTACCAGAAAAGAGCTGACAGTCAGTATGGGTACAGCATGGCATCATTCGATATCCTATCCTTGGGAAACAACACGTTACGTATCAGGTATAGAAGTTGTCAAAGTCAACATCATGCTTCGTATCTACTCTGCCAAATGGCATGTTTACGCCGGACTCGCCCTTCTCAACCCATCGGCTCAGGTGCAAATCAAACAATACGCATTATCAACTTCAGACCTTTTCAAGCTCATGGTGGAAGCTCGTTCGGAAGAGCTTTCTTCACGTGTTTGGGAAGCTAGGGAAGGTGTATTCGGTTGGAAAAGAGATCAAGAAGGTGATGTTTCAGGTCGACAACCTATTCTATTGAGTGAAGATATATTAGATCAATTTACCCTAGGTCGAGCGTTAGAAGATGGACAAAAGGGACATCCTAATAGTCATTTGAGCTTGTTGGCAATGGTGGATTGTTGGAATAAGTTAGGTATCAGACCATTCGAACATTTAGAAGTGGCAGGTACACCGGTATTCATGTTATGGATCGGTCCGTCTTCTTATCGTTGATGGTGAAGCGAAAGAGCTGATCTTGGCAGGGGTCGCTGAGTATTTATTCAGATCAAAAGAGAGATTACAAGCTGCTATCGACGCGGGTTTGTCGGACAGACATTATCGTCCGGATGATTTGGAATTTGTCATTGCTGCGAGAGGGTGGAGTGAATGTGTCAGTTTTGGGAATTTCGATTTGTACCAGAGGAGGTTTGAGGAGACTTCTTGTGAGTATAACTATCCTTCGTGATTCATCATGAGTTTACCTTGCTTCCCTTCTTCTCATATCGTCATCGCTTGCGAATACGTGCCCAAGTACTGATCGCAGCTTTCTTTGCACCTCGATTTGAAGATGCCACAAAGTTGGGTGGAAGAATGATCAAAGCTATCCAAGAGGGACAAGCAAAAAGATAGTTTTACAGCTCATATGATGTCCACCTCTATATCAAAGTCATACTGCATATCCTATAAGCTGCCATGCAAATTTGTTGCTTTCATGCTGCTGTGCTTGGTCAAACTTAACTATTTAGTGGTGCCATGGTACTTACTCACTCTTTACACGATGCACACAATGCATAAACCTTGCGATGCTATTTGCCGAGATCAACCCGCCACATTCGGAATTTCCCGGATTTCCTTAGTCCCTCACCCATCTTTGGTCCAATTGAACCCTATCACCTACTCTCCTACCTGGTTATCACACCCTTATCCTATTCCTCACTTCTCTCATAACTCTCACTCCACATCTTACCCACAAAAAAAAAACACCATCATGTCACTCCTTCGATTGAGTCGTGCCACCCTTTCCGTCCCTCGATCAGTACAGACTTCCAGGATCAGATACGCAAGCACAATCTCAGTCACTTCAACACGTACCAACGCCTCCGCTCCT